ATATTCCATTGATTACAATAAGTTTATTGCTGGGCTTGTTGGAGGATTTTTCACTGAGTCGCAGAAGAGATGAGGATAGAAAACACCTCTGGGGCTCATCTTATCCCCTCCTCTGCTTGAACAAGGTGACCCACAGCTGGCTGTCCAGGAACATGTTGTGGTTTTTTGAGTATTTCCAAGAATGGAGACTCCAAAGCCTTTCTGGGCAAACCTGTGCTTGGTCCCCCTCACAGTAAATAAGTGATGCTCAGTTTGTGCCCACTGCTTCATTCAGCCATTTGAGGCAGAATAACCTTTGCTGGAGGTATTTTCTCGCCTGTAGAAACTCCTTGAAACTAGGATGGGGGAAGCAGTGCCTGCAGGTAGAAATGTTCAGGTGAGGCAGAGTTGTCACTGGCTTAGACTGGTACCAGTGGGGAATGGGGAAAACAGGAAGATCAACTGTCTGTTGCTGAAGAAAGATTTAGATCAGGAACTTCCTGTTTTTGTTGAAGTTGAGCATTATTCTGAAGAATAGAAAAAACCCTGAAAAAGGTCTTGAAGGCCCCCAAATGATCATGATCTTACTGCATGAAACAGTATTTTAGCACAGGACCATGACACACAGATTTTTCTAATGTGTGTGAGATTTTTGATGAATCATCTTATGTTTGTCTCACTCTTGTCTCATCCTTCATGTCAATACCCTCATGAATCCTCTTCAAACAGGCAAAATATAGAGATTATGTACCTCTGTTTTCTCTCTTTTCCATATCAGTATGGAACAAAAGGTACATATTCATATATGGATATAGGGTTATAAGTTATGTGGATACAATAGGTGTATGGACTCTGAAGTCCACAGCTAACAGTTCAGTGCTGCATGCAAAGAGGAGCCTTAGTTCCTTGAAAGCCTGCCATGAAATAAACCTTCACCCAGCTATAGAACTGCATGATTTTCTCAGTACTCTAATAATCCCTCTGCTTCTTCAGCCTGTGTTCTTCATTAGGGCTCGGGGACAATTTAATGATACAAATTCTGAGTCATATATAGACTTGCCAATTTACATTAATAGCTTGAAGAATCATTTGAGAGCTACTCATTTTCTCCAATTAGCCAGTAAATCAGTGAATGTAGTAGAAAGAATGGAGTATGAAATATACTCAGTTTAGTGATAATTTCTCATTCTGACTTTATATTATAGCAGTAAATATCTTGCAGTACACATTTGTGGGGGTAATGAAATTTGGAGTATTCTGTCCTCACCACGAATACTCTGATGAATCCATTGTTTGGAAATGAATGTTATATATCATTACATAATTAATGTCAATTTTTCAGATGATGCACCAAATCTAAACACACAGAACATGATTGCACAGCTGGGCTTTACAGGAAAGAAAAATGTAGTGCATTTCTCCTTTTCCAGGTCACAGTTGGTATTCTTCCTTTAATTCTGGATGATATGGGGTCAGAAACTGAAGGAAAATGTACTGCAATAGAAAGTGCTCACCACTGGCCCAATAAACTTGCTGAGTCTCATTCCACATGCTAAGGGGAGAGATCAGTCTCCCTTGCAGTATGGCCACGGAGAATCATTTCCCACGGATACAGCAGGAGACACTTTGGGATAGCGAAACAAAAGTCAAGGGAAAATGTTTTCTTCAGTTTGGGGATTTTGAGCTTTGACATATCTGTTCCAGAAGCAGAATAGAGAGCTGAAGTATTGGTGTAAAGCTCTTAGCAATTGAAAGATGAGAAAATGAGAAGAGGATTTTAGATTGACAAAAGGAAAGGAAATGAAGGGAAAGATCAGGTTTGTGTGGGCATTTCCATTCAGGAAGTGCAGGCCTGGCTCAGAGAGAGCAACTCGCTGTGGAGGAGACAGACAGACACATACATCACATAAACCACATGGGGCTGGACAAGGATGGAACACCTGGGGTCCAGTAGCCAGGAGAGAAGGAAGAGCTCCAGCAGGGCTAGCACAGAATCCCACTGGGCACAGCTCTGCCACGGAGAGCAGGCATATTGGGAATCCTAAAATAGGAGTTTCCTGGCCGAGGGCCAGGACTGCTGCAGTTGGGGACACTGCAATTAGAAGCTCTGAAACCAGAGCTTCACTGAAAGCAGACTGGGAAAGCAGACTTCTCCCTGCCAGCAGACAAAGTCAGGCTTGACCTTGCCATGGGGGAGAAATTCAGGGGAATCTTTTCCAGCATATCTGGTCAAGGCAGTTTTGCACACAGCTCTTAGCATGTTGTAATTCCCAAAATGAGCCAGATTTCAACAAAATATATACAGTAGTTTCAGACTATAAATAAAGCCTGAAGGGAAAAAAAAGAAGATACTATGACTTTGTGTAATTTGTGTCTCCTAACTGCTGTAGTTTCAGGTGTGATCACAGCACAGGCGTGACAGAATGGGCAGTCTTCTGGATCTCTGTGTAGAAAAACATTTGGTATTTCTTGGTATTAAAAGGTCATGAAGCCGTGTACGTATTGTTTATAGTCTCCTAATCCAGGATTTATTGTTCTAGTTCTGTTCCAGAACCAGGGACTTGAGTTGATTAAAAAAAGTAAGATTCTTTAAAGCTTTTAAGCAAACTGATTAATTGCGGCTTGAAAATTGTCATATTCACCCAATTCAGTGGGGGTGATCCTTTTGGTATTCTGAGCTAGAAGGATTTTACAAACAGCATGTATTACATTTGAAAGATTGGACTTTACCATTAAAATGCTGTTGAGGTGAGTGGAAAATTACTATGAGTTATCCCTCGTAGTTTGTCACGTTGGTTCTTTCCGGAGTGGGAAGGAGAGCTGGAACAGTGAGCCAGCTCGGTTACCTGCAGGTTCCTCTGTGCTGTTCCCTACAGCTGCTGTGGAAAAGAACCCAATCTGTTCCTAATTCCCTCTGCCAGCTCATGCCTCTGCTTGAGAATCCCCTGTATCTTCCCAGTTACTCAGTGAACAGCCTTCCTTCGTTTTCTGTTGTGATGGGATCTGTTATCTCCCTCTCCCTGTTAAGGGCTGTGTGAGGAGCAGCTGGGAGACCAGAGGTCCCTGACTCCCCAGCTCCTGCCTCAGAGGGGGGACATGGGAGAGGCTGGCTCTGTGTGCTTCCAGTTTGCTGCCTGCTTTTAGCAGTGATTTGGGAGGAGGAAAGATACCCATCAGCCTCGCCTTAGTGTTAAGTGGTTTCTCTTGATGTGTTACCTGAATTTTCCCTCCAGCAGCCTTGTGAACCCTGCTTTTTTGTTTCAGTCATCGTGCAGAACAGACCTTCACCATTTATTAGTCTCTTCTCAAAGCAAGATAGCTTCCCTAAGGAGTTCCATTTTTATGCCAGTGCAAGGGTTGTCTTTATTACAGCAGAATGAGCTCATTGACCAGTGATGATTCTCTGGAAGACTGCTGTGACCTTCAGGGCCTTTTCTGCAGAATTCTTCATTCCCTGTGTGCTTAGTTTATTTTTTCTGGCAGTCGTGCAAAAACTTGCCTTTGTCCCTACTAAATCACCTTTCCAGGTCTTTTGACACAGTTTCAAATGCTGATCCTGTACCGTGAGGGAATTGCAGCCTATGTTGGTCATACTGTCTGTGACTATAATAAGAGTCCAGAATTTGAATAATTTCTGAGAATGTTGGACAAAGCCACTCATAATACATCCCCCCTGTTTTGGCATTGAACTGCTGTTAAGTGTTCTCTGCGTGCCATTTTTTAATTCTGTGTCCCAGGGTTGTCGATGGAAATGCCAGAATATTATGCAAAGCAGCATTAAAATATTTGCTACAACTTTTATGACAGATATCACATGTCATCCACAACATAAATTACGTTTATTGCCTGAACAGTCCTCTACATTTGTAAACACAGAGGGAGGTTGCAAAGACATCAGTTGTACCATCTCTATATTATCTAGTGACTGAAAATGAGATTTCATTTCATTAGGAAATTATTGAAATGTTTCCACAGCAGGTTTCTTAGAAATAATAAAAGGTTTTTGGTTGTCATTGTATTTGTATTAATTCTGATTGCTTGTGTGAATGTACAACCTTGTCATTCAGTGCGACAGCACACAAGATAATAAAAAATCAAATAAATTGCAAGTTGGAAGTCTGGTTCATGGTTTATTTTCTAGTTACAAGTGACATTTCAAGTCAGAGGTGTAGGTGATTATGCCCTTTTATGTTACATAGTAATCTACAGAATACTGAAGAACTTTCTAAGGTCTTCTTAGAAATCCTAAAAGCTCTTAGAAATATATTTTTGATCAGGCAGACAGATAACTTCCATGCCTTTCTTTCATCAAGATTTTGTATCAAAAATTACAGTTGTTTGCATTAGAGTACTTTATGGTGAAGAAAGAAGTCACATTTCTACTGTAGGTTGATTGACTTAGAATCATTTTTTAAAATGACATTTTATCGGGAGCAAATAATTTTAATAAATTTAGGTCATTTTAATGTATATTTTTAATTAGATGATAGCTGAACCTGCTGTATGTCCAGAAGTTGTTTCTTTGCAAAACTGAGTTCCTTTATGTTGGATGCTTTGCGATGTTTTATGTATTACAAAATTTTATGTAGTACGTTAAGCCTTTGCCATCTCTACTGGGCTTGTCAGAAGGTATGGACTTCATGGTCTCCAGGGGATGACGTCTTTGGTTCAGTAAATGTAATAAATGGAGGAAACTCTCGCTTTCCTGTCAGCTTTCATAAAGCTTTATTGCCAGCTTTGCATCCCTGAGCATTATCAGCAAGGAATAGCTGTATTAATAATTAGTGTGTCCATTGCTTCCTTAAAATATGTCAGAAGAAAATGAGTGTGAAAGCATGGGGAGTTCTGTGGGTTTAAATGGCTTTGAACATAACTGTATTAGGGGAAAAATACAAGGTTGTTCTTCTTATATTTAATTACAAGAAGACAAATGCATTTTTAGCTGTGTATCCATTTGTGGTTCATTATTGTTGGTACATATAATTTCCACCTGACACTATTTTCTCCTGTGTCCTTCCTAGAATGGCTTTACTCCTTTATACATGGCAGCTCAAGAGAACCACATTGAGGTGGTGAAATACCTCCTGGAGAATGGAGCCAACCAAAGCACAGCTACCGAGGTGAGGGGGTTTGCTCATGATTTCCTTTGCCTGTGTGTTCAGATGACTCGAAGTCAGAACTGCATGGGCTGTGTACAGAGGGCTTGCCTGTATCAATTGGCATCAAACAGGCAGCTGTTAGCAAGCTTCCTTTTAGAATCCCAGAGTTGTTTAGGTTGGGAAAGACCTCTCAGATCGAGTCCAACCCTTAACCCAGCACCTGGGTCCTGGGGATTTTAGTTGAATTCAGAAGTGGTGAGGCTCTCTGTGGTGCTGGGTTCACAGACACATTTGGGAGGGCACCTACTCAAGCCTCTTGCTGCTGTTCTTCTTCTTGCTGTAACTTCCCCGAAGTTACACTGGTTCTGAGGCTCTCCTGTGACTTGGTGTAACCTGTGAGTATTCATTATTGGCTGTGACCAGTGTAAATTGGAAACCAAATGACTAACAGGGGTTGCATCAATGAGCTTGGCAGGCTTTTTTCTCCACAAACACTTTTATTTCTGCTGCTGGACCACATGGGTGTAACTGGGCAGAAGGATGGTATTAACTGGAGATCTGGATTGTAAACCTGCAGTAACTCCTGTGCAAGCAGAAGAGACGCCTAAGTTGGAGAGAGGAGACTCCATCTCAAGAGGAACTGAATCCCACAAGGTCCCTTCTGCATGTGAGGGGGGGTTTAGGAACAATAGAGAAAACTCCTTGAGCATTAGGACTATGCTCATTCTCTTTCCCCTTTCTGCCAAATGTTCTTTATTCCAGCCAAGGGAGTGAGTGAACAGGCTTTATGCTGCAGAATGTGTCATCTTTCTGTTTGTTCTGTGGTTCTGGATGTGACATGAGAAGTAGCTATAGCAAAATTCCTCTCTGGCCAGAGCTTTTGTTCATGTTTACTGTTTTCTCTAGCCTGTCCTGAAACCTTCCTTGTCTGGATTGCCTTTGTGAGTGGAAGAATTTGCAATGCTGGTGCATTTATGCTCCCTCTCCTTCCCTTCAAACCTGTCAGTGTTAACAGCTGTCTTACTGTCCCTTCTCTCAGTGGATACGGCACCATTTGATGACAGCTCATAGAATAATCCCCTCATAGATGTGGTGATCACATTACACGTCAGCTTTCTGAAATAAAAAGTCCCATATGATTGCCAGGCAACGTGGCAGAAAAACACTCCTTGTGAAGGAGCCAGGTGGAACTGGGGCTGTCCATGAGCCCAGCCCCGCTGCAGCCCACAGTCACCTGCTGGCAGCCAGCTCCCAGGAACTTCTCCAGGCTGGGAATTCATTCAGCTCACAAAAATTGTGAGGGCGAGCTGCTTATAATTCATGTGGCCTCTTTTGAATGCAGACATCCACAGAACTCACACTGTACTCTGATTATATAGAAAAGGCAGAAAGGAGAAAAAATAAAATATATTCCTATTCTGACCCTGACTCCAAGTTTGTCTTCTGTCATCAGAAAGCTCAGTTTTCACTCTGTAGCTTGTAAAGTAAAGGCTCTTGACCTCTTTACTGCTTAACTTAGGTCAGTTTTAGGTTCAGGTCTCGCTGAGGAGGTGATGGTTTCCATGATTGTGTGAATGTTCCTGAAGGAAGGCCTGAGCCACCATCGCTTTCATATATGCCCAGAGTTCATCTCATGAGTGGGATGAAGAAATGGTACATTCAGTAAGGTGGGATGGCAGCCTGAACTGTGGATGCTGCTGAAATACAGGGAGAAGGTTCTTCTGTTTAGCATCAGAGATTGGCCCTCCGCATGGGAGGTGAGGAAATGAAAAGCTGTCCCCAAGCTTTGGGTTAGCCATGCTTTCCAGAGGCAATAGGAGGGGGAAATGCAGAAAGAGTTGTGTCCTTTTAGAGAAGGGTGCGAGATGAAATGGTGCAAATCAAATGGATGAACTGGTCTTTGAAGCCTTGAAACTTGCACTGCCTTTGGATGCATTTCATTTCCTCTCACGCTTATGAATGTGCAGACAAAAAAGGAGAGTAAGGGTGAGCTCGGTTTCAGAGTCTCTAATCCAGGATTTGTTCTCATGTTCCCAGAGGCAAAAGGCAAACGCATTAAGCCGTTTCAACACCTTATGTAGCCCCAATCTCAGAATAATCTTTACAGTTCAGCTGTTTTGTCAGCTGTTCCCCCCTTTTTCATTCACTGTACAGAATTTAATCTCTGTTCCAGGCAGAACCCACAGCAGTATCGCTGTTACAATGCACCTACCCACAGCTCGGCGCAAAAGGGAGAGAAAGTTATTAGATTACTGAGGGGAAAAATTGCCTTGGCAATTCTTCAGATGTTTCCTTCAACATATGTTAGCTCTCATTCCTTCTTAACTTGGTCTTTATTCTTCTCTCATCTTTCCATATTCTTATTCCAAAGCAATGCTGTCCTGTCTCTCATGTGGTCACAGCACACCTGTGCTTGGGGAGGGTGCATGACCAGGGCGAGGGTTCAGTTGGAAATCAGAATGAAATATCTGGTAGCCCATATTACTTCAGCTGGGAGAGCAGGCTGCTATCATGTTAGCATGGATTTTAAAGCACTGGCCATCCCAGGCACGTGTGGAGGAGCAAGACAATCTTAAACTGATTTAGAAACAAAGTTAAAACTATGAATGACAAGCAAAGAGATCCTTCTGATTTTCTTTTTCCAAAAAATATAAATAATGTGATGTTTTCCTCCTTCAGATCACGTTCCTAAACATGATCTGGATTTCTTGACTCATGGCTCATGTGTAACTTGGAATGGGAACAGCAGCAAGCACGTTTGATACACTTTTCTTTTTGCAGCGATGAGAGATATTCAGAAACGTATTCACTCAGTATTTTTCACATCAATGCTGTTCAGTGCTCAGTAAATTTACAAAAAATTGCTAAAAATCTGCTTTGTGGCCCATTTTAAGACGAGAAGTAAGTAATTAAGAGAGGTGCTGTAGAATGATCCTTTGCTTGCACTTGACTTAAAAAAAGACTAATTGGAAGTGTAAAAGATCTTTCAAAGCATTTCAAACGTTTGAAAGCCTTCTGAAGGTGTTTGAAAGAGTTAAAATGTTGTGCCTCCAATCTCATGTCCCTGGAGATGGAGTGCAGAGGTGGAAAACAGCTGGGAACGTGCTTCCCGAGTCGGTGTGTACGAAGGGCGCGGCGCGGCTCCCCGAGGCTGTCCGGCTGCGCTGAGCACCCCTCGTTTCCTGCCCCCTCCAGGACGGTTTCACCCCTCTGGCTGTGGCACTGCAGCAGGGACACAACCAGGCGGTGGCCATCCTGCTGGAGAACGACACCAAGGGCAAGGTGCGGCTGCCGGCGCTGCACATCGCCGCCAGGAAGGACGACACCAAGTCGGCGGCGCTGCTGCTGCAGAACGACCACAACGCCGACGTGCAGTCCAAGGTAACGGGGAGAGCTCCGGGCCCAGGGGACAGCACCTTCAATCCCCACATCCTAATGGGGAAACCAAACTGCCCCGGCGGGGAAGGACGACTTGCTCCACCAGTATCACCAGTAATACCTCTAAGTTTGCAGTGTTAAGCTACACAGTAATTAAAAGTGCTCATTTTTTTTTCGCTTTTTAGTTATGCCTCCCATTTCTTCGGTAACCAGCTTTTTCTCATTATTTGCAAACCAGAAGCCACTGGAACGGAAGCAGAATCACTGTTTCCCTATTAAATAGGATACTGGTTTATTGCCCACGGGAACATAGGTTGTGTTTAAAGTTAATGCATGCTTGAATGGCTTTTCTCATAATTAACAGCATAACTCATTTCAGAAAAAGCAACATAGTTCTTCGTTTTGTGGCCAGTCTTTAATATTGTTCCTCTCTTTCCCAAACCATGCTGCATCAGATGATGGTGAATAGGACGACTGAGGTACCGAGATCAACAATTTTTAATTACTCTTTCTGTTACTTATGACTATTTTCTCTGCTCTTTGCCAATATTTCTTTATTATTTAGCAATAAAAGACATGACTCATTTATTTTTTTAATACTTAGAAATCTATGGCTTGAAGAACCTATTTTTATTCATCCTTTGTCTTAGAATTTATTTTTATTTGTGTCAGTATTGAAGGGCATTTTTGAGAATTCACATCAGTCCAAAGGAGTCTGAAGTGAGTAGTGGAGCTAAGAGGATAAAGATGCTTTTTAAGCTCAATTTCATTAATTATGAAAATGCGCTCACCTGGCATAACTAAATCAGGGTGTCTGGCTCAGCCAGAATAACGGTAAAATTAATTTTCTGTCTTTTACAATAATAAGCATAATCAAATTCCCCAAGGTAAAAACTTGTTCAGGGCATCTGCTTATTTTTACCTTTCTTCTTACTACAATTTTTTCCATGCAGAGCCCTCAGGGACACTACATACTCAGAATTTACCTGCAGAAAACAACACATTTCTTACATGGATTTTACTTCCACTAAAAGTCTTGGGGCTGATTGGCTTGGACTGGGATTTTTCCCCAAAGATCATCACCACTCTTAGGAGAAAGAACAATTTCCAGGAATGCGATTGTTGTTTCAATACCTGCTTTTGAATAATGGAGTTTCTCTGCTGGAGGAAGGAATGAATTATGGATGTACATGTCCATGGCAAGGTGCTCCCTTCTTGGTGTGTGCACACATGAGCAGGCTGCCAGGAGGCAGCAGTGATGTGAACTGAAGGGTGACAGCTTCCCTGGGCACCAGCTCCATGGACATGTTCTTCCCTGAGGGAAATGGCAAGGAGTGCCGCAGTGCCTGCTGAAGGAGGGCAGCACGTGCCCACATTCCTTTGTTCCAGGAGTCACTTAAAATGGTGGTCTGGATACTGAGAGGAAGGAAACCTCGCTGAGAGCACGCTGTAGTCTAGAAGCCAGAAGTGGTCCTCCCTTTCTATAACTATCAGCAAGATCCGATCAAATCAGTGTAAAGCTCTTCAGGGAAACCTCAAAAGCAAGGCCCTTTCTACTTGAATTACTTATGAGAATAAAAGCTTGCTCTCTGTCCTGGTTTCTGAAAATTTAATCTTTTTTTATGTTGTTGTCAAGCGATTCTACATCTCATAGCTGGAGCAGGTTTCACCTTCTAGTATTCAAAACGCAATAAATAAAATGTGGGGGTTTTGATTTATAGGTTGAGAAGTTTCTTCAGACCCTTTGCAATCCAAATTGTATATAAATACAAATAATTATGATTCTTTTACTATGCTACTGAGTAGTTTCTCATGTAAACCAGACTCTTAATTGCATTCTGAATAACTGCTGCTTTCAAAAAACAAAAACAAACAAACAAACAAAAACCCCAATAGGAAATATGTCGTCCATATTTCTGTTTCTAAGAGGAGTAAAATAAGAGTCCAACAACTTTTGTGGTAATTTTTCTTACCCCTATAAATAGATACAGCCTAAAAGACCCATGTTGCTTCCAAATGGTAATAAGGATCTTGCTTTATTTTCTTTAAAAATGGCTAATATATTAATATTTTCTGTGATGGAAACTGATCTCATTGGCCACTGGTGTGGGGGACTGAGTTGGGGAACGAAAGAACAAAACACTTTGATAATCTCTGGCCTGAAAACTGGCCTCTCTGCCTGAAAGGCTGTGCTCTAGTACAGGTGGACACGGTCTGGGTAAAACTGACACGATGCATTAGTTGGGCAGCGTTTTAAACTCAGGTTCTAGTTCAGCTAGAGATCTTGTACGAGGAGATTCCCGTAACGAGGGCTGTTTCGCTTTGCAGAGCGGCTTTACCCCTTTGCACATCGCCGCGCACTACGGCAACGTCAACGTGGCCACGCTGCTGCTGAACCGCGGAGCTGCGGTCGACTTCACAGCCAGGGTACGGCCTCACCCCTCCATCTCCCTGCTTCTAGTGGCCTACGGAAATCAGAGGGCTTCTTTGGGTAACTCTCGGGCAAGAGCTGAGTGAAGGAAGGAGCAAAGTAATGCTGGAGTTCTGTTGGGATCAAAGATGTCTTTTTTGCTGAAATTCTGGAAGGTTGTCTCTGTGCAATGCGCTGGAGGCCTTGGGAGTTGTGTAACAGCCAGTGTTCCCAGCTGGAGGAAGCAGGATCCTTTGGCCAGCTCCGGAAATTCTTATAATGTGTCAGCTCCCTTTGGCTTTTCTGTTTGGTAGATGTACTCTGGAAGTAGATGTAGGATTGATTGGCTTTTTTTGGTGTTCAGTATTTGCTATACCAATTTAATTTGATGTTTTCACACCTAACTATATTTCCAAACCGGAAAGTTAAGTATACTGCTGTTATACAAATTCAACAATAAAAGAACTAATTAATCATGACTAGTCTTTCATGGTAAGCAATCTGCAGAGTTTCATAGTACGGTGTCTTTGCTGTTGCACGTTACATAGTTTGAAGTAAAAACCTCTGGCAATCTCAACCCAGCTCCCAGGTCACAAGTTTGCTGCTTAATCTTGCCAGACACGCTTTGAATTACTTCAGGGTTCTGCCTTCCAGACTGACTCCCTCCTGTTTCCAATCTGGAGTAGCTGCTAATATTACCTCTTGCCTCACCCAAAGTGTTTTCAAGGACTTTCAGCCTACACAGCCTACACAGCCTACCACTCCTTTATGCTCTTGGCACTACACAAGAAGGTTCCTTTGTGTAGGAGTGACGCACTTGTGTCCTCTGTGTACGTTGCAGTGACTGAAATGCATCGGTGTTTTGTGACTATTGGCTCATTGGGACTCTGATACATGTTTGTGTATTTGTCTGGCCCTGGGGCTGCGATGTTTGCTGCTTGGGCAGATGCGCTGCTTCCTTTATTCAAGGACCCCAAAACAATGGAGGAGGATTCTTGCTTAGGAAGGAATTACTAACTCTAGCTTATATGGTGTGTGCCTAGCTCTGATGCTCTAGTACATTCTCGTTGATTCTCTCCCATGTGATGGTCTCATTTTTTGTGATCCGAACCCAAATTCACCCCCATTGCGCACCTTCAGATCCATCCAGCTCATTGTTTGTTCTTTTCATGGTGTAGAATGGAATCACCCCACTGCATGTGGCTTCCAAAAGGGGAAACACAAACATGGTGAAGCTCTTGTTGGATCGCGGAGGGCAGATCGATGCCAAAACCAGGGTGAGTCTTTCTATTCCCTGAATATGATATTGTCCCTTCTGGGGAATGGACTGGGATTTTTGCCTTGCTTGCTTCTGGGGATTTCTTGTGTGTTTGTTTCGTGTAGACTGTTTTCTATGGTATCAGACTAAAGAACAGCTGTTATTAGAAGATAGTAGGAGGCAGAAATACTATTTCTTTTAGTCTCCTGTATAACCTGCCTACATCACACAAGAAAAAGCTGATGAAACTGGTGGTTTTTAGGGAATAAGCCTGTTAGTTGGTCCAGCTTTACATGGCACAAGATGATGCGCAACACATATGATGCAAAAGGAGAATGGAAGCAAAAGGAAATGCAAGGTCTGCACTCAGCTAAGCCTTTCAGTCTCCTGACCCCTAAATCTCTGTGCCAGTCACAGTATGGCCTGTGGAAGCTCTAGTGGGCTCAGTCCATTTTTATTGGAGAGCTGATACAGGGATAAGTAATTTCCTCAGAGCCAGCAGCCACGTGTCTCTTCCCCAGACAAAGCATGAGGTATTAATTAGGTGACTCTCACTGGCTTCCTCCTCCCTGTTGTCCTATTGAAATGTCACATCATCTCTCTGCCCTTTATTTATGGGTGATTTCACAGTCATTCAGTGCAAAAAAAAAAACCCCATCATTTTATATGGGCAGGGTTAATTATTTCAAATGGGATTTTGGAATCACCTGGGAAAACGTTGTCATTTATTCAGACAGGTCTCCACAGGTCTCATTCTGTCATTTATTCAGACTGATCTGTTGGTTTTTAGGCAGCTGTTCTGCAAAGTTACATGTCCAAGTGATCAAGAGTGTTTTAGAACACAAGGTTTAGACCTGGACATGAGAGTTTTGTTTAACCCTATAGGAAGGCAGAAGAAATTGCAGTCAGCTGCCCTTGGGGTTGATTTAACCTCTGCAGTTACTTGGATGTTAATTACATCAACTGTGTGTTGCTTCATAAACTCTGAAGACAATCACGATTATTGTGAGCTCCATATGTGACTGTGATCTGGTTTCTGATTATGAAATGATACCTCACTATTTTTTTTCATTTTTCAAATAAAGCAGGTGTGCAGCAAATCACCCCTGCTCGCATTTTCCACAATAAATACCTAAAACCTCATGGAAAAGAGGCGTGAAATGCTAATAATATACTTCAGTCAGGATATTCCACATGCCCCTAAGCATGTCATACATAAATAGCTTATCTGACCTTTGGAGTGGTAGTATTGAATTCACCTGTTTCCTGTTCAGTACTTAGACAGAGATGATTATGAGGGATGTTTTGGATTTGAAGAGGTCAAAGTGTTTTCCCATCCCTGCTCACCTGCAAAGGCTGAGTGGAGCTGTGAACACGTCTGAGAGAACAGGATTTGCCCAGTGTAGGTGGGAGGGACCAATTTTAGACTCTTCTCATTGTCTCGGCTCCCTGCCCTGTGTCAGCTGCCACCTGGGCTCAAAATGTCAGTACAAAGATATCCCTGAAAACCCACACAGGAATCCTAAGACACACCTATCCCAGCTTGCACAGGCTCCCCAGCTTCCTGTCACCTTCACCTTCCACCTCTTCCCTGCTCCAGGGCTCGTGGTGGCGGTCAAGATTCCAGAGCTTGGGTTTTGCTGTCCACGTCTTTGTGTCAGCCGTTTATGTTACCTGGGTGTGTGTCTGTTCTCCCTGTGCTCTGTCCACTGACCCCGTGTGCCTGGCTCTGGCTGTGAGTCCGTACGGTGTGGAGGAGGCAGGGATGTGTTCCATGGGCTCTGTCCGTGGCAGGACAGCGCCCGCCTGCCCCGCTGCGGTACTAACACACCTTGCCTTCCCTGCTGCCTTCCCTTGGCTTCTCAGCAGCACCTGCCCTCTTCCAGCAGGTCACAGTCACTGCAAAACAGCGGAATTGAAGTACTGGGGTGTTTCAGTGCCAAGTTCCTGTGCTCCACACCACATCCAAATAAGCTCTTCAGTTAAAACGGTCCTCGCCACTTTCGTTCCGTTTATTTTTAGCTCGCTTTGTTCTGTGACATCTGATGCTGCATAAATTAAGAGGCAGAAACTTGTTTTAGCGGATTGCAGATGAGCTTCAGGACTTCAGTTTTGCAAAGTTAATCTGTGAAAGCTTTCTGTGTTTGAAAATGTTCCATTGGAACGATTCTTTAGGAGCCCCTGGGTTGTCTAAAAATATAAATGAAAACGTCTATTCCTCAAAGGGAGTAAATGATGCGTGTGTCCTGCTGTTCTATAGTTAATGCAGCATGAAAAGGAAAGCTCTGCTTTCTTCAGGAATTAGTATTCTTATTTGTTGTACATTTCAGAATGCGTTTGCTGAAATTTTATGGCATTTCTCACAAAGCCATAAAAGTGCAGAAATTCTGGTGGATCTCTCGACACAATTACATATTTTAGAATAATATTTTATTTATTTTTTGGCAAGTTCTACCATTTTTTCTCAACCAAGCCCTAACTAAGGTTTTAAAATGTGAAATTTAATTTCTCTTTTTTGTTGTATCCAAAGCAGAAATGGAAACTCCATTCCCAAATACAATAGTAGGATACTTTTATTAGTACTAGCCATTAGAGATAGTATTATAATATTATATATTAACAAAATATCACATTTAGCAGTAGATAATTATATGGTAATAAAATATGAAAATAATATTTAAACATATTTTATTATATAATATCTGGTATATGTTTTGCAACTTCCATTTACATACAAGGCTTACCCAGACTTTTGTTCAGCAAATAATTAATGGGTAAAATTTCCTATACTGAAATATTTCATATTCAAAATTTTGCTCAAACCTATATTCTCTCTACATTCTCTTACATTATTAAGAACTTCAATGACATAATTTTATTTGAAATTTTAATGTTTGGCCAAAATTCAGACCCGTGCAGATCCTGATGATTAGTTAGAGTTAAGGGGTCAGAAAAATTGTGCAGAAATTTGTTCTCTGAAAGACGGTGGAAAGTTTAATTTATGATTAATTCGCTGTCAGGTGATCAGGGGCAGCGTGGCAATTACCAGCTTTTATTTTGAGGGAAGGAAAACATTTACAGCCTCCCTGGAACACACTAAGGATTCTTACAGGGGGAATTATCCTCAGCATTTAAAAGCAATTTTAGCATGGCCATATGCATGTATTTCTATTTTAAAAAGTCCTCATATAATGGAATCATAACAGTATGCATCTACAGAACCTGAAAACATTGCTGGCTATTACAAGGTTTTAGGAATATTCTTTATGAATGCAGTCGTTGTATTATCTCTATTTTTATCATCTCTCTCTATAAATTCTATGGGAAAAAATAAGGAACAAGAATATGAGGCTTTTTCAGTTCTGCATGCTTTTTTCCTTTTAAAATACAGTTTTATCACAGGTTTTTATCACCTTGCTGGAATTTCCATTTTTGTGGGAATAAGCAAACACCCTTCAGAGGGGGAGGAACACTCTCACCTGTCTGAGCCACTGAAGCTGTCACACGTTTTGTGTTCTTCCTATTCAATCTTGGCCAATATTGAAATTAGATTCTTCTTGCTCTGGGACTTTTCTTAAGTCTCCTCTTGCAGGCTTTCATCCTGAATATTTACAATTGAATCAAATCCATGGAATGAAAGAGAGCATCTAGTCTTGGAAGGGAAAGCTTATCGTGTGGGAAAGTCAGCGCGCCGTGTGCCCGGAGCGCGGCAGCTGGAGCTGGAGCGGGGATAGGCGTGGGAATGGTGGGAGAAGGTCTGGTGCACCATTTGGGTTGGAGAAGGGCCACGGAAAGGAGGAGGCTCAGCTGGAGCTGAGAGAAGTGGCAGGTCACTCTTGGAGATGGACGGTACCAGTGGGAGAACAGAAGGAAGGAAACTGTGGGCGGCACAACTCAGGTTTGGTTTGGGTTTTTTTAATGTGCTTCAGACACCCCTTAACAGTCATTCTGGAAACCTCCTGAGGTTTTTTAGTAATAATATCTCCTTTTGTACATCTGCATCCTGACAAAACAGGCTTGGCTCTGCTATTTGCACATGGGAGTGGTAACCACTGTAGCAGCATCCTGGCCCTGCCTTGGCTCCATGCTCTGTGGAGTGTTTGTTCCTGCAGTAATGCTGCTGTGACATTTTCTCCCCATCTTCCTACATGAACAGAGCACTAATAATTCATTGGCAGCTTCTGCTGTTCCTAAAGCCATGTCAGATTATAAATACCTAATCACAATGCAGATATTTTCTATGAAAAATTCACTGGCTTCATATAATGTTTACAAGGGAGTGGGAAGAGGAATTGTAAGAATTGTCGAAGCAAGTTATACAGAAAATGACTATTATTTGGAGTTATTTGTATTACTATCTTGATACTCAGGCAAGCACATGGTATATTTTTTTTGCTGTATTTTTCAAATTTGTGCTGTGAATGGCAGACCTGGAGGAATACTTTACATCATGTTTAATTATGCTAAGAGCTCAGAGCAAGAGGGAGACTGCCTCGTTCATTTTTAAAGAGATGAGGTTTAGTTGTAATGAAAAATGAAAAAAATTAAAAGCCCTTTATTTGTCAAGAAAATGTAGACAATTTTGCATGTTTGACATATGAAATACTAAAGTTTTGCTTCACCCTTATGAAAATGAGAACATGCAGCTGCAGTTTAGAATAATTTGTTGATAATTTGGCCTTTGATGTTCACGTCTATCGTGAGTTTTTGGTCGAATGAGCACTGAATGTGAGCAACTGTCCTGTGAATGTGCTGCCCACATCATTTCCCATTAAAAATCCCTCATAAGCACAGCTTCTTTTTGTCTCAGTGTCTCTGCTAAGCTGAAAGAAAGCATTTGTGAAATGACCAAATAACTCATCTTCCTAAGCCCTGCAGTTAGGAATCATGCACAGAATTCAGAATTAATTTTGCAGGTTGAAAAACGACCAGTGATTGGTTTTCAAGGAAAAAAAACAACACTTCTATTTTGAGAATCATTTAAAAGAGAATTAGGATTGATTATTAGGAAGCTCGTGGCTTCCATGCACACAGAGGGGACTGCATTGCCATTTCTAAGGGTGACCCAGCTGTTGGTTACATCACACTGTGAGTGAGGAGAGTACCATGTGTGGGAACAGCAGAACACCAGGTGTGGGATGTCAGTGGGGAGATGGAAACATTTAACTCTTCACTCCACACAATCTGGGTCGAGGAGATAACTGATGAACTTCTTTCAACATAAATTGCTGCATTTCTTGTCTCCTGGTGTGGCAGCCTTTGTGTTTAAGGGATATCTGTATCTGTGCTTCCAAGTGTGTGTCCCTCTGACCCAGAGCTGGATGTGCTGTGATGTGCCTGATGCACTGGTCACTGTATGTTCTTCAATTAGCAAAGCAATGATTGACAGTCAAAGTGCTTAGGCCAGCTCGTCAAGTCGATTTGAGGGCACTGAGGCTCTTGGCAAACAGATAAATGGTGCAAAAAAGGATTAGTTTGGTACATCTGTGTGTCTCCTCATGTTGGTTTGTCACCTTGTCTGCATTGTTTCCTAATTCTTCTACTGCAACAGCTCTCTCTTTGTGTTTTTTTTGAATAAAAGATAAAAGCAAAATAATTTAAATTATTGAATATAAAATAATTTTAGAAGATATGTGCTGTTTTCCTCAGAACAAAAAGAGGAAAGGGAAGAGGGTTCTGTGGGAAGCCCTCAAAACAGCTATGGCAGGGTAGAATAGGATAAGTAGCAAATTTCTATGTCTGCTTTTAAAGGGAATTGTAGATAAGAACAAAGAAGAAATTATGTTTTTTAATTATTTAGGTTTTTGTTGTTGTTGTTTTAACCAGACTTTCTTGTGGAGTTGATGTGCTTTTTAGTTTATATTTTTCTTCTTTTTCTGCCTCTTGGGATTTGTCCTGCTTCTGTTCAAGGATTCACACAATTTTCCTTTTTTTTTTTTTTTTCAGTTTTATTAAGTAGAGTAACATCAAAGCCACCACACAGATAGGGAAAGTGAACCTCTCACATTGATTAAAAAAGTAGAGCAGAAGAGGCCAGAAACTGGAAAGAAGTACCAAATAAATACCTTACCTAGAAATGCATTTGGGATATAGTCTTACCTTTGTAATGCCAGTGGGAGTTTTCTGTAGGAATTCCTCTGGCAATGAGATGATAATATACCTCAGCTGGCCATAAAAAAGACTTGGTTTAGAGGACTCTGAAGATTCAGTGCATGAAAAACAAGTAAAGTAGTTCCACCTAATTCTTGACACTGAGCCCATCTGCCAGTGCTGAAGGCTGCAAGTTCTGTTTTTGGGTTTGATCTTCCATCTGTGGAATTTCAGCACAAATCTTGTGTGGGATTTAGGGATGCCCCTGAGACAATGAGCACCAAGGCACACCCAACCCTGTCAGTGTGTCTCAAAAGCCTCTGGAAAAAGCAGGTAAGTAAGGGAGAAAAATTCCTCCTGCAGACTTCAGCTCCTTGCAGCTGGGGAGGTTTGTGGTGCTGCTCACTTGGAAAGGGCTCTGTGCTTTGGAAACCAGGCATGAGAGAGGCTCTACTTCTTAGAACTGCCTTTTGTAGGGTGTTACAGGGCAGTGATTGCTGAAATGAGATTGTAGTTGCAGCAGCTCTGTTGTAGTCTAGAGCTACTTTTAATTTAAAAACACAGTGTTGCAGGTTTCCTCCAAACCCCAGCAAGGTGAACAGCCCATCTGCCTCTGAAGCAGGGTCACCAGCTCATCCTTAGTGCCATGCTTTTGCAGTTTTGCTACTGTTTTAGCCTCTGAATAATTCCTTTTAATCAAGCTGTTACTGGATTCTTCAATGGGGTGCTCGGAATAACAGCATCGATGTCACACAAGATGAGCAGCGTGTCTCAAAGGGAAAAGGCTGTTCTTGTGATTAAAAACTATTCCCGTTTCAGCTTTGTAAAGCCACCTTTGTTGACTGTTGATGACATCTCTGAGTGCCTGTTTGAACAATACTGAGGGCTAATGAGATGAAAACTTGGTTTTTCATATCCTACCTGTTACCTTTTTGTGTCATTCAGCACTGATATTCTTTCGCAACTATTTTTCCAGCCTCATACCTATTTTTCTGCATAAAGTCCAAACTGTACAAAAGCTACCTAGAATTCATTCTCCCATCCAAATAGTTCATCAACACATCTTTTTCTACCACTGCTGTGAGCAAGACTTTTGGTAGAGAATGGTGTTCTGCAGTGGAAAAAACTATTGTGGAGTTGGTGGTCTGACAGCAATTTTAGAAAACAATTGTTAGCTCTGTGTTCACCCCTCAATCTCAGAAGTGAAAGATTTGGTTCTGTTTATTTCTCTCTTTTTCTCTTGTTTTAAACTCTTATTTATCTTGATGCCTGTTTAAAAGCAAAAGAAAATTCTAGAGCCGATTTTCTAGCACGAGCATCTCTTGTTTCATCCCCGCATCAAAAGCAATCCAAAGGACATGGGTTGCTTTACAGAGCATCCTCAACCCAGCAGGCATCACCCAGGGAGAGGCAATGCAGTCTCAAAGCCATGCAGAGGGAAGGGAGGGAGGGGAGGAGGCAGTGCACCCTCACAATTATCCTTTGAGAAGGGATTTCAGCACACAACAGGCTTCCTCTCTCCATCAGTAACCTTAGAGTGTCCTTTACCTGGTGCAAGGAAGAACAGGGATGAAACTTGGTGCTGTGCAGCCAGTTTCAGTTAGGAGTCAGAACAGGAGCTTTTTCACACGTGTGGGGGCTGCATTCCTGGCAGGTTGTTCCCCAGAGTGCCAGGACAAACAGTTGGGGCTGTCCTCATTTGTTTTCTCTCCTTTTACTTCAAGGATGGACTCACGCCACTGCACTGTGCGGCTCGAAGCGGCCATGACCAGGTTGTGGAGCTGCTCCTGGAGCGAGGTGCCCCACTGCTCGCACGGACCAAGGTGTGTGTGTGTGTCCTGTTAGGGTATGGAACACCTCTGTAACCTTCCACAGAGCTTTCAGTGTCGCTGAGAGGACGAGGAGGAAGACAGGAACGTAACTGTCCTCCCAAAGGAGATGTATTAATGGGTAGAAAGACCCAAAATAAGGTTTCCTTACATAATCCTTTCCAAATATGTGACAAGCGTATTCCTGTTTGCCCCTCTCTCTACTAATCACTCTAAACACATGATGTGGAGTGCTACTGCCAGCACTTACCTCGTGTTGCTTCCTGAGACTGTAGTGCACAAAAAAAAAGCTGGGTCAGTCACTCATGAGGTGATTGCTGGTACAAATTTTCTGAGTCCCCATATATGATAACGAGGATCGTTTCTCCTAATTGTTTTTATGTTTTTTTTTTTAACTAGGAAAATTATTTTGGTGTGTTCTTCCTCACATCTGGAAAACTTTCATATAAAAACATTCATACAAAGTTAAGGCATTTCCTACAAATTCTGTCTCTTTGGTGAAACTAATGAGAGGAAGATATTTGTACAATAGCAGAGCTCACTGAGCAGCACCTCACAACAACAAATGTCGATTCTTTGATGCGCCGCAGTCTTAAGTGAGGGTTACTGGAAGCTGCTGTTCTGCTCTCTTCTGTCACAGAATGGACTCTCCCCTCTCCACATGGCAGCCCAGGGGGACCACGTGGAATGTGTCAAGCACCTGCTGCAGCACAAGGCTCCCGTGGACGACGTGACGCTGGACTACCTGACTGCCCTGCACGTGGCCGCTCACTGCGGCCACTACCGTGTCACCAAACTCCTGCTGGACAAGAGAGCCAACCCCAACGCCCGTGCCCTGGTAAACCTGTCCCACCTGGGTCGTGTAACAAAGCTGGCTGCTAGCTCTTAGCAGGAAAGCCAAGTGAGAGGTGTCAGCAAACTCCACCAAGCCTTAAGTAGGTGCAGTAGCCACAGGGGTGTCCAGTGCTGTGCCTTATATCCTTAGGCCTAGTCACGGAACACACCCCGTGGCAAGTGGCTGTAGTGTTAGGTCTGGAAGCTCTGCAGAGTCCCCAAAATCAGGGCTGGCTCTGGCTGATGTTGGTGTATGCATTGGTGTTCTACTGAATTAGTGGTTCAGTTTTCTGTACCGGGTAATATGATACACAAATAATTTCTGGGATTTCAACTGAATTAGTGAGTCAGTTGGCATAGGGAAAACATATTGTAAAGCTAGTATTTCTGCATTTATCAAATTATGACATTTTCCTCTATTAGGTGCCATTTTCCTTTCTTTTCAAAAAACAGTTCTTTTGGTTACAGGACACCAGGTATGATTGCTTTTACTCACTGATCAAACCACTGCCCCTAACAAGGAGAAAAACATCACATTTGACTCTGGAAACATTTTGAGAGTCTTTAATGTATCCAAAGCCAGACAAGATGACAGTTTTCTCTACTAGGAACTGTTAGCTGGCTGGGAGTTCATGTACCAGTATATTGCACTATGACAGGGAGAAAAAGAGTCTGTGAACAGTTGAGATGCTCCTGCGTGGCTGGAGTTCTGCCACTGGGGCCTCCACAGAATCCCCACTGCAGGGCACTCGCATGACTTCCCCCCTTCCTGCCCACACTAGGACCCACTGTTTTCCTCTGCAGGCTCCCCCTGTCCTTTACTTCCTTGGAACTGACACCATTTTCTTCTGCCCTCTCATTTCTCTTGGCTTTTCCATACCAACAAATCCCATAGCCCCTTTTGCTTCCTCCTCTTACACTTTTCTTGCTTTGTTTTTCTCAGTGCCGTGCTCACTTGGTTGATCTTGTTTGACACCGTTTTCATCCTTGTTTTTTTTCCTTGCCAGTCTTCTGATTATCTCTAGCTGCACTTTCCTCAGCTACCCACACATAGCCCCTACATCTTCTTTCTTTCCTTCCATGACCAGAAATATATCTTCTGCTCCCCTCCCTCCATGCCTCCCTCCTTCCCTCCCTCCCTCAGTGAAACATCTGAAACAAAAGGAGAACACCCTCAGGCTGTTGCCTCTCTGCTCTCTTGCCACCAAACTGGTTTTCTCTCCCCCCTCTCCTCCTCCCCTCCTCATTTTCTCTCTCTCTGCCATCAGGGACTTGTCGCCTTTGGCTTGTTAATAGTATTTAATATATTAAATGAAGCTCATAATTTTTGTAAGTGATACATTTTTTTCCTGCCTTCTCCTCGTCCCCGTCAAACTGTTCCTCACTTAAATAGAAGTAGCAAAATTAAATCAACTGAGGTGGTGAAATTCAGTGAAAAAAATGGAAACTTCTGAAGCAGTAAAACTCCCTATGAAATATATTGAGAGATGTTGTGGGGGAGGTAAAATATCAAATGGTTTTGATTCCTTCTTTAGAAACTGGAGAAACAGTAATATTCAGCAGAGTTCAGTGATGGAATAAGTATTACAAAGAATTCATTTTCAGCTACATTTAAAAAAAATAATCGCTAATGTTTGCAAAATGCTTTGGGGATACAAGCACTATGTGAGTTCTCAGCTTTTTCAATGTGTATATGCTTTAAAGCACCCTCAAATGAACTAAGAATTAACATTTCCTATAACAGAAGCAGGCTGTAGAATAATTGTCACATGATTCTCTCTTCCCATAAACTAAGATTTCACTGCTAGGTTCTGGTTACTGCTGGTTGATTGTTTGGCAATACCGATCTCTTCATTAGGAAATGTAGCAATTTTTCGGCATTGTCTAAAAAATGTTACCTGTGCTTTTCACTAAAATGTTCACATGCAGTGAATAATGTGTTTGTTCAGCTTCAGACACGCTCTTAACCTGCATTAACTGTCATCAGATTATCATGACACCACAGCTGAAGGGGTGGTTCTTAATTTAAGGTACCTCAGAATGTGTACACGCACATACAAACGTGGATATTACACCTGAGGTTGATGTATAAACAGAAATACATCCGTTTGCTTAGATTTCAAGTAAAAAGACGGTTTAAGGTGGAATCTGGAAGAAGTACTCGGTTCCTCTCTCTCTCTCAGTTCAAGTGGCTTCAATCTGAGAGTAGATTTAGGTTGGATATTAGGGAGAAATTCTTCCCTGTGAGGGTGGTGAGGCCCTGGTTGCCCAGAGAAGCTGTGGCTGCCCCTGGATCCCTGGAAGTGTCCAAGGCCAAGCTGGATGGGGCTTGGAGCAATCTGGGATAGTGGAAGGTGCCCCTGCACGTGGTAGGAACAAGATGGGCTTTTCTGACCCAAACCTTCTGTGATTCTCCTAGAGAGGTACAGGAAATGCTTTATAAAGGCACTGGTTCTAAAGCATTCGCTGTAATTTCTTAATTTCCTTTGTGTTAGGCAGTCTTGGGAAGCACTGGGAGCCCTCCTCACAGACACGTGTGCATCCTCAGGAAGCACACACACACACACACACACACACTTGCAGTCAGGACGGGCAGATCTCAGTGTGGAGGTGGAGGTTCCCTTCCTCCGCCCTGCCTGGGAGGAAAGCAGCAGCACTGCTTTGTTGTGCCTCAGATAGCAGATGTCTGTAATTCATAACCTGTTGTGTTTGAAGAAGAGTTGCTTGTGGTAGTCTAACCCTTGTGCTCCCGGTGTGCCAGCTTGGAGCTGTGTGGGAAGTGTAGCTGCATGTTCCTAACTAACATCACTGTCTTTTGCACAGAATGGTTTTACTCCACTGCACATTGCCTGCAAGAAAAATCGCATCAAAGTCATGGAACTCCTGGTGAAATATGGGGCTTCAATCCAGGCTATAACAGAGGTAGCAAAATGTTTCATGTCCTGCAGACACATTCTTTCTCTCTCTCTCTCTCTCCTTTTTTGCTTCCTTTTTCCTTCTCTCCTGTCATGCCTCACTCTCCCGTGTGTTTTATTTAAACGAAGAAGCCTGTCCCTCCAGCCGTGCAGAGGAGTAAAACTGCTCTTGCTTTGTTTCGCAGTCGGGCCTCACACCAATACACGTGGCTGCATTTATGGGCCACTTGAACATAGTCCTCCTTCTGCTGCAGAACGGAGCCTCTCCCGATGTCACTAACATTGTGAGTATGGCTTTCGCTGGAAACATCTGCTCAGGACCCACTCCAAGTCCCTTGGTCACCACCTAGCTCAACCCAAGGTCACATTTTAATGATTCATTGTTGCCCTTCAGGGCAAATTATTGTAGAGTTTTTAGTGAAGAGGGGAAAGTGGTGGCTGCTGCATGTGTTGTAAGCCATCTCTGGTTTCATGTGTTCTACAACGATGCTCAAGTAGGTGAAGTTTTCCTTAGAAACAGACAAAGCTCACCAAAAACATCCAAAATTTGTATTATAAGCCAAATCCCACAGAGTCTGTGTTTCTGTTCTGAGGGATGGAATTAAAGTCCAAATGGCTCTAATTTCTGCCTGCAGAACTTCGCTGGCTGCCATGAAATTGTGTCATTCCTGTCAGCGAAGGAGTATAAAATGCTTTTATTATGCTTTAACCCCAACAATTAAACAAAAAGCAAAACTGGGAAACTCAGAATGTTCCTCTTAGACAGGAAATTCCAGGAACTGGTGATTAAATCTGGAAAATGTGACCTTTGGGATGTAACACAAAATGCAGAACCTGACTTACCATAGAAATCAGTGTTTGTATACCAACAGCTTAGTTACAAAATAAAAAAACAACAACAGAAACAACATTATAATTTTCTGAGATGTATTTCATAAGATATTTTACCGTTTGAATTTGTCAGTATAAACAAATATTCAACTTGGGACCACCTGTTCTTGGAAAGTAGCTTTTTTCAGCACGTAAGGTTATAGGTAAGTGCTTCCAACAACAAAAATTTAATAATCCTGGTACACTGGACTCATTAGTTTTTCTCAGCTAGAAAAATCTTACATGGAACCCAGTGCAATAGTTAGCAAGCAGAATTGTTTACGTGAATCATTAAAACTGACTTTTCATACTTTGTCATGGAAGCAATCTTTATGCAAGAACTTTATTGATAATAAAAAAAAACCAACACGAAAGTCTCGTGGAAGCAGTTAAAAATATTTTGTTACCAGGCATTTGTGTGAGAAGTTGAGCACTTTGCAATTTCTGCTACACAGGTGCCTTGGCTTTCACTTGGTAAGCTGAGGTTCCCTGTTGAATTAAGGTTTCCAAAACCTAAATTACTTTGCTAATTCAAGCACAAAAGGGTCATTGCAGAAATTTGATCTTTAGAGTGTTTTTCACTTATTAAACGGCTTGTTCTTCAGATAATAAACTTTATATATGATGGAATTATTAAGATTAGGGCTGTGGGATTTTTTTGTTGCATACCTACTAATCACAGTTGGTAACACAATGTTAATTTAAAAATGACAAGCTAAGTTAACTGCGGGTGACGAGGGTTTGTAGCTGCCCTCAAGGAATCCTCATTTTCAGTGTTTCTTTGAAAACCTATGCAAAAAGTAAAATGCTTTGAATATTCCCAATCTGAAATTGCATATCACTTCAGTCAGCTTTCCAAAATTTCCTATTTTTCCAATTCTGTGAGCTACAAAAGGCTTGAAACAAGATTGATTCCACAGCCCGGAGCCACACCGCTGAGTACAGATTTCACACATTTCATGCGCTGGCCGAGTTGTGCTCAGCCATTGCAAGGCCTCTTAATGCTGCCAGCTCCACACAGTGTGCAGGAAGGGACCATCTGGAAAAATATCCCCTTCCATCCTGAGGCTCCTGCGCCGTGCGATCCCTAGAGAGAGCCAGGCTCAGTGTGCTCTCATCTCCTGTGTGGCACACGAGCTGATGCCACGTCACACAGAAAGCTGAGGGACATCTGTGTCCAGGGCAAGTCTATCTGACAGAATTTTCCTAAGCTGGGGTTTTCATTCTCTCAGTGGTGTTAAGGCTTTGTTTGTCTGGGATTGGCCAAATGGCAGACCAAGGCATTTCCAGGTACAGTGACAGGTACTCACACCCCACCCCGGGGCTGAAGACAGGGTCTCAGCCGGCAGGAGGATGGGTCCCAGTGTCAGTTGTCATGGGTGGGACTGGCACTGGCAAAGATCTTTCTTCATGGAAGTTTAGGACACTGAAATGCTTTTGCTTTCCCACAGCGTGGAGAAACCGCATTGCACATGGCAGCACGTGCCGGGCAGGTGGAAGTGGTTCGCTGCCTGCTGAGGAACGGGGCCCTGGTTGATGCCCGAGCCAGGGTAGGTGTTCTGCTTACAATGCTGTTTCTCTCCCCTCTTAAAACCACGGCTGAAGGAATCACCCACCACCTTCCTCTCCTCCATTACTCCGTTTTTCCTGTTATCACTTCCTATGACAAATGCATAGGAAGGTGTGTGGGGACCAGGAGGATGCTGTGCTCACAGGGTGGCTCCCCAGCGCTAATGACGCACTCGATTTGAGTTGTAGGAAGAACAGACCCCGCTGCACATCGCCTCTCGCCTGGGCAAGACGGAGATCGTGCAGCTGCTGCTGCAGCACATGGCCCACCCCGACGCCGCCACCACCAATGGCTACACCCCGCTGCACATCTCTGCCCGGGAGGGGCAGCTGGACGTCGCCTCCGTGCTCCTCGAGGCGGGCGCCTCACACTCCATGTCCACCAAGGTCAGGCAGAACTCTTCACACCCCTATGAGTGTGTTTTCACACTGAGAAATGGGAAGTGGTTTGGGCCTTTCGTTGTGTTCTTGTTTAATCGGCAGCAGTCCGGTAGACTGAAGTAACGTGTCACACGTTAATCAAATTTTAACTTTGTTGTCATCTAAAATTGAGTTTGATTGTCATTGAAGGCAAATGTGGATCTTGATAATTACACAATCCCAGCAGGTTTAAAATGTCCTTGTTTCTCCCTTTCCCTTTGTCTTATAGGCACAGCTTTTTTTTGGGCAGAATTTCCAAAAAAGAAAAAATAGACGGCAATGACACATTTTTTTTTATGATCAGGCCTCCTTTTATTCTTCAATACCTTATTTATTTAAATATCAAAATAATTCTGCCCTGTGCTAGCTGAAAGGACTGTTCCTAAAACATAGAAGTCAGCATCTGCCTAGTCACATCGAATGCTGGATCTATTTTCAGTGGTTCTAAAATGAGGTGTCATGTGACACAACAGGCCATTTTGTCTGGGATTATAAAAGAAATGCTCTCCAGAATCACTAGTGAGTTTTGTTAGCCAAAAATGGTACCAACGTATTCCTAACAGAGAGATGAATATGTAAGAAAGTAGATAGCTGTGAAGAGAATTATATACCAAGATATCTTTTCTGATTTTAAAGCATTTGGTAAGGGAGAATCACGTAATTTTCGCTATTTATAAAAGTACCCTTGGTTTTACAGCTGGAGCTTAAAACATGTTTATGAACAACGGCATGTCTTCTAGGGTTTAAAAGACTAAACCAGCAATTTTCAAATTATGATCCATGGATTACTGGGAGGGCTTGCTGTTCTCCTTTTATCCAGCTGTTAAATCACATTAGAATGGCTAAAAATACACTAAATACTTTCCTCATTTCCCGTATTGCTTGATGGCAATTAGTATTGCAGGAACATTCTGTAATTATGAATAGGAGAAGATGGAGCCCGCTAGATAATATCTTTATAGACCTGCGATTTGTGAACTGAAAACGTTTGAGGTTACCCAATATAAACTCTTTCTGAGGAGGGATTAGTTGGAACTAAATGACAATGATAATAAACATTAAACATGACTTATATGCCAGGCAAATAGGTCATTGCAGCTTCCCAAAATTACTGTCAGGCAGCGGTGCAGGCTGCCACCTACTGTCATACATTCCTGAGCTTTCCTTACCAATTTTTTAATTAAATCAGGCAAAGAGAAGCGCTCTTTTTTAGCTTCAGTAGAACTTTGTTACTGTTTGAATACACAAATCCAAGTACAAATAGTTTTTCACCAAACCCTGCTGGAGGAAGGGAATTGGAGTTCAGAGGTTTTTTTTCAGATGAATTTAATTGGTGTTTCACTGTTACTGGCAACGATTGGTGCAGGAAATACTTGTAAAGCTGTCATCATGGAACAAAAAAAAAGATGCAGCTGGTTTGGGGTGTAAATTTGAAGAAGTGCCTTCATTGCCCCCACGCAGTGTGTGTTGCTAGTACGGTCTGTATCAGATAAAATGTCTGCCAGCCCGAGAGCACATAAGTAGGGAAAAATAATAAAAGGGAAAGTATTTTCTTGTATTTTATGCTTCTCAAAGCGTTTTCAAGGCAGGCTGCTCCTTCTAGGTTCGCTGTCGATTCTGATGTTGAAGACTAAGTGCTTAACACACGGTTCTTACACAAGAGATGTCAGCGTGACCTTTAACACAAACATCTGTGTTTTATCCCCTGGAATTTTTCAGAAGGGATTCACACCGCTGCATGTGGCGGCCAAATACGGGAGCCTGGAGGTGGCAAAGCTTCTGCTGCAGCGTCGTGCCTGTCCTGATTCTGCTGGCAAGGTACTGCCTGGAAGAAAAATTCACAAGTGTGTTGGATTCTTCCTTAAGGAGGAGCTGCGTGAAATATCCACCCCAAAAAAGGCTGCAGCTGCTTTTGCATGGTGGCTGTGGCTTTGTTGGGGCCGTGTCTCCCCCTGGGTGAGAGTGCTGCTACCACACGGCACGTTGAGTTTGGGTCCATGGCAGGAAGGGCACACGGCTGCTCTGAGGGCAGGTGTGTGTCTGTGGCTCAGGAAGCACCGGTTCCACCAAGCTGCCTAAATTCCCAATGGATAAACACAGGCGCAAAGCCCAGGTTTCCCCTGGCGCGGCGTGAGGAAAGCCTGCAGCCGCCACCCTGGTTCTCCCGGTACGCTGCTTCTCCCCACTAACAGCCAGCTAGCTGCCTGCCATGGCCTTGCTCTCCACCCCCATTTCCCCCCTCCCAGTCCCTCCCCGCTCCCCCTGACCCCTGGAGCCCCCCATCCCGGTGTCCTCCATGCCGTGTCCCGCCGTGTCCCGCCGCCCTAACGCCGTGCCCGCCCTTTCAGAACGGCCTCACCCCGCTGCACGTGGCGGCGCACTACGACAACCAGAAGGTGGCGCTGCTGCTGCTGGAGAAGGGCGCCTCGCCTCACGCCACCGCCAAGGTGAGCCCGCCCTCAGGGCAGCCCTCATCCCTCGTCTTACGGATATTCCTCGCCTCCGGCCTCGGCGGTGCCCTGAGAAATGTGTGTTCTGACCGGGCGTGTGGGGAACGATGAGCGCAGGGGGAGTTCATTGCTGGCTTAGGAGTGGTGTCGTGGTGTCGCTGCGTCGACGAGGGCGGCCCTGAGGGGACTCGGTCCCTGCAGAGTTTTAGTCACGGCTGGATGTGACAATAGTCACTTCACTAATGTGCAGTGCTAGCAATGACATTAGAGATTTTATTCCGGGGTTAGGAGTGGTGGTGTGGTATCACCGTGCAGGGAGGGGAGCCCTGAGGGGACCCTGGAGCCCTGAGGGGACCCTGGAGCCCTGAGGGGACCCTGGAGCCCTGAGGGGACCCTGGAGCCCTGAGGGGACCCTGGAGCCCTGAGGGGACCCTGGAGCCCTGAGGGGACCCTGGAGCCCTGAGGGGACCCTGGAGCCCTGAGGGGACCCTGGAGCCCTGAGGGGACCCTGGAGCCCTGAGGGGACCCAGCCCCGTCAGAGCTTTGGTTGCAGCTGGAAGTCACCTCGCTGTTGTGTGGTATTAGCAGTGACTTTAGAAATGTGTGTTCTGACCATGCACACAAATCGTTCCGGGGTTTAGGAGTGTGTTGTGCTACTGCTGTGCAAAGCAAAAGCTGATGAGAGGGGGAGATGGTGACCAGATGGGCGCGATACCAGAGTGTCCTACCCTGTGCAAGGTTGCTGATCTGCAGGCTTTCAGGAAATGCTCAGGGATTGCATTGGGAATGTGGTTTCCATGGCAGTGCATGGAAAGCGGGATAGTTTGGGAAACTCACGCTTAAAAAAGCCCAACGAAACAACCACAGGCCAACCCAACCAAGCACCCCCCACAGCACCTGCGTGCTGGCACCTGGGATTTTCCCCTCACGATGTGTTATAAAGCAATTAGGAAGTTGTCTTAGTGCCAGAAAATGCCATTCTTCTGTGCTTAAATTATTAATTTGATCACAAAAACATTGCACCCCGTTGCTGTTTTCAGCCTGTGGCTGACACAAATGGATCAAAATTCCATATGCATGTCTCTACCCACATGCTCTGAAAAAGCATGTGATGAAGGGTGTGCACCCATCCCTCTCCACGGGGAATGTCACTCACCAGTCAAAAGGGATTATTTGCAACATAGGTTGTACAAAATGTAGGTGTCAAACTTGGAATAGTTTGAAGGTATTGGTGGAACAGTCCTGCCCACTGTGGTGAAGGCTGGCTTTATTCTGGTTTAGGTGATGAAAATAACAGATGGACAAAACAACACAACAACAGGCCCATGTGGGACATGTCTGGCCTTGAAAATTTAATGAACTCTCATCTCTAATAGCAGGTGTAACATCAAATAATACTGTTTCATGGTGCCTGACTTCTCAGGCTTCCATGGTTGTTGTGGTGACTTTATTTTCCTTTTTTTTTTCCCTGTCTGGTGTCAGAATGGATACACCCCTCTGCATATCGCTGCCAAGAAAAACCAGATGCAGATAGCTACCACTCTCTTGAACTACGGGGCTGAGACCAACATTTTGACCAAGCAGGGAGTCACCCCACTTCATCTGGCCTCCCAGGAAGGTCACACTGACATGGTGACTTTGCTTTTGGAGAAGGGATCCAACATCCACGTGGCAACAAAGGTAATTGACAATTGGAAGAGAACCATTATGGGTGGGAGTATCCAGTAAGATACAGCATTGGTGTCCGTGGGTGGGTTTAACAACCTGCACCAGAAACCTGAGAGCTCCAGTCTGAAATAATTCAGTGCTTTCACCAGCAAAGGCTCTTATCAACATGTCTTTATCCTTCAGTGATAAGTGAAGAAATTTACATTCTCTGGCAAATAAGAAAACAACCGCATTACCGGAGTAGAATAAGAAAAATTCTTTGGAAGACCTCTCCAAATTTTTTTTAATGGTTCTGCATGACAGCTTTTTTACAGAAAACAAGGTCATAAAAAAACCCCAAACCATTACTGCAAATCTTCACGGGTCACTGGGTTTATCCAGGCATGTATGCAAATCTTATTTATGCAGATGGAAAGCCTGCAGCTTTTGCTCATGTAAGTTAGAAGAGAAGGCTCAGGTATCTCTTTGCATGAAGTTAATATATTCTGCTAATAGAAACAAGGTGATTTTCATTTCTTGTACAAAATTTGTTCCATGCCTTGTTCACAGGAAAGCACTGCACGTGATTGCAGTGAGCTGTCAGTTAGAGGCTGCATCCTTTTCCCTGGCAATAAAGAATGGGATCTATTTCTGGAGTTAATGTCTTCATCTGGCTCATGCCTGCAGTTGTCAAGGTTCCCCTTTCTGTCTGAGGAGTGGGAAGCACATTTTATTAATGGGATTCTCAGCTTCCCAAATGACATTATCATAGAAAATCTTGAGCATTCATGCCTGAAAGTTTCCCTCTATGGTTACGGTGGCATAATTGTTTTGGAGCTGTTTGTCAGCTGGAACAGGAGCGACATCCACTCTACTTTGTTTAAAAACACCACCCATATTCAGGAGCTATAGTTAGGATCTGATCATGTTTTAAAGATGAGCAAGTGGGAAAGTCTAGATTTTTTTCCTTACATAAAGTAGGGTTTTATTCTTACTTTTATCTGTTTGTTTACTTACTTGTTATATTCCATCTCCAGGCTGGACTGACATCGTTACACCTTGCAGCTCAAGAGGATAAAGTGAATGTAGCCGAAATCCTCACCAAACACGGTGCAAACCAGGATGCTCAGACAAAGGTAAATCACTGAGTGGCTGCTGTCTCCAGCATGCCAAAGGGTGCTACCCTTGTCCAAGGAATGTTCCACTGAGCTTGCAGTTTTACTTCTTTGTTCTCCTCCTGTAGCTTGGTTATACACCTTTAATTGTGGCCTGTCACTATGGAAACATCAAAATGGTGAATTTTCTCCTCAAGCACGGAGCAAATGTCAATGCTAAAACAAAGGTAAAGAATTTTCCATTGCTTTGCTTTTGCTCTTTATTCTGAACATGGTAACCCAGCACTCCTCCGTGACATATGTGCTTTTTCCCTTGGGAATTCTAACCATGGCATGGGAGGTGTCTGCCTATGGTAGCTGTAATGGAATGCCCTCTGTCTGCTCCATCTCATGGTGTGGTGTTCAAGAAAGAAAAGCTAGATAACTCTGTGTGTATGAAAAAATGACACAGACTATCGATTTAACTGATTTTTCTTTTTCTTACTACTTGCAAACTAGCAAATGGAATTTTGTTCCTGACCTCGTTTCCGCGTGGTTTACACCACTGTAATACCACTGTGCTGCCAAACTAGCAAGTAACAATTCAGACACTTTGAGGGTGATGCCAGGTTCTCTCCAATATGCTGGGAGAAGAGTGGGAAGGGTTGCTGCTGTTCAGTGTGTGGGTGGGATGACTCTGGGAGAGGAAGCAGCTGTGGTAAGGGAATGTGGTTTACTCAGGGAGAGTTTGGGGTTTTCTGAGGGGAATCTGCTGAAATCTGACCAGATACACTGAAACGGGCCTGACTACCTGTCTGAACAAAGTCTGAACAAAGCTCCCTGACTTCAACAGTTTCTCCGGGGATAAACTGCTGGGCACAACAGCTGGATGGGATGCATTTTGTGGCAAGAGCTGTGTGTCTTCTGAGAATGCAAAGAGAGGTTCTGATGGCAACAACAGTGTGTGTTGCATCCCAGAAATCATCACATCACTGTTATCAGAAAGAGAAGGCTAACTCAGAAGCTGTGGGGCTCCAGCCTGGTTAAAGCTGACTTGAGGCAATTACTGGCTACTGGCTTTTAGCTGCATGTCTTGGGACCAACAGGAAGCAGCTCACTGATAGTATTTTTAAAATCCCATCAAAATCACTGGCTTGTAGTCTGCTGGTCCCACTGGTCAGCTCCCTTGTCCCCAGCTGGGGCCTACGGGATGATTCATTCCTCAGAGTAGCATTATTTGTCACTGTGGTCACAGCTCAATGTGGTAAGAAAGAGCCAAGTAAATAAATAAAAGATTCTGGCCCATCCCTCGTGGGATTAGCCAGAATCAATGGGCAAAACTCGGGGATTCCGAAAGGACAGGCAACACTACTAGAAAAACAGCTGATGAGAATTAATAAACCAGGCACTAGTGGGATCCAAACTACAGCTGCCAAGACGTTCAGCTGACGTATTTGGAGGCTAACTCAAGGGACAGACCAAGTTGTGTCTTCAGGATTAGGTCTGTCTTTGTGTTTAAAGGGCCACTGGGACAGATTATGATTCCATTCACCAAGGTATTTTAGTTATTTAGAATAGTTGCATTATAGTCAGCAAGTTTGTATAAGGAAGCAGCTCTCCAAAATCTCACACCTAGGGACCACTAAAAATACTGGCAATTTGTCAAGTGGTGCTGTGGACTCAGTTTAAAGAATAAATCCTGAACTCAGGATGGTCGTGGTAAAGAACAAATAACCCCTGTTGCAGCTTGGGCTTTCATTAGAGAAAGCCTCCATGTGCAAAGAAGCACATGAATTCTATTTTTGAAGGACTGCACTTTTCAGGTAAAGGTAGTGAATCTACTTTCCACTAGAACCTACAGTAAGCAGTAGTTCTTAGCAGTCCATGCACTCACACTGTCAGTGTAAGAACCCTAACAGTTCTGACCTATCAATCAGTGTCTAATTAGCAGTGCAAAGCGTTGCTGGCACCTATTTGTTTGCAGCTCTGCGAGAACTCTCAGAGCACGTTTTCAGAGCCTGCCCCAGGCATTACATAAGGCTACAGTGAGATCAACCTGGGGTTTTCTTCCAATTTCTTCTCTGCATGCTTGCAAAGCCAGTTGCAAATAATTTTGTAAATCAATTGCCTGACTGGACTTACACAATACCATCTCAGATCAGCCAGCTTAAGCACGCTTTGGTTGTGTTTCTGTACTGTGTGACACAAGAGCAAACCACTGGAGCGGATGAGTATCTTGAACTAAGCATGTTTATTAAGGTAGACACTGTGTACAAGTTTCTAAGTGTAATTACAGCTTGGTCCAGCCTTTTGGGGGCCAAGAGAAGCTAAAGTTGATTGACATTTGTAGTAGGTATTTGTTGTTAGCCTTTTAAAAAGCAAATAGGCTTTAATCACTGCTGTTAAAAATGATGTGTTTTTTAAATTAACTCAGATATTTTCAAGGCAAATCTTGGGCCCTCTGTTGAAAACCAGGATGTGAGAGGAAGAGGAATGTTCTCTGCCTCAGCTATGATTCTGTGCCCTCAGAGTGCCCCTTTAACTTTGCTGTTCCACGTTGTTCCTTCCTCTGATTTAGAAAATGGGGGAGAAATGTCTTTTCATAGATTTCTTTTATTGTGAGAGAAATAATTTTTGAATAAGAATATTACCTTCCTTTATATATTCATTTATCTGGGGAAGGAGAATTATTATTACCGAAGGAGAATTATTTTGGGGTCGATTTGTGTCATAATTTACGTTTGAAATATCTGAAAAGGAGCAGAAGGAAGCAAAGTGAAACGTCTGATCTGATGATGGGTTCTTGTTCTTTGTTTGCTTTTGCTGTCACCGCCGTGGATAACAGAATGGGTACACCCCTCTTCACCAGGCTGCTCAGCAAGGCCACACTCACATCATCAACGTCCTGCTGCAGCACGGGGCCAAGCCCAACGCCATCACCACGGTAAGTCTGGCGTGCCACTGGGAACTTGTTTCCCTGGGCAGCTCTTTGCTTTCCTTCCTTAGGGCTCAAGGGCATGCCGTTGTTTTGGTGAAAGTATTCCTCATACAGCTGGTTGTCATATGTGGAAATGTAATTTCCTCTGCTTTCCCTTATCCTCTTAAGGTAGTTCACTCCGACCTAACTGTGCACTAAGCTAAATGTGAGGTGGAGAAGCAGATTCCTGAGCTGCAGGATCAGGCTGGCCACAGCTGTCTGTGCCAAACTTATTCAGCTTCCCCCCGCCTCAACACTTCTCTCTGGAAACTGATACCTCCAGAAGGAGTTTTCCATAAAAATCAAGAGCAGTTCAGAACCTGAGTTTCTGGTTTTTTAGTTTTTTTTTTTTAAATTTAGACCCAAATTTCTGTCCCTCCACCCACTGGATAGGTATCAGGTTCTTACTGTGTTCACCTCAGTGAACTCAGTTAAGTTAATACCTCCTCAAAGACCATCAATAGCTCCTGGCACAGCTCCTCCTCTGCAGTCAGCCAGCCAGGAACACGACTGTCCTATTTCACGTTGATGTTGTTGTTAGTCACCTCTAACTGGGTAATCATTAGAACACTGCCAGAGTGTCCAAAACTCCTGCCATTCCCCAGAGTGGATCGGTTTTCCATATGCCTTTGGAGTTTAAATCAGCATTGGCACCATATTTGGTCCTGGAACAATCAAGTGGAATAATCTTGTGTGAAAGTTATCCAAAATTCCAGTTTGTGCATTGGATCATCAAGAGAGACCACTGTAGTCAGTTTCTGGGGCTGTAGGTACTGTTTGGGGTGTTCACCTGAGGGTCTCTTGACTTGGTTTCAGTCCTCACATTGGGGCTGTCATGCCCAGGTCTAACCCAAGTCCAAGCAGCCTTAGTCATGTGTCCTTGCTGCGCATTGGGCTGCTGCTACAGATACTTGAGCTGTCCTTGTCCACGCAGAGCAACCTCTGTCTTGAGACAAGAGAGAATTTCAACCTGAGACATCTGGCAGGGAGATGTGGGAGTGGTGTATGAGCAGCTCATGTGCAAGTGACAGTACCAGTCAAATTATTTGTGCTGTGAAGGTGCTAATCTCTTCATGGTGCGCTGCTAATCCACAAACTCTGTGTTGCTTCAGGGTGGCTGAGCTAGACTAATACAGAAGAGTTTAAATTATAAGATTAAGATTAATTAAGATAACTAAAGTTAAAGAAGCTAAATAAGAGAGAGCCCTGATAAACCCTGCTCATGGTGCAGCAGGGTCACAAGGGAAACCATTTCCGTGCAAAGAGCGGTAGAGTGATGGTCCACGATTCCTCAGGAGGACAGCATGTTGTCCCTTGGTTCAGTGTGAAATAGCATGGAACAATTCTCTTTACAGAGAAGCATGGAGCACATCCCTTCCTCCCCTCCCTAATCTCAGTGACACTGGGACTGTGGACTGCAAGTGTTCCAGGACATGAAATAGGGATAAATAGGCCTAAACCCTTGCTAAATTATTTTAGTGTACATTTAGTGAATGACACATCTCTATGTGTTATGAACATTCAAACTGCAAGTAAAGGTATTTAAATGGAACTATATTCCTCACCTCCAAGCTTTTTGTGATTTGCATTTGTTAAATCATTAGCTTTTGTGAACTGTTAATGGAAGTACTTTTTTGTTGTATGAAGGCATAGGAGTATATGTGGACAACACAGCTGTAATTTTATACTCCCCAGATAAGGAATTGTACCTGGTAAAGGTGTAACAGTTTCAGCTGGGAGTGAAGCTGTGAAAAGTTAAAATACTTCTTACTTTTTAGAGGAGTATTTCTGCAAAATAAACCCCAAACTGATGCAGGCAGTATAGGGAAATGTGAGCCCTGAGGGGTTAAACCATACAGCGCCGTAGTATTTGGAATCACTGGCAGATGTGTGTTGTGTTACCATGGCAACTGGGGCTATAGTCTTAAAGAAGTTACAAAGACAGAGTCAGATGTAACGGTAAAAAAGCCGTGATTTTCCTAGGCTGTGCCTTGTTTTGGATGGAAATGCTGGCTCATGCAGCGTGGAGAGTGATCTCATTGGTTCACATCACAATCCTCCCTCTCTCTCAGCGCACTCTCCCCCTCTCTCTTCCCTTCAGAATGGTAACACAGCCTTAGCCATCGCCAGGCGCCTGGGATACATCTCCGTGGTCGATACGCTGAAGGTTGTAACGGAGGAGATCACCACCACCACAACTGTGAGTTGCACATGCATTCAAATGTGCCTCTTCTTTACTCAGAGTGTTGTCTTGCTGCTCTCCCCTCAGGCTCTCCGTGCATCTCTTTCCTTTTCTGTTCTGTTTGGGGAGTTTTAGCTCCCCCCCCTCCCCTTTCCTTTCTGTTGCATTTTTGCTACAGTGCTTTGAGTGTATCTTAGGAGCATGTGGAAATGTGTGCAAGGCAACAGGCTCCCCTGAGCTAGGGAACAAATTCTCTGTGCACAGCCATGGTAAACAGCAATTCAAAGTAAATCTTGTTTCTAGACCCGGTCTGAACTGCAAACCCAAACTTTGCAGAAGTTTGTGCCGTGTAATTTAGATCCTGCCCTGTTTCTCTGTTTTTCTTTTCACCTCTCCTTTTCCATCTGGCCTTACATCTCCACACTTTTGGCACCTCCTGAGGCTCCTGAATCCTTGCAGCATCTCTACGTTTGGACTGCACCCGCCATGGCCCAGAGCCAAGCTGAATGATGCTCACTGGATGGCTGTGAATCACATCCATCATCTTCTTACTTCAGTCACTTCCAGTTCAAACAGATCCTGTTATTCCAAAATGCAGAGGAATCTTTCCTTGCTCAGTCCTCTCAGTGCTCCACACTCCTGGAGTCTCTATTTTGATATCAGGGCTGGTGAATGCTGTGTGCTGAACATCAGCAAGGTGGTACTGCAGCTTTAAGCCAGGAAAAGCTGATCTATTAGGACACCCTAAGAGGAGAAGTTTTTCCCTCCTTGCACTTTTACCTCCCATCTATAACTGTCATAGCAGCTAGGAAGGGAGAACCTTAGGAAAAGTGCATAATTTAAGAAATTATATTTAATTTATATCTTGGTTACTGCATTTATCTTGAAACACTCTTGTAAGGCCATGCTTTTTTATTTTGTTTCTTTATTTTTTTTTAAAATGCAAGATTAGTGGTATAGAAACCTCATCAGCTCTGAATGACATTTAAGAGCTTAGAGCTGTAAAAATCTCTAGATTACTAAAAAGATGCCACTTCTCAGTCGAGGGGAGGATTATAAGATGAGAAATCCAAATTCTCTTGTAAAGAAATAGGAAAATAATTTTGATTTCATTGCATGCTGACAGCAAATCCCACTCGATATGAATCAAGGAAGATGCAATGGTGAAAGAACCGAGGAACATGGCATAAGGTTACAAATAGAATTAGTCATAATTTATTAATGAACTGCAAAGATCAGGCTGAGTCAGGTTTGGAGAAGGAATTTTGGCATAATTCCAGAAGACTCCTGATAAAGACTTTGTGTCTCAGTTACTACTTCATGTTTTTGTTTAATCATATAGCACATCACACGTGTACATACACAAACACATATGTGTAAAAACCAGAAGTTTAGGAAAATAGAAAAAATTACTTATAACTAAATAAATTCTATAAAAATAGAAAACAAGGAAAATTATTTGGAGAAACTTTAGTTCTTATATTTTCAAGCTTCAGAGGACGCCTGAAGTGTTAGATGTCTAAAATAAAGAATCACACTACGGAAAGACACACGTGAGTTATTTACTTTGGAAAAATATTTCTTTAAACATTGAGGATGAATGTTTTTCCTACCAGACACCTGATGCCTGGGGTTTAGGACTGAGTCAAGTACTGAAAACTTACTTGTAGAGTTGACCTTTAGGGCAGATTGCAGAGAAATCTGAAATCTTGATCTGTGTCTGCATACTTTAAAAGTCAGGTGGGAGCCCTCGATAAACTCATCAGATTCTCCGGCTATGAGTTCATCTAAGCCTTGTACCTCAGGGATTATGGAGTGGTGGTGTTTGTTGGGGGGGATGTTGATTAAAACATAATTTAGAACAATTCCTGTGAAGGAGGCCTAAGTAGCAGGTGCTCCCTGCGGTCAGGTTCTCCAGATGGCGAGGCTGGTGCTGCCAGACCTGAGCCCTGAGAGAAGGTGCTGTCACCATAGCTACCTCATTCCCTGAGGCTGGGCTGAGCCCTGCACCGAGGACATGATTGATATGCAAGTCACTGCCACTCGAGGTGAGGGAAAGATCCAAAGCCTTTCTTCACTCTAACTTGGAACAAATCTTCCTCTTACTTGTGTTATTAGTGGAGCCACATGAATATATAGCAACAGAGAGAGTAAAATGCACTTTTTTTACTGACAAACTAGGGAGCAGTAGGAAATGAGGATAAACTGGACTTTAAGAGGTTTGCTATGCAATTAAGTTTGGGGGCATTTATACAAACAAGCTGTGGATGGATGAACAGATGAGGAGCTTTCAGGCTGTTTGCAGCATGCTGCTGTGAGTAAGTCATTGCTGAAAGCACATGTGGGATTACGTACCTGAATTATAGATTGGAATTATTCTATGCCAGCCAATGAAATTCTGGCCTTACAATTGAAGGCTCAAATACAGAGGCCTTATTTAAATTCCATCATGGAATTCTCAGTGGCACTAAACCTAAGGAGTTTGAGAAATACACACTGAGCAGTTTTCCACGTGGGCCATTCATGGGGCTAGATATGGATATTAAATTTTGAGAGTGTTTGATGTGCCTGTCAGTTAAAAAAAATCTCATATCACACTGGATGCTCCTTTAAAAACATTAATTCCCAACAGAAGTTGTTTGGATTAGAATTAATGCAGAATCACTTAATGATTCTTGCCGAGTTCAGTGTTCCAAAGATGGCATTGAAGATTTTTTGTTCTGTAATGTGCATGTGCGCACACACTCTTGTGAATCTCTTCTCCAAGCTTTGTTTCAATTGTTCAATTCTGAAGTAATTTTTTTCTTACTGATGGGGGAAAGCCAGGAAGTCAATCAAATATCCTTGCTTCCCTGTAAATAGATAATAATGTCTGCCAGTCTTAGAGACCAGACTATATAGGGGCCTGTAAAAACCTAAGTAATGCCTAGATGGATGTAGTGGTCTATAAACCTTGGTTGCCTGGGTGATAGAAAAGTGGACAGTGATCATCTCTACCTGCAGCTTGTGCTTTAACTTAGCTGATTGCTCAGCTTCTTTGTCTCTTCAACACCAGAGTTAACAAAGTCAGTGCCACCTGAATGATAGCACTTCCCCATATGTCATCGCTGGCCTTGTCACCCCACTGCTGCCTGACATTTCTATCCCAGGAAAGCCATGGGAATACAGGGGAAAAGTCAGTGCTGGTGGTGGGGACATTTGGTGAATATAAACTAATTTGCAGCCCTGAACATGTGTTCTGCTGCAACAGAAATAATTAGTTGTTTTTACTCATGGGGAAGAGTGAATTTAGGAGCCTAATTGGGATTGCTAGTTGAGGCAAAGGGCATTGTTCTTTCCCTGTACCTCAGGAGGGTAAACTGGAACTGCTGTCAGAGTTAAATAGATTTCAGAAATATAGAGCAGACTTGAAAAACTAATTTCCAAAGTAATTATATGGTTGGTAACTTAGTTATTTATGAAAGTACAGTATTTTACAATAAGCAAGAATGCTGGCTTTGTCAGTTTGTTAGAAACAGAGAAGCACATAACAGGATCAGGAAATAACTAGTAAGTTTTGTGCAACAAAAGCTGCTATTAACTTCACTGCTTGATATCAGTGGGCATTTTCCCAAAAGAATATTGCATAAGGGGCTGAAGGTTTGGCTGATTTAATTATCCCTCCCGTGAAACACTTTCACTCCTCTGCACGTAACGTTAACGCGTGCATGGGATAGAGGGGATCTGCGGCAGTGGAGTGAGTGCTGCCTCAGAGGGGCTTTCTTAGGGGAGACACGCGGCCTCCTGGCACTCCTCTCCATGCCAGAGGGGCACCTGTGCTCCCACACATCCTTAAGGGCCCTTGCCCTCAGCAGCTCCCCAGCTCGGCTGGGAGGAGCCACGGAAATTGGTACTTGTTGGTTGTGACCGAGGCACTTGTGATCACCACTCCTTCTGAAGCCCTTGGCATTTTGTCCCCTGTATCGTAACGCACTGAGGAGTTCCCTGCAGGCAACTTCTTCACATCTTGCGCTTCCTACAGTTCCTCTGCGTTATGTTCTTCATCTCCTTCTCCAGTCTGAATCTGCATCCTAAAAAGATGTCCTCACTCTTGATTCAGCACCCCTGGACATCTTCTGTTTCCTCCCAGAATTCATTTATGAAGATGAAATTGCATTTTAAAAAAAAACAACAAACATCCAGTATTTTTGTGCTCTGTGCTCTCATGTTTAACCAGAATCCTCCCACTATTCCTCAGTCCGTACTTGCCTTGACTCACAATATTTTGAGTTTTTAGATGCACAAGATGTTTCAGAATCTTCAAACAACTTTTTTTTTTTCTCCTCTGATGTGTATGTGCCTAGGAGGAATATACATGATTTATGAAAAGGATATAATTAATATTCACTGTAGTCACCTTTTTCTGGAGAGGGAGGAGAAATGTTTCAAGTGATCTGTGTAAATCCTTCACATCTTCTTTTAGTTTAGGAATTTCACATCATTCATAACTTCATTTCCAAATGCTTTACAATTTAATAATTTCCATATGCCCCATACAACTATCTGAAGCTCTTCTGTAGACATTACCTAATTCATTTTAAAATCATCTTGGAAACATTCAGCTGAATTGTCCTACATGCACCATTATAAATAAATTTCATTTCTCTGACCAGCTCATTATCTTATGTTTTTGTACTTCTCTGCCAGAAGAAATGTTACCTTATGCAGCGCTGAGAATAGGAGCTTCTGGACTAAAGATGAAAAGGAGAGTTAGAGGAAGGGTAAACACTTCATGAAAAGCCTCAGCACATCTTGCTGCTGTCTGTTGAAAACACCCTGCTCTAAACTTTGCTCTCTGACTGATGATTCTGTCTTTGCAGACTGTAACAGAGAAGCACAAGCTAAATGTACCCGAGACAATGACTGAAGTCCTGGATGTGTCAGATGAAGAAGGTGAGTGACTTTGCTAAATTCCTCTTCCATATCACCTATGTAACCTGTTATATAGGCTGAAAAAAGCTGCTTGAGTACTCTGACATCTTCATTTTGCTGTGCTTGTAATGAAGTTTTGTTTTTTTTTTAATGGTGTAATCATTATGGTATTTATATACAGATGCCAAAATTTGAAAGAAAGCAAAATCCTGGACCCCTGTGCCTTTTCCAGAAAAAACTGATCGGAACCAAATTGGCAAATGAGACCATTTCTCAAATCCAGTCTTTAAAATTTCACTGTAGAGCTGTCCCAAAGATGGCTTTGAGCCCTCCATAAAGAGCAATCTGAGCTATACATTTTTTTGGATCTGTGCCACCTGTATCAGATACAAATATCCAGGAATTTCGCCTAATTGGAAACAGTTGTGTCAGAAGATGCATAAGGTGGAGGGTGAGGAGAGCATTCCCCTGAGGGAGCTTTTGGTGCAGGGAGGCTCAAGGATGGTGGTGTGATATAAAGTAACAACTGGCACGTGGTGTGATATAAAGTAACAACAGGCTGATAAGTTTGGCGCTTGGGTTTCAGAGGCCTTAGCACACAGAGACAGGAAATGTGTTGCACCACTTAGCTACATCCCAAGGAAATTTCAGTGATCTTCTGGGAGAAGTGATAACGTATCACGCTTCTACACAGCTCAGAATTGCAGAAATGGCCTAAACCCATCCTTTCCTAAGAGTTCAAAAGTGACTTAGAAATTTTAGTCACAGCAATATTAATAAACACATTTGGAAGGATTTTCTCTTTTCCTTTTTACACTTGGCCCTGTTAATATTACAATATCCTATGTGTACCATTTTATGGTGGTTGTTATTATTTCATGCAAATAATTTGTGGAGTGAGTAGTTTCCAGAAAGTCCTGTGAATTTAGAAACTCAAGTTACAGGGTTGGTATTTCTCTTCTACAAAGAATACAGATGCACTTGTGGTTCTAAATGGTGCACAGAGTTAATGGCATTCATTAATTACAAGTGCTTGTATTGCTTTTAGCAATGGGATTTATGCTGATAAATGAGTTATACTCTTGAGAAAATATGATGCTTAGGCTCCAGACACAACTTTTTATTTTAAAGTGCAAAAGTAAACAAGTGTGATTTAAAAATCAATTATCTTCTGCTGCATCATGACCAGTGAAATTATTTTGCTGCTTTGTCTCTGATTAAGAAACATTCAACTACTTGTGTAATTATTAAGTTGAATTGCCTTTAAATTTCTCATTTCCTTATGTTCACCTTGTTTAGTTTTCTCCTCATCTGCTGTTGAATCATCTTTAAATCCACAAAGCCTAGTATGTCTTCCTGCTTCTACATGATTAATCCAGGGTGTTCCTTTTTCTCCAACCAATTTGTGTGTTGTACAGCCTTTAAACACTCTGATGAGGAACCCTTCAGTGATGGGGAGGCATATAGTGGCACGGGTGCTGTTAGCAGGAGCTCGTGGAGTAAGACCCACAGACTTTCTCTTTTTGTTTAACTATGACTGTTTGGTTTATTGTTTTGTGTTGCAACAACACATGTTTGTATAATTTGGGTACCTAACACTGCTCCTCTCTGTTAATTTTGAAGTGTGGCTGAGTGTGTGTTTCCTGAAAGGTGGGAGGAGGAAGGGAAGCCAGAAAGTCTCAGATTTATTACCTATATCTTGAGCGTGTTGGCAGAACTTGAAGGGGCTGCCCCGCATGACTAATGCTCTCCTGTGCTTTGAATTAACATTCGCTGCAAGAATTCCTAATGTGGATGGCTCTTGTCACAGAAATTTAAAATAGCTGGGGACAGGAAGGCTGCAGAACTTGTTGAACAGAGAGAGGATGAACCTTTTAGTGCTGGCGTAGCTTCATGAGAGGCTAGCAGTAAAGTTTCTGTGACGCTGTGTTCCTTCAAGTGACGCGATATGTCCTGAAATAAATCGATGTGCTGCTGCAAACCCGCCAGCTGTATTTATAGAATTGTTAAGTTAAACACAAAAGTACTTGAGCAAAGTATTTCAGGCCCCATTGTGTAGCATGTTCATCACTGATGATAAGTACTTTGCATTGTGCTTGGAAGATAGTTATATTGCACAATTGCTGTCATGTTGTCAATATTTCATTGTATCCCTAAAACAACGTTAACATCCAGTCTTAGCAGTATAAAATAAAAGACAAAGATCTACCAGATAGCTCATCATGGTATGGAAGGTCCTGCTATTTTATAAATTAAAAAGGTCCTGATACTTTATATTTATAAAATAGGCGTAGCCTATTTTAAAATACCTTGAATGGACCAAGAGTCACTTTAATTCTTCCATTTTCTTGCAGCATTTTTGTCTTTATCCACTGAATTATTATTCATAATTCTTTACTTTTTATGCTACCTGCAGAACCAAATCTTCCTTCTGTACAGAAACAAATAATTTATTTGAAATGGTGGTTAATCCTGGTTCATGGGGATTTCACTGCAGACTCCCATAGGCAGAGCTGTTAAGAGATGTGGTTTGTGCAACGTGTACCCCTGCCAGCAGAAACGCTCGGTGTGGATAAAGTCGCACTAAAAACCCTGTACATTTTCATCCTTGTGTCTGCCTTGGCTGTATTGCTGCCAAGTTCAGTTGCTTTAAGGCTGTCACCACAAAAGAAGCATTTTGCACCTGAGGGATCTGTAGAACAGTAAAGGGAAATTACTGCAAAGCATGTTGTGAAATGTATTTTAGTGATGTCTACAGAATTAGTGAAGTTAAGCACAAGTAAATATTTTTGTTAGGGCTGAGTCTGTGTAGACACACAGGAAAATGTAGAAAAGGCAGGAACCTGGTTTCTTTCTTATTTTCCCATATAGTAATATGCTCCTCTGTATTCATTCCATGCCTCATTTTTGTGAGGAAGAGCTGCACAAACATACAGTGGTTTATCTTTGAGGCTCCCGTGGGAGATAGTGCAGTAAGTGTAGTGCTATAGAGAGGGAATACAACTGGTAAAACAGGATGTTCAAGAGCTCTCATTGGTTTCTTTTTGAGCCTCCTCATTGCCAGTTAATTTTCAAAAGTTGTAGTTCTACTGTCTGCTTGAGACTAAGTTCTGGCTGCTGCAGAAGTTGTCAAGCTCCGACTGTGCTGCCCCACATCCTCCATTCTGGCAGCACATGCGTTTCACCGTGTGGTGACCCAGCCCAGAGAACCCGTCTGTCTGCAAATGCATCTCTTTCTTTGTCCTGATGAGTTATTTTCCAGCCAGACAACTTTTGCAGGCAGGAGGGAATGGAAAGGCTGAAGTAGAAGGTGAAACACCACTGTCAGGAGCAGCATGGCCTGCGATGGCAACCAGGAAAGTTGACTCACACCAAACTGTAATTAGTGCTGACCCTGCAGTCGCAGAGAAGGGATGGAGGAAGGTTGTCATGTGCAAAGAGTTCACGGACACTCTGAGCTACTGCCTTGTAGTGACCTTGGATTCCAGGAAGCAGTCAGTTCACAGCTGATCCTATATCTGGCTGCATCAGATCTCTGATGAGAAAGAAAAACCCCCACCGTGCTGAAATACAGCAATGAATTTCCTGAGTGCCCCCACGCATGGCCTTGGAGTAGCTAATGCTGCTGCATATACGTGAGAAATGAGCAGCTAAATCTGGGCAGAATCCACTGCTGTTGTACATGCACGTAATTCCTCTGAAGAAGCACCTGAATTTGTGGGAAAACGTAATTTCCTTAATTAAAACTGGAAATTAAAGTTGCAGCCAGGGATTTTTCTTGATAGACTTATGTTGCTGTTACTGCGCATTTAGAGCACAGTAAATTCAGAGCAGCATCGCTGAGTTAATTCACCCTCTAAATAGAGCACTTTGTATTCAGTAGTCTAAAAAGTAGCCACAGGATGCTGGTTTACAGAATTAAAGCTTCGGTGGCTTAGGGCTAGTTCAAGGGCAACTTCCTAAATACCACAGTAACCACCTGTCAAGTACTGGAATTCTTTTTGCAATGGGTAAATATGCAAGAAAACAAAATCAAGGTGTTACTCTTTCCCCAGAGGTCCTTGGGAGTCGAAGTGCACTTCTTTTTTTGAGATCACCTCCTGCCACTCTGTGAGTGCTGCCCTGAGCTCCCAACAGCTGACAAGATCATTCATTTTAAGTCATGTGTCAACATCTGAAACCACATGTGAAACCCCACTTTCCTGGCTGGCTAAAAATAAACGAAGTTACTGCATTAGCCAAGCTATAATCCAGGGAAGCTGCTAGTGTGGGCCACTAAATCGAGGATTGATTTAGGGAAGTGAAAGCGTCCAAAGAAGGTGTCAGAGAAGCTCTGCAGTTATGGAATATTCCCTAAAAAAATTAATTCCATAAAAATTGTTATTGCCATAGTTGTCCTTTCTCCATCTACAGCGCTTCTGTGGTGAGCTTTAGACTTACCTGCATGCTGCAGAGAAAACAATAATTTTGGCAAACTCATAGCTGCATGTGGCTTTAAAAACGTCTATTAGAAGCAATTTCTGGCAGGTTGACAGAGTCCCCATTCCTTTACTATTTTATTTTAAAGTTTTCTCTATGTTTTCTCTATGTTTTGTGAGAAACAACTCCAGAGCAATTCTCGTACAGCAGTTGGATTTTGCAAATTGATAGATGGCCACTGCAAACCATGGAGCATCAATGTCAAGGGTTACATTTGTCCCAAAGTGGTTAGTAAGTGGTGGAAATGCTCCTGGCACTAATTTGATGGGGAATGAGATGGCAGACGGATTGTTTCTGGCACGATGAGGAAGGGCAATTCCCGTATCGCCACAAAGCAACCATCTGGTGAGATCTGCCGTGTCAGGAAGCCCTTGGTCAGCCAAACGTGCAGTCATTTTGAGTTAAAGCCCTGTTTTTTCTCTCCATGTGCTAGGAGGCACTGCATGTTCATCTCAGGGAGGGAAGATGGGAGGGCACAGGGGCTGGGGGGAGCTCCCTCAGCCCTCGCCTGCTGCTGCGAGATATCCGTGCGTGGTCTGGTTACTGTTTGCAGATGTCCCATCACATCAAACGCTGTGACTTAACCCCGCTATTGACAGCTCTCAGATGAGAGGCCAAAGCTGAAATCAGAGCAGACTTTGGATTTGTTGTTTTTGTTTTTTTTTTTTAAAAAGGTTGTGGGTGTGATGGAAGCAGTAAAGATTTTGCCTTTGTTTCTATTATAAATGGAATGTCTGGCATGATTATAATTATCTAGTTTATTTGAAATATAACTTGAAATTCCTTTTATTGTTTGATTAACAGCATTGCCTTAATATCTTCCAAGTTTTCACTAAGCCCTGTGCTTTTTAATGTGACATTCCCAGGAAACAGGAGGCATCATCTGTCAGAAGACAGGAAACATTAAATGATTAAATGCATTTTATTGTTTTCTGTGAAACTGTGCCCAGTTTCTCCCTCTTAATGTGGGCAGATGGAATTTTCAAGAGTTTTTGTTGTTACACTGAGAAGATTCAAGACTCATTTTTACATATAATATTTGTGTGTGCATAAAAATCTTAACACCCCCTCCCCAAAGTTTACTCAGTTTTAGATGAGAAATAATTAAATTATTTGTTTCTTAGCTGAAATGTCAAGCTAGAAAAAATAGCTTGATTTGCTCTGTGAAAACAAGTATCAAGATGAGCTTCGGAAAAGCCTAGAAAATGAGAAGGCTTGAAGCTCTTGGTGGCCTGGGGTCATGTTGTGTGCCTCTGTGGGACACACCAAGCCTCTGGCAGCCTCACACTGCAGTGATTTACCAGCGGGAAAAGGACTGAAGTGTCCAGGCAGAGACTGTGGAGAGGAAGTGTCTTGCAAGTGGGAATGAAAAGAAACATCTACACGTTGCTTGGCAATGGAATCTGTTTTGTTAGTCTGCTGGGGAAAAGCAAACTGTGACTTCATATAGACAGAATTTCCTGGGGAAAAGAATTCCGGACCTAAAAAAAAAGGATTCCATTTCATTATTCAGAGTATATGCACAAAGGTTACTGTGTCAGATAGCAAATGATCATTTAGGAAGGGATTTATTACGAATTATGATCATTCCCATCTATGTAAGTGAGCTTATATCCAGTTTATGGATGTTGCCACATTCTAGAAATATAAATTTTGTTGCTGATCACAGAAAGATGTTGGAATACGGGTGACAGAGCCTGGTATGATATAGAGCTGGGATAGTAGAGTGTTTAAATTAGCCTTTGCAACGACAAGGCATAAGGCCACAGAAAACATGTTTTCATCTGAAAACACGTAGATTACAATCAAATATGTGGTGGTATTTAACCATAAATTGTCAGGCTGGGATACAGCATAGCTGTGTTCAGGAAGCTAAGATGGATTAAAGAACACACTTTAGAGCATAGCAAGAGATGTGCTCCTTGCCAGTGTGTGTAACAGCGAAACGCATTTGAAATCTAATCGATTAATAGCCTTGATTTTCCTTTTGTTTTTCAAAATATCTTGCTTGACGTGCCAGTTTGATTAAATACGTTAATTGCTTGTGGTTTGCAGTGTTTCCTGAGTGGAAATTGCCTTCCTGTTCATTGTGCCATCCAGCTGTTAGATCCTGAGGTGCCAATGAAATCAAACTCGTGTGTGTGCTTACCCTTGGTGTGGTTGATTTGCAGGTGATGACACAATGACAGGAGATGGAGGGGAGTACCTTAGGCCAGAAGACCTGCGGGAGCTGGGAGATGACTCTTTGCCGAGCAGCCAGTTCTTAGATGGAATGAACTACCTGAGGTACAGCTTGGAAGGAGGACGCTCGGACAGGTATTTGCCCAAATCCGTAACTTTGCTCATGACAGCTCTGCACTGGTTTTGCTGTGAGTGTGAAATCCCTGTGCAGGGTCTCTCTGCTTGGCGTGCACTGGTCAGCGTTGGTGTACTCGGTGTGGCAGCGTGGCAGTCACCACTTGGCAGGAGGAAGGTGTGGTCACCCTCATCTCCTGCTGCCACGGGTCAGGGGGTGGGTGGACAGGCTTTGAGCACCAGGTGAGCTGACTTTTTTGGAGTGGTTTGCTGGCTCAAGATATCAGGAGAGGAGCAATGGACCGGCAGTGAGTGTCTGCAAGCACATTCACTCTATCTGGTTCCTCATGGTTGAATTAGCAGGAAAGAATAATTGTTCTACTGACACAACAACAACAACAACAGTAATAATAATAATATGGAAATATTAGTGTGTTCAGTAAAGACAACGTACTAATTTGCTTATATCTAACAAGTTGAACCTAAGCCTAGATGTCTTTGTGGAATAATAATGCCTGCAGCTTTGATTACATTTTATTTATTTATTCATTTATTTATTTGGAGGTTTTTGGGGGTTTTTTTTGAGAGTGTCATTGAAGTGTACAAAAAATATGGAGCTCCCTTCCCAAAAGGAAAGCCTTCATTAGTGTAGGCTCAAGTTGGCAGGTTAACCCCCACAGTTCTAGCTCAGAGCAGCCACCCAGGCATGCCTGGGTGTAATCAGCGCTGTCTCCAGACTCACTGTCTTTAGAACTGGGAGACACTAAAGGGAATAAAAGAAATAAAGGTTGAAATCTTGGCAACAGAATTTTGAGGCTACCTCGTTTTTCCAGTCTTGGTTGTTATTCTGGCAGCATTTCTGAAGCTCAGTGGAATCAGTAGGATCCGTTCTGTTTACTTGAGTAGGCTGGGAATTGCTTCTGGAACAAAAGATGTCAGGAAACAGTTTGGTTTGCCTCACAGCATGTGTAAATCCCATCATTCAGGTCCTGCAAGCCTGGAGTCTCTGCTGGTTTTTAGACAGTGAGTCCACCGAAAACAAAGTGACTGTGTGGCTTTTTAACTCTCTGAGGGACTTTATGAACTACATCAGAATGCCTAAAATCAAAACTTTTTGTTCTTTTCAAAGGTAACAAATTTTGGGAGATTTTAGGTTTTAAGATGAATAGAAATATAGAAATGATTGTGCAGGCCAGTTAAGCCAGTTCAAGTTAAGTTCTCATTTAGAATATTTTAGCTTTTAAATCTTGTCAGTAAATTTCAGTAGATTGTCACTGGCATGTCTCTGATATGGTTTATTTTGTATGAAAATTATTTCAAATCCCATATCAAGCAAAATTATACTGAAATGTAGCAAAATTCTAAAGGGAGAAATAATGAAAGAAGGACTTCTTTCTAACTCCATGGTCTCATTTTCTGTCACCTTCAGGTTACTGATTTTAAGAGTTTTCAGAGACTGCTTCAGTTGTTTTCCATTTCCTTTTAACGTGGTTTTCATTGCATTACAATGACTTTGTTTATTCAGGAAATTCAGTAAAGCAAGATAGTATTAATAGTCTGGACTCATGTAATCTTACGCATTAAACAATTTGATTTAAAAACATATATTTTTCATTTGTAACCATCTTCCCTATTTATTTTATTTTCTCTCCCCTTCATTTTTCTTTTCCATATGCTTTCATTAGCATCATGCCCAGGTAGGTACAACACAGCATGAACACCTCTTGTTTCTATCTCCTCCTGTGGCACCTGTCTCTGTTCATCCACTTTGGAGGCTTGCTGTATGCAGAAAGTTGAGTTGGAGAACCAAAGGAAAGATGCTGCTCTTGAGAAACGTTTTCACAGTTGATTTAGACAGTTTTCAGTGGCCTCAGAGTTTTTCCTCAGCTCCTGAAAGAACATACGTAAATGTACACTAATATATAAATAAAAGATATGTTCAGCTGGACTAGAGCTCGTTAGGTCTAGGCTGGGAAGTGGCTGTGCACTGCAAGTCCTTCAGTCAAGCAGATTAGGAACTGAGCATGGGGATGCTGATCCTATTTTTTGGATACCAACAGGGTCCTGTTCTGGGTTAGAGGTGGGTGAAATGTGCTCTTGCACACAGGAAAGGTGCACTCTTAGGTTCAGGAGCTTTGCAGCATTCCTGGGTTCCACAGCTCTGCCTCTGGGACTGGGTGCTGTTGGTCCCGCAGCCCTTCAGACTTCAGATTTATCAACCACATTTGAGAAGAGTCTGCATTTAGGTGATGCTCTTGTGTCTGATTTAGGTAGGCTTCTTTACATTTAGTAGAATTCCTGAATGCTTATGACAATGATTAACATTAAATCCCGTGTTCAGTCCGTAAGGGGACTGTCATTTCAATCAGTAACTTTATTCCTAAGTCTGAGCAGCACAGACCTTTTAAATGCTGGTTTGCTCTTTGTTGAGCTGGTCCGATGCACAGATGGAGCGGTGCCATCTGAGCAGTACTTTTGAAATGGAGTGTAGCAGGGAATTTAAACCTGTAACTATCCACAGACCTCAGTCTTTTCTGTCTGCAGATAAAGCCCACTCCCTGATGTATTCATTAGAGCTTATGTACAGGTTCTACACAGTGAATAGCACTGGGCTACTCGTAGTGGTGGTAGTAGTGGTGGGGATGGACAGAATCACCCTAGGGATAACCAGCCAAATGCAGTTCAGACTTCCCTTCGTTCGGTATCTATCCAGCCCGTGGTGTTATCTGAATAGCAGAACCTACAACTTGGATGGTGACTCACGAGCATTGCATGGCTCAGCAAAACGGTTCTGGAAGTGTCAAACACGGAAATGAGCGCAGGATAATGATGGCAAATGGGGTCTGCTACTGAGGCTTGTTCCTTAACCATAGAAAAAAAATGTTTGTTTTTGGTTTGCTTTTTTCTCAAGGCTTTCTGGAGGCCGACAGCTGTACAACGCCTGTCTTTGCTTTCAGTTTTGTACCATCCACCTGGGATGCTGAACAGGCCATTGGTATAAGCTAATGATCAACAGCACTCATTATTCTTCAATGTCATATATTTCTAATAAAAATAAGATAACCATTTGCTCCTAGAAATGGATCAAAAAAATACGGAGTGAATGTAACTATTGTTTAAAATGGTCGTGATTCAGATGATATTTGATATGCACTTAAAGCATTTGAAACTCACGTCTGTAATGAACCCATGACTTCTATTGCTAACTGCTGAAAATGAATTATCCCTTAAAACTCTGTGGATCTGGATAAATGGCCTATTGTTCTGATCCAGCATGTTAGTCATTATGAACACTACTCACGGATGTGTAAGCCAGGAACACAAAACTGCTCCCTTCCGTTAGAGGTGCGATATTCCTCAAGGTCTACATCAACATCACAGAGTACATGCACAACAACTGAAGGTGGATGATCTGGTTTTAAAAATCATTGTTGTCATACTGCAGCTAGTGAATATTAAAAGGACAAAACTCGTGCTGTTTGGTAGCAGAAGCCCCATTTACCTCAACATGTCCAATTGTGGTGTTTTATTTGTCTATTTGTTCTGCTTTTTGCTGGTGAATACCGCAGCTACGTTCTAAGCCAGTGCTTGGAAGCAGCCTGTTTACTGCCTTGCACCTCTCATTGCTACAGCAACCAGTGTTCTGTAGAGCTGTGTGTACTTGCAGCGAGATGAGTGCTCACACCGGGGCTGGCTCCCTGCAGATGCTGTTGGGATTTGGGGGAAGGTTCTGTTTTACACAGGAGCTTGCGGCTGGCCACACTTCGCCTTTCCGTGTGTACCTTCCAGGGGACAATGTCAGGCTTACTGGTTTACAGTTTAAGGGGAGAGAGTGGGTTCTAACAAAGCTTCAGAAAGAGTCATTCCAGCTTTTCTTCAGGTGGTAGCATCCTGGTTTTCCATAGTGGTTTGCTTGTGTGATGCAGCAGAGGAGTTCTCCAAAGAGCCTTAACAGAAGTGAATGCTCTTTGTCGTAAGGAAACCATTATGCCACAAAGCCAAATCTCAAGTATTTGTGAGTTTAAAATAAACTGTCATTTAGATTAATCTCTAGATTCTGCATTTGGAAGCAAATAGTTTAGTGCACAGGCTTTGTGGCCCGTGGCACAACACAGGCGTGTAAAGCCGTGTTTCCCCTGACTGCGCTCTGCTGCCCCTGGAAGCTGCATGGTGTTGCTAATAGCACGCTTTTCTCATTCTCCCACTCGATCTCATGACACCTTTGCAACATCCTGTGTGCTGCTGATGCATTGCTCTGGCATCCTACCAACCTCCCAGCCTGCGGTCCTTCAGTTCCGACAGGTCCCACACGCTGAGCCACGCCTCTTACCTGCGCGACAGCGCCATGATCGACGACACCGTGGTCATCCCCAGCCAGCAGGTGAGCAAACCTCTCAAAGCCCCTTCTTGGCTGCAGACATCAGGAAACAGGGAAAGGTTGCTCTGCAAATTGTTCTGGTGAGACTGTGTGGTGTGTGCTGCTTGGTGTGTTTGAGTACAAATCTCTCTATTTTCTAGGCATATTTAATGGCGTGCTGTGCTGTGTTGAACTCGATTCCGAAACAAATGGAATATAGCACAGGGACTGTTTTCTGGATGTTCTCCATTTTAACTGATATTTGAATGTTGCTAATAGACACCGTGCTACACATTCAGGGGATGTAATGAACTCATAGCCATTGTCCTAAAAGATACTGTCTTGAAATGTGCTTGTAGTTAAAAGAAAAGAGATTTAGGAAATGCCTTCTTAGTTAAATCACAGGATTCATTTCACTGAGACCACTAATGTAGGATTACTTAGGGAAATGCAAATGCTACAATAAGGATTTCTGTTATCTTAATGCTATTAGTAGTCTGTTGTTTTAAAAGAAAATGTTTAAATGCTTTAGCCACTACTATGCAAAATACATATTATTTTTTTGTCCGTTAATTGATTTCTTTGTAGTAAAATGGGGTTATTTTGCTTCCCAAGGTAACAACTCTGGCCAAAGAAGCTGAAAGGAATTCATATCGCTTAAGCTTGGGCCCTGAAATCTTGGACAATGTGGCTCTTTCTTCCAGCCCTATTCATTCTGGGTGAGTTTGTCAATTAACATTATGCTGCATAGTGAGAAAAAGAGTATCTGCAGTGACACGAGCTTCAACTAATGCTTAACTAGGAGCTGTATTTTAATTCATTGCCTCCTGGAGCTGCTAGTAAATTGTTATGATCTTTTAAGCTCTGACAACCAAGCAAGCCTGAGTACCAAGGCTATTCACTGAAATCACTGCGAGTCACTGAGCCCTCAGTCAAATTCAAGGGGAATGGATGTGATAAATGACACATACAAACAGGCATTTGTGTGTATTTTATGGAGAAATAAGTACAATGACTTTCAGAGTTAATAATAATTACTGACACCAAGTGCTTAATCACTCCAGATGGCCTGTACTTACCATGCTGGTGGGGTAGTTGAGGTGAGCACCAGCTCCAGTGTTTGCCTTCTAAATTACATGAACAGACAAGCAACCTAAACATCATGGTGCTTTGCACATATTTGACCACTCTCCTCATGTACAGCTGACTCTTTGTAAGCATTTGCATTTAGGCAAGCTCACTGTCATGGCATAAGGCAGGTCAAAATGCAGGCCCAGCCAAGATCATATTTACAAACCTTATCCTGGCTGGCCTTAAAATCGGTGACTGCATTTGTTTTAAATGCTCTCACTGCATTTTAAGTAATTTCAGTCTTCACACTGAATTCTTTATTTATGTCCTGTCATCGGATTAGATGGGGAACATGCAGATGAATTCAGAAGAAACTGGAGTAATTAAAAACATTTAATCTCTGTGGGCTGTGTACACAGCATGACTGGACAGCACAAGGGGAAAGATTATTTTTGTGAATCTTGAGTGAGTTCAATACTATCCTACAGTCAGTATTTTTAAAAAATAGCACTGAGGTCCCATTTGGAATGACAGGCAGTCCTGATCTAGAGGAGGAACAATATTGCCAGATCGACTCACGTGACATAGTTGAGAATATTGCTTGTTAGCTGATTGTAGGATAGTTGACTGTGACCACCACTGTGTGGATTTGCTTCTCATGAGCTCCAAAACTAACAAATTAAATGAAAATGCTTAATATGTAAAGTGTGTATCTGTTTATATACATGCTGGTATGAAAGTGTTAAAATTGCTTTGGTGCTTTATTCTAACCCTAGAGAGTTTACAGATATTTTTCCAAAGGATGTATTAATTTGCCTTTTCTGAAAGGTAGGTCTTTGCTGTGATTGAAGATGATTAACTAAATAATTTGTAGAGGAGTGGAATTTATTTCTTGGATGTGCAATTATTTTGTTGTTCTCTTTTAAAAAATGTGAGTGATGTTCCATTTTTTGGGATGACCAGGATGTTAATGGTAGGATAAAATATCTGATTTTAATAGGAGCAAAACTCTTTGCAGCCTTATATGAAACAGTGGAGTTTAATACAACACAAATTATGTTCTTTCTATATATACACACTAACCTGACACTAAATATTGTAATAAAGAAACCTCGAATAACAATCCCTCAGCCTTTGAAAAAGGCAGTACAACACTTCATTTTTATCTTGTTTAGGTTGGTTTGAATCATTAAGTTATCATAGAGTTTTGCTTGTAGGACCTTATTTTAAAAGTGAAACAGTTGTAGAAGGTGATGGTTGTTGTGCTCACTCTGCTGGAACAACAAATGTATTTGTGATTCATAGCCCTGTGGTCAGCCATGCTCCCCTCCACATGCAGACACACACTGTTAGTGGGTTCTTATAAAGCAGCAGCACCGCTGACATTTAGGGCATGCACTGAACTAGTAGTTACCTACCATGAAGGGAAACTCTTTGAATTTTCCAAGAAATCCTGGATAAACATTGTCAGTGGTCCCATGCAAGGTTTTGCCCAAGACACTGAAAATTAATTGAATTCAGATGGTATTTTTGAGAAATAACACATCAGCCAAGTATTGGACGGTAATTTATTTGTCACAGGTGCAAGTTTGTATTCTGTACAATCTGAGGAGAGAAATGACACTTCTCTTTGTGCACCAGTCCCGTGGTGAACCCCAAATTGCTGTAGGGTCCTTACTGATCTCCCATTGTAGGGAAGTGTTGCTGTGGGTCACAGTTTAACACCCCCAGGCAAAAGGATAAATTCATAGAGAGCTGTTCTCCCAGTGTGGACCTTCACAGGCACATATTTCAGCCTTTGCATGACTGACCAAATCTTGTGAAATTTTAGAAGGAAAAATGTTTTAACCATCCATTTAAATTTTAAATATAACTGCTCCTCCTGTAGGTTGATAATTTCATCAGGAAGGAATAAAAAGTAGGTTCTTTGGTCAGAGTCTTTAGCAACCATCTTGAAATCCCAAAAATATTTCTCTAATGCTCTTGCGGGGCTCAAAATCTCAAAATAAAGATCTCCTGGTCATTTTACACAGCTGACAGTTTCCAGATAGTTTCCTACTTTGGCTGAAAAAAAAGTATCAATTCCTGCACTTAAACTCCCTTTCAAGCAAATCAGATTTTCTTCTTCTCACAAAACTACTTGATCTTACATATTGAGCAAAGTTAAGGATCTCTGAATATGCCAAAAAATTTGGGTGCTGAATATCTAGTAAGATAGAGTTTTATGACTTTTTGGCTGCTGGTATTAGGGGCTATAATTTATAATTTCGTGCTGGAATGTGAGAGACAGAACTACTGCCTACAAAAATGCAAATATGTTTCACAGTCTTAGTCTTATACCACACAATATCCTGTTGTGGAAGAACATGTGTATCTTTATTAAGTTGGAAGGCAGAAAAAAAAAAATAAATCACTGAACTGGAGGATTTGCAGCATTTAGACATTGCTTGGCACCACCATATTTTTATCTCCCATAAGAATATGCATGAATGGTGAAGATAAGGGTGACTGTAAGATTTTTAAATTATTAACGGTGTGCAAAACTGTGTTGTTCTCTTACTTGTGTTCTGGTGATGGAGTGAAATGAGTTGTATAAATTATATTTCTAAGAATTTTCCTGACAGCTGTGTAGAGGCACAGTAGATAAGAGAGCAAATCTGACATGTTGTCAGGATCATGGCACTGAGAGGAAGGAGCTTTGGGTCTGTGCTTTGATACTAACTTGGTATTGTGTTCTAGAGCAAATACCCAGCAGGTTTTCCAACTCTGACTCACAGTAAAACTCCTGTTTGATGAAAGATCCTAATTTATTTTACATAATTTGCTGAAGAAGTCCCTGTCTGACTAACGGGTGGTCAGTGTGTCACTACTTGTATCTTAAAGTAAATTACACAGTTGGGCTATTATTATTGAGTTTATCTTGCTGGAAGTCATTGTTTCCATCAATGAAAAGGTGAGGGATTGGGCAGCTCCTAATGTGACAAATAATGTAAATTATCATTCTTAGCTGCATGTCTGCAAAAAAGGACGCTGGATCCTTGCTAACAAGGTAAACAAAATGTATTTCAAGTGTTGTATTTTGAATCCATAATATTTTTTTCCCGACGTGAGATTGATTTCCTGGAAATCGTTATGGAAACAGGACCTGGCAGCGACCAGCTGATAGTCATTTCTTAAATCTGAAAGTCTAAATGATTTCAAATTATGCTGCAGCTTTGTGGCCTTTGTTCAGAAAGTTACAATGAGGAGAAACAGTGAGTGTGTTGCATTAATAGCAAAGCGTGTCAATGGAAGAAAATGGCAATGGAGATCCATATAATAACAAGGGACATTGGAAAACTAATTGTCCCTGTGACACTAAGTCATTACTGAGAGCCTGAACAGGTCAAAATGAGAGTTTGAAATTTGTTGTTTTATAGAACAAAAGGAGGACAAGAAACATGTTAAAATGGAGGGAAGTGGAGGACAATGTATTGATAGAGGATTTTAAGAAAAGAAAAATATGATTTATTGTGCTATCAGGAGCGCTGGCTGGAATTACCTTAGGTTCCTTACCCTTTGGTATCCCTCGGTCCACATTTTAGATGTGGATACCTAAACCAAGCAGCATTTCCTCTTAACTGCTTCTGAAAGTTTTACTCAGAATCCAAGTGTGCATTTTAGGTGTCTGGCTTCCAGTGTGAGAATGTCCATAGAGAAACCAGATCCCTCCATTTTCACTGCTGTACTGGTAGTGGCCACTTGGAGCTGAGGGTCTTTATGTAGGCTTGTTTTCCATACTCACTTCTACCTTCCCACATGTGAGGAATATGCATATATATGTATATGTTCATGTGTTTGCTTTAGAAATCTGTTTCATTTTTCCAGTACTTCAGTATTTCATTTAACTCATTCTTTTTTTCCCCCTTTCTGTTCCTTTGTGATGTTAAACCATCTATTCTATTGCAGATGCTCTTCTCCATGTCTTGATCTTGACAACAGCAGGTGAACTTCTGCATAATTTCTTTCTTTAATACATTGCACTTCTCACCCACCCTATTTATCCTCCCCTCTTACCTCACTTCAGGATGCTTTAGTGTCTTGATAGTGCCCATTAGCCAAGAGAAAAAAATAAATCTAACCAGCAGTAATAGTTAAGTAGGGCACTACTTTGCTTGTACAGTAAGTGTCCACTTTCTCCCATCTGCTTTGGCATCTTTAACAAAACAAATTCTGGACACTGCAAAAAGTCTTAACAAACCTCCTTATACCATCCTAGCTTGTTTTAACCATTGATGTATTTAACCATACCTTTTCTTCGTTGGTGGCATGGTTTAATACTAATATTTAAAGAAGTAGTCCTCCCCCCCAGATAATTTAACACAAACCCCTGTAATTATTATATTGGTAAGTGGGCCTTTCACCTCTCCTGTCTGTATAAAGAATATTGCAGAGCCACTCTCTAAGCCACCTTTCCCAAATTGTGCCACCATATTTGAAGTGGTAGAATAACAGCCCAGACTTAGTATATATTATTTTTCATGCCACACCTATTTTTTGTGTGACAGTTCATCAGTGCTTGAACCACTGGCACGTTACATCCTGCACAGAAAGCCTGAAGCTGAACTTTCCCAAAGGAGATTATCTTCTCTTGGCAAAATGGCTGTTAATTGGCACAGGACCTGTTCACCTCCTCCAGCCTAACCCTAGAAAGGTGAAAATTGCCTTAAATATTAAGCTCTGCAAAATTTTCAAGTGGCCCATCTTTTTAGGCCATGTCCCTGAATTTCTCAGCAGCTGACTAATGCAGTGAAGAGAATGCTGCCACAAGTTAATATTGTAGCAGTTTCCTATGTTAGGATCATGTTTTTTGTCCTCCTGGAATGTGAATTTTGCCTTGTTTCTGGATGGCATAGTTGCAGCCTGCTGGAAAGCACTCTGAGGTAGTTGAATGACTTTGCTGTTGACTTCAGTGGGAGCTGGATCAAGGCCTTTTTTCTGGGTTGCAGCCTCTCTCCGGTTTCCTTCTCCCGCTGAACACTTTCCGATGGCCGAAGCACCCCGATTGTTTGTTGCTGCTTCTTCACACTGCGACTAACACTGAATGCTGCTATCTCCTTGTTTCCCAGTTTCTTTTATAAATTGAGATAATGTGTGCTGAGAAGTTTTTGACTGTGTCTACACCGGGTGTGCTCTGGTTGGAGCTTTGTTCCCTGCTATCTGCCGAGCGCATGTGTGCCTGCCCAGCTGCTCGGGAAGAGCAACCGCCCCCAAGCCCAGCGTATGGAAGTGGTGGTGGAGACTTTGTCTGGTTTGGTTCCGTGTGTTCCAAGAGCTGTTGCCTGTCCCAGAAAGCCCCCTCACCTGCTGGGTTTGCATGGCTCCCCCGACGACTCTGCAGAATGAGTGCCCCCACGCTTGCGGCCGTGGCCGCCTGAAACTCTGCCTGCGCCAACCTCTTGACACAGCAGGGACTCCTCTCAAAGCACACAACAAGTGGCTTCCTTCACCCCCTCCAGCACTGACACATCCAGTTTCCAGTGTCTTTGTTCATCCTGCTGTTATCATTCACATGAGAATAGACACGGAATAAAGGCGAGTTAATTCTATAAGAATAAAATCAGCAAAGGGAGTAACTCAGGCTCAGATCTAAAATACAAATATTTCATCAAAATACACCCCAACTTTTTGCCTCTTCTTTCCAGTGCATATATTTTGTCTGTGTTTTGATCAAGTGGAAACCCTGAGAGCTGTTTGCTCTGCTTTCTGTAGGAGGTGTGAAAACAGCCTGAAGGATTTAGGGGCCTTTTGTGTGTATACTCAACCCCAAGGCCACTAGAGCCAGTGTTTTTTGATATATCTTTCATATGGCAAGTATGAAGTTCTCAATTGCTCTAAAATTGAAGAAGAATTAAATGGCCTCTGTAATTTATTAGTAAGATTGCTAAATTGAGAAAGAATGGATGATGCTTGAGCTGACTGCTGTGTGTTTAAAAGAAGCATGTGCAGACTCCCCTGCAGTCTAAGAGAATTGCATTTGTACTTTATTTTTTCTATTTCTGATTTACCCTTCATTCTCTTTAAAAGAGAGAGGGCAATGATTTCCCTGAACCTGATTTGTTTCACCAATTTGGCTACAATATTGTTCTACCACCTTTCCAAAGCTCAGGAAATCTCAGTATTGATCCAGTTTGCGAGACTGCCAGGGTCGCAAGTTTGTGTCGTGCTTTGTTTCTAACAGAACCTTTAAAACTGGAAATGAAACTTACTCAAAGGCTGTGTTAGTACTGAGAAAGACGCAGCTTTAACCTGCAATCTGCTTTGACTTTGAGTCATCATTTAATTGAATTTCAAGTTCCTTTAATCCCTTTTATTAACTGGGTTTTTCTTTCTTTTTTTTCTCCCCTCTTGAACTCTCCTCCGCCATTTGTGTTTAATGATCCCTCTCCCTTTCGTTCTCCGTACGTAGGTGGCTGATAGTGCTGTAGTAATGCTCCATGCAGCTGGAACATGGACTAAGATCCGAGTTGGCTGCTTAGCTTTGGAGAGTATATGGGATGTTAGGGTTATTCATGTGCTAGTGTTATGCACTAGATTCTTTCTGGCCATGGGAATTTAGCGTGATAAGGTATCACTTCCCAGAGTGATGGCTTCATCTGCCATTTATCCCTGCTAGTGTTGTTTGTTGAGTGCAATCTCTTCCTATCTCAGTCTGGTCGCTTAACAACACTTGGTAACAGAGGTGGAAGAGGAAAAACAACGTGTGTGTGCGTGGGCAACAAAATAATTAGCTTGAATTTTACATTTACTCTATATTAGTCATAGAAATTTTTCACTTTCCTAAATGCACGCTTCAGAAAGCATGTTTTATGTCATGCATTAGTTTTGTACAAATTATTTGTATATTGATAGACACACTCCTTCAGAAGGGAATAGCTTTTTCAGTCTTGGAACAGTGATGGCCCCATCCAGATGCCCTATTATGTAGCACATAGGCAGAATAAGAGGCTGGTGTGATTCAGAAAAGGCTTTCTTATGAAATATTTGCTTCACTTTTGCATAGCCAAAATTATGTGAAATGTGCTGATTTAAAAAAAAAAAAAAAAAGGATGAAAAGAAATTGGATTGAATAAGTGGATGAAAAAAGGAATGTAGTAAAAATGTGGGAAAAAAGCAAAGTGGTATAGTGGAAGAGGATGTACTTTTACACTCTGTGTCTACAAACCCTGTGTCGATGTTCTGTCTTTACAGGATTATGCTACAGGTCTAAAGCTCAAACATTTTCCCCTTCAGTTTCTTTCCTTTGCACTCTATTCATGCTAGTTCTCCAAAATCTCCTTTCCAGGAATTCCATAGTACTCTAGCTGGGTATGAGTACTGGCTCCTCCATAGTTAATGTGATAATTGGCAGTAATCTTCCTGTGCTGTCTAAATAACAGCTTTAGATCTTCTTTATGACAGAAACTGCTTTTTTTTTTACAGCAAATAATAATTAAAATAACCCACTGGTTTTATCCTAGCACTGTTAGCTCTGTGCTCACCTCCCAGTGAGACTTACCTCTGCCTGCTTTTCCACTCCTTGGAGCCATGGGTGGTTCCAGTGAGAGATGGCTGGAGTGAGCTAGACTTGGTGATAGATTCACTGACCCATCAGGCACATTCAGTGAGCTCAAACTAAAAGAAGGAGTTGCAACCATACCGAAAAAAGAACCCAGAAAGGAGATTACTTTCTGTATTTGGATCCTCACCTTTGGTGTGTCTGTGTTGTGGCAGTGAGCAGCGGGTTTGGCATTGCGGGGGCAAGTAGGGAGATAAGCTAAGGAGAACGTGGGGCAGCAGGTGACCCAGCAGTAATATTTTAGTGACGGACAGCAAAAAAAAGGTGATCCTGGTGTTAAAGCATACAATCCTGAGTATTACATCAGTAATGAAAATAACTGAATCCTAAATATTGAGTTCATGACAGCTCGCACAGTGAGAAATGTGAATGCTGCTTTAATTCAGTCAGAGCTCTCATTAGCTTCTGGGAGTTGTGGGGGGAGTGTTTGTGTTAGTCGTAAAATGAGGAACTCTTCTTCCAGCAGTGTCATTGACTGCCTCCAACACACCCATTGTACTGGAGTCTTGGACACATTCTCTGAAACATCACGCAGAACCGTTTTGATAGCACTATTTCATGTGCTTCAGGGGCAATTGCAGCACAAGCCGTGAGCATTAGTGCAACAATTGAGCATTTAGAGTCTCTTAAGCTCTTCTTTCATCATTCTTTCATCTCTAATATGTACAAATAATGTATTTTGTGAAGGAAGTTCCCATTTTTCTCAACAAATCCCCAGACAATCGAAGCTGTAAAATGTTTTCATTTTCTTTTTTTCCCCCTTGTTAAAACCACAGAAACACCAACCTCTAAGGAATGAGCTAATGGTTGTACTGCCCAGAGTTTTACCCTAAGCAAATCCTAGAGGTATCTGAATGGCAGTAGACTAGGAGCCTGCATGTGTGAGACAGACTGGCATCCGTGGTGCATGGTGTGCTTCCGACTGGCGCTTGTGGCTCCTTCCCATCGTCCATCTCTGACCTGCACGGTGTGTCGAGTGTTGTGTTTTTACAGCATGTGGAATTCTTGTAGCTGTGTGGACAATGAATGGATGCAATGTTTGTTGCACAGAACGGTCAAGGGGGCAGTGGAAAAATCCCTGTGTTTGTTACTCCTGTTATAAGGGCTTTTCTCTATTGCAGGTCCTTCAGTAGCATTTCTGCGACTCCCCATTGTGCTGGTTCTATATTAGAGGCTAGAAGTAGGCCTGACACCCTTCTGTCTCATCTACTCTTATTTTCACTTCCAGCAACCTGACATTACCATCCCACATCAGGCATGATCCTGTAATCAAACAGTAAAAATTAAATTGGAAGTAGTTCTAGTAGTTTCCCAAGAATGTCCCCAATCTGTCAAAATCTACCTGTTGGTACATGTGGAACTACAAAAAAATTCAGCGCAAGAGAAATTCCAAACAAAATGACATGTTTTTCTCCTTTTTAGAGAAAAAGGAATGAACAATTGACCTTGTGCTAGAAGTAGGCTCCCTGTAGATGGCTTCCTACGTTTCTAAGTTTTCCAGCCAGACATTGTATCACAGAAAACCCAAAATCCGTAAAAAAACCTTGTCTATAGTGGCTCTAGCTCTTCTCATCTAACCAAACCCTGAAATTTGCCTTCAAATGACACACTGGGGTTTTTAATATAAATAGGTGATAACCCCACTGATGGAGTATGAATTGTATTCATTAATCCCAGAATGAAATTTGATTTTTTTAATATCCAAACCCATTTCTCTAAGAAATTATAGTTTATCAAATAACTAGAAAACTATTGAGAACTACTATTGAGAATCTAAAAGAAAAACCCAAAACACTAAAAAACCTGAGCCATCCAATCAAAATTGGCTTTATATTTTTGAATCATAAATAATTTTTTTCAATAAGATGTATTTGCTCGTGAAGTATTTGAAGAGTGCCAACTTTAAATACAGCTGCTTGCAGGTATAGAGTAGCGATAGCTGCATTTGCAATAGGTACAGACCACAGTCTGCTGGTATTTTACCAACAGCGGCCCCGTGACATAAGATTTTCTGTGAAGAACTATTGGGTAGTAGTTGCCAGTTTAATTAATAATGAACTCAGCATGATTTGGTGCTTCACACGGGAGAAAGGCTTTTTCTCATTGTACCTCTTGAGCGAGAGCTCTACTTGCATACGTCGTTCGTACGTATGTGGAACATAACCGAGGGAGTTGGTGCTCTGGATCTCACTGTCTGCCCTGATTTTGCAGCTTCCTGGTGAGTTTCATGGTGGACGCTCGCGGCGGCGCCATGCGGGGCTGCCGGCACAACGGGCTGCGCATCATCATCCCCCCGCGCAAGTGCACGGCGCCGACACGCGTGACGTGCCGCCTGGTGAAGCGCCACAGGCTGGCCACCATGCCACCCATGGTGGAGGGAGAAGGGCTGGCCAGCCGCCTCATCGAAGTGGGACCCTCTGGGGCTCAGTTCCTTGGGTAAGGGGGGCCGCGTGGCCCGAAGGGAAACCTTCAGCCTGTTTTCGTGTTTGCGTTGCACTGAAATGGTTCCTTTGGCAAAATTGAGCTGAGAAGGATCTCTGTAGCGTGTGGTGACAAACGGAGCAGTCGTGAGAAACGCAGAGCAGCTGGCAGGGAACGATTCGCAAAGCTTTTACACCTTCTTGTTCAAAACAGCTGTTTCAAACATCAGCGCTGCGATTAATGTGCTTCCTTGGATATTATTATTGTTGCTCGGTGTTGTGATATTACAGTGGGAAAAGAATTTTGCAGCCAGAAAAGGCAGTTCATGCTATATCAAAAAAATTAATGGTACTGCACTGATCAAACCCCCCAAATGTGAAGCCTGCTACCTACACAACACAAGGTAACAGGAGCTTATTTAAGGGTCTTGTGTTATGGCATCGGTAAATTGGACTATCAGGGATGCACAGTGCTGTTGATTTTTCTGGGGCTGAAATTGCTAAATTAAACAATAGGACAACTCTGGATTTTTTTTTGGCCATTTCTCTCTTCCTGTGCTGCGAAGCCCATAGCAAGATCAGATCTGTGTCTGCTACTGAGCTCATTTTAGCAATTTTCAGCTGAAAGCAGCAGTCATTTGCACTTCTGAAAATTAGTTTTACCAACTATTCTCCCTAAAGACTGTGACATCCAAAAGTGGATGATTGAAGGAACCCCTTCTAATGCAGTAAATTAACTTCATTCAGAAACTGTAAAAAAAGTGGCTGTATACACCAATAATTTAAATCCATTTGGAAACAACTCAGTTGCTTTAAAATCCTGTTACAACAGGCAGTCGTCAGAGCCACCATCTTTGTAAGTGCTACCACTTATTCTTTTCACATCTTGGTCATTCCTAAAAAGAAGGAGAAAGAAATCTAAAGAGCAGAAGAAATACTGTGCTGTCACATTCGGTCTTCCCATTATCTTTGTCACTCACAAATGGATTTTAAGTATGTCTCCCATTCTTTTTTAATGGTTTTCCTATCTGATGAGAGTGTCTCCCCTGCAAGACAAGCATATAGTGTAGTTTATTCACTCTCAGGTCTTTGTGCCCTTCCTGGAAGCGTTTTCCAAGGTGTTGTGCTGGCAGCGAGATCAGAAAATCACTGTACTGTTTGCAGGGGTGCATTCTGAGGTCCAGATCCTGCTCCCATTCAGTACACAGCCAAAACCCCCCTAAGAAAGAAAAGATCCTAAATGAACAAAACGAATTTTCTGATTTGGGTCACCAAATTGTCACGGCTAGGACGGAACCTTATTCAGTGTACAGCCTAATTCCACTCTGTGGACCAGACAGTGGCACTGGCGTTCTGGCACAAAAAATACATAAAGTTTATTTATGTTCTTTCTTTCACTGCTGCTTTGGATGTACTCAGTAAACTTCATCTGCCTACGGCTCCTCCCCCACTTAATGAGGGAGAAAGCTTGGTCAGCCGAATCCTTCAGCTGGGGCCTCCTGGGACCAAATTCCTTGGGTAGGAGAGACTTGAAACAAATTGATGGATGCTGACCTCCCCATTCTTCTCCTCCTTCTGCAATATGATTTTTTTATGTCATTATGCCCATGATATCGTCCCTTTCTATCATTTGAAATTTTGTACTCTTAACCCTTAGTGGACCATTTTTCAACCTTTGTGGTTTGTGGTTTTATTTTGGTGGTATGTTTGTATCTTTTTCTTCAAGTACTGTGGCCTTCATTTTTGTTTTGGCATGAAATCTTCCTAGTTCTGTGCTTGATGTCTGTAGCAAAGCAACCTGGATTGGGACCACAAAAAAAAAAAAAAAAAGAAAAAAAGAATCTACTGTAAATTTTAAACTGTTCTTTTTGTATCAAGGAGCGATCAATCAATAAGTTATATGTTGGGTACCACCAGTGTGATAGAACACATGGCATTTACTACATACCTGGTGACCTGTGTGAGTCCTCTAATTAGAGAAGTGTAACCTACAAATATCTTTATATCTTCTCTCTTATTTCTAAGACTATGTATGTATATGTATATCTCAATACAGATATATGTACACATATGTGTTGTATATGTGTGTGTGTATATATATATCTATATATATATATGGGCGCATATGCTGGTGCAGATGTTGACTTGCAAGGCAACAAGGCAAATTCTTATCTCTTATACTGCAATAGTAACCCAGACAATCTCCTCAGACTTCCTGTATCTCCCCCAGGGTGTAAATCAGGAATAAATTCATTGGAATGTATAGAATTACAAAGTTAAATTGGCACGGGACACGCTCGCCTCCGGATTGCAATGAAATTATTCTGATTTGCACTAGTATAAGTGAGATCAGAATTTGTCCCTCTATTCCTATACGTTACAGTAGATTCTCTTTGAAATGAAGTTGCACAGGTTAACCCAGACAGTAGTGACAACTAAAACGAGCATGAGTTTTTGATGGATTTGCAAAAACAATCACCAAATTTCCAGATAAGCACTGTTATCTTACCAAATCTCATTCACACTGTGGAAAAAGGTGAATGCACTTTTTCATCTGTCCTTCAGCACTTACTGGGTCCCTGTAACAATCTAGTCTGTGTTAGTGGCCTGCTAGTTTAGGACAATGCCAAAGCATTCCAGCCAAATAGGTAGAATTCCAGGTCACTTTGTAGCAGACTGAATAGAGTTGCTGTTAATCCTGTTTCTTCCTCTCTCCCGTGTGCATTTAATGCGCTGTGTTGCTGTGCCAGGCCCGTGATTGTGGAGATTCCCCATTTTGCCGCCCTGCGCGGGAAGGAGAGAGAGCTGGTGATCCTGCGCAGCGAGAACGGGGACAGCTGGAAGGAGCATTTCTGTGAATACACTGAGGATGAACTGAACGAAATCCTGAATGGGATGGATGAAGGTATCCGGTGGCACTTGGTTTCTTATCCTGCTCCCGTGTTCCTTCTGTACCCTGAGGGTAGCGGCTCTTACCATGGCGCTCACTTCCTTTGCATGGGCTGCTGAAGCAGTGGGACAGGATGTCTCCCCTTCGTGAAGCTGACAGTAGATTCCAGACGTGTGTTTTCTCCTGTTCCTTCTCCTGGTGTTAAACAAAAAGCTTCCATAGCAAACATCTTTCCAAAACAAGGCAATTACCATACTGATCCTTTCAGAGCAGCTCCGTGTGTGGGAGGAAATGTCAGTCATGGGTACTCTTGCTTTCTGAGAGAACAGAATGGCCTCGGGCTGTCTAGGAGCTGCAGAAGTTGTTATTAATTTGTGGTTTTTTTCAAAAAAACCTCACAAATCCCAAAGTAAACAAGACAACTCACAGCGTTAAAGCCAAACTCATGTTTTGATACTGTTTTGAAATTTTGTTTCGTGGGACACTGTAAATAGGTGAGGTAGAAGGGGCTGGAACCAATCCCTTGGCTTGTTTGGCTGCTGATCTTGGAGCTGTTGTCACTTTGTTCTGTTTGCTGCCTTCAATTCACGGCTCGATCTGTCTGTCTGTTCTGTCTTGAGTGCTCTGGTTCAGCTGAACACAGGCATGTGTTTCCTTTTCCCATTATTTCTAGACAAAGTACTTCGTGTAACTTGCGCAACACTGTGGAAAGCTTGAGTGCATTTTGAAGGTGGCTGTAGTGTTTCTATAAAACTCTGGTCTTCTGACCATCCCCTCTTCTGCCCTCAGTACTTGACACTCCAGAGGAGCTCGAGAAGAAGCGGATCTGTCGCATCATCACCCGGGATTTCCCTCAGTACTTCGCAGTGGTGTCCCGGATCAAACAGGACAGCAACCTCATCGGGCCCGAGGGAGGGGTGCTGAGCAGCACCGTGGTCCCACAGGTGCAGGCAGTCTTCCCAGAAGGGGCACTCACCAAGAGAATTCGCGTTGGCCTCCAGGTACAGCGAAGCATTCGCAGAGTTTTGCTTTCGTTATTGGTGACAAATCTCCTTTTTGGAACGGAGAAGCAGCCTATCCAGCTTGTCGTGTTGTATGTTGGCTACAACGCTTCTAGAAAAAAGCAATAAAAGAAAAAGATCCATTCAAAGGTTAAAGCAAGTGGTAAAGCATTGGGTTTTCCATTTAGTTCTATTGTCTATTAAATGTCACTATAACTTTGGGAAGAAATGTTGGTGATGATGCGGATATGAGTCATAGAATTTCCTAAATACTTCTTATGAAAGGCATCAGAGAAGTACAAAGTGCTGCAATAATTAGCCGTGCTACTATTACTAAATGTACGGATTTTCAGTGTGACCGAACCAGTGTAACAATTCACTTCCTGCAGAGAGGGAAGTCTTCTCTGGTCTCATCCTGTCCTCCTGCTGCATGCATCCATGATTTACCTTGTCCAGGAGACTGAGCTTGTTGAAATCTCCTGGGATTTGCTGAATAGCACTGCAAAACAGCCAGAGTTTGTTCTCGGGGGAAAAAGTAACCAGGTTATCATTAGCTACTGGTTAAGTGAATTTAAATTGATGCTGTAAAAATCTGATAGGCAGCAAGAAAGGGGATAGGAAGAAGAGGCAGGCATGGCAAAGTTGAAAAAGTGAGCTCTCCCCTTCTCACTGGCAGTCAGTTCTTCTGTCTGCAGATTTTCATAGGAAATTGTGCCATTTGAAAAGTTAAGGGGTTTGCGGGCAATATACAGACCCAGTTCTTTACATGTCATTAAACTGTTTTCAAGTAACTGCTCTGTTATTTCCTCTTGCTTTGGAAAGGCTCAGCCTATGCACACTGAACTTACAAAGAAAATTCTGGGCAACAAGGCTACCTTCAGCCCCATAGTCACGTTGGAGCCCAGGAGAAGGAAATTCCATAAGCCCATCACGATGACGATTCCCGTGCCCAAGGCCTCCAGCGATGGGCTCATGAATGGCTATGGAGGCGACACGCCCACTCTAAGGTTACTATGCAGCATAACAGGTAGGATGCCAGGCCTGCAGCTCTCCATGTGCATCCTGAAACTGGCAGTCCCCAGGGGCTGGAAATGCTGAACTGATTGCACCCAGGGGAAGCTGGGTGGAAATCTGAGTGGGGCAAGAAGCTGAGAAAATAAGCTACTTTCCAAACAATTGATTTATACCAGAAATAACATTTGTTGTGTGCACTAACAAGAGATGTGTCTAATCACATACTTTGGGTTTGGTGGGTTTTTTTGCATTTTCCTTACAGTTTGTTTCTTGAGAACCAACATAGCTCTGCCTGGCAGAGTAGCAGTAGTACAGACTTAAAGTTGCAGGATGCTTAGGAAGAAAATACTGGAGTTAAACACTTAACTTGCCATGGCTCTGAAGTGATTAACATCTCCTTCAGTCTCCCTTAAGAGACACAAATGAGCTGCAAGTATTTAATTTAATTAATTAAATCCTGTACCACAGGGCTCATCACTTCAAAATCATTTGTGCATTTGGGTTTTTCACGGTAAGCCCATCTGGTCCTGTTAGCATTAGTGGACCCAAGGAGAAGGCATATCTGGGATTATTACTTGTTTCATGGCAATTAAAAACCGTTAAGAATTTCTTTGAAGCAAAAAAGTCGCAGACTTGCTTGGTTTTCATTTTACTTTTAATCCTCTGCAATTTCAGGAGGAACCACCCCTGCCCAATGGGAAGACATCACTGGGACAACACCACTGACATTTGTTAATGAATGTGTTTCCTTCACGACGAACGTGTCTGCCAGGTACCTACACAACCAAACAGGACTTATACAGGAGTACTCTCAAATACAAATATTTCCGTTAAACTATTTTAGTTTGGAGAGTAGAACAAACAGAAATATTGGTTATTATGAAAATTTATATGGAAACAGAAATCCCTTATTTGGGTACCACACTAGACATCTTGTAGGAGATATTACTTCTGGCATATCCAAAACTGAGAAGTCAGGCAGAAAGGGCCTGTAGGTGTGCCAGACTGGGGTCTAGAAGCGACTCTTCCGTACATCTGTTCTTCTGATGAGATTTAACTGCTCTCTTATTGAAAACAGATTTTCATTTTAAAAAAGGAATAACAGATATGAATGTATGAATGCATTTTAGTTTGTGTCCATGATGCATATCACAGAAAGGCCCAAAAATCTCCTCCTCTGTAACAGGAGATGCAATCCGTGACCTGGAAATATTCCATCTAGGCTGTGTCCTCCAGCAAACACTTAAAAAAAATCATGGATAACTTGCCCATGAAATTCAGTGCAAACATTCAATGTCTGGGGCAGTTATTGCGGCTAATTCGGTTTGTTATTTATCGAAATAGCGTATTCAGTGTTAAAACGAGGTCAGCTCTTGCAGTCCAACCTCCAGTTTAACATTAGGTGAAATAAAGCATTGTTTATTTTATCCTTTCTCAGTTCAGAACGGGGCTGTTTTCCCGTTCAGCTGGCTGCTTTGCTGATGCACGTTTCTGTTTGGTGCCGCTGAACATTCCCCTGTAGCAGCGGTGGCCACGAGAGGGGGATCTTGCAGTGCGTTCTGCTCAGTGCTGCTGCTGCAGAGCTGGAGGCAGGAGTGGAAGACTAATTTAAGAGCCACTTGTGGAAACGAGATGTAGAGTTTGAGAGGTCCAAATCCCTAAAATTTTCAAGTCCCCAGCAGCAGGGGACTGTGTAGTCACACATGATAGCCAGAATGAGGGAGACACTTTATGGTGCTGCAACCCGTATTTTTGGTGGATCTTTCTTAATCCTAATGATGGCATGAAAACTGGTTACTCTTATTAATATTCTGTGATTGAGGCAGGGTCCCATCTAGAGATTTTAATGGGTTCTGCCTCTTCTTTTTAATGTCAATGAATGTTCAGCCATCTACTTTGCCACAAACATGATGTACAGTTAAAAAAACTGGATTTTTCACCTAATTTCTGGCTCTTTGCTACTTACAGTAATTTTTTTATGTCTAGTTAAGCATTAATGATGGGCAACAATTTTACCATTCATAAAACTAATTCTGTCCAAAATGAGCTTGGGAAAGAGATACATTTGCCATGTGAACTACACTGCAGACTTGGAGGCACAGTGTTTGTTTTCCATTTCCTGAGCTGCAGCTTTTAAAAGACTTAATATCTGTTGGGGCTTTTTAGCCACTGGTGTTTGACAGCAAATCACTGAGGCATCTGGTGGTTTCTCAGAGGATGTGGCCTCTCCAGTTGGAGTCCAGCACAGCATAATTCTCCCACGCAGGAAAAGGAGAGGATCAGCGTGCAGAGCCTTTCTGTCGCACACATGCTTTCCCTCTTGCGAATGTCAGCAGCCGGGGGCTTTGAGCAGTGCATTTGTTAAACATTCTAAAGATGAGCACAGCGTGGAATTTGCTGTTATTCTGCTGCATTTGTGCAAGTGCAGGGCAGTCACACTCCAGAGGTGTGCTTTGGGGTTACAGTGTAAGCACCATGAGGAGTAACACCCCTATGGAACAGAGCAGCTTTTGAGCTGCCTCTGACCTTTCCTGACTTCCGCCTTCATCTGCTGGCTGGGAAACTCAAGCTTTCCACCCACACAGTAGATTTTATTGAAAAGAAATGGCTTCAACTCCACAGAGAAACTCAAGTGGTAGCTGGGAAAGAAGGCAGGATGTGTTACTCTTAGGAAAGTGCCCGGTGACTAAATTCACATAGGAATAATTTCTGATTTTGCGTGCAGCTTTGCGCAGTGGACAAAGTCATTCGCGTTCACCTAAAGACCTCAGGTTTTGCTGTTGTATGTAAGGAATTGACTGCTATTTCCTTTAAGTTGGGTGGGAGACAAAAACCAAGAGTGACAATTCTTTTTCTACTCTATTCTGCCTTGTTATCTCCCATTGCTGTGAGATATGAGCTAATGCTGCCAGGATGGGTAAAAATAGAATTTCCTTTCTTAAATCCTTCTCTGCCGTTGGCACAACTCTTCATTTTCTTTTACAGATTTTGGTTGATAGACTGTCGTCAGACACAAGAATCTGTTACTTTTGCTTCCCAAGTGTACAGAGAAATTATCTGTGTCCCCTACATGGCCAAATTTGTGGTGTTTGCCAAATCCCATGATCCCATTGAAGCACGGTTAAGATGTTTCTGCATGACGGATGACAAGGTGGATAAAACTCTAGAACAACAAGAAAACTTTGCTGAAGTTGCCAGAAGCAGGGATGTAGAGGTACTGTACGAGACTTTCAGTTTTCTCTGCTTTTTAATGTCTGAAAAATAATCTGTCAACAGCTGCTGTCACGACACAGTATCAGCAGCTACAGTAAGATGGAAACTTGGACTTGAGTCATGTGTAAGGAGAAAGTAGTGAGGAAATCCTGTTCCCAGAGGGGCACTGACAAACTCAGTCCATAGGGCTAAAGGGAGAGGGTTGGGGCCAAAAATGATGGCTAAATCCTGTCTTCCAGTAACCCCATAAATGCACATCACTAACCAAAAAGGCAACTGACAGGGGTCAGCACATTCACATAGCAAGAAGTTAAAGTAGCAGGTTTGATTAATATTCTGCTTTAAAAAAATAAAATTGCATGAAATTTGTCGCTGAGCAGGCAAAAGCTTTCCTATGCAGAATTCACCAAACTGCCTGCTAAATGCAGTTTTTCTGGCTCTGTCAGCTTCCTCAGAAGGGATGACAAATTGAAGGTGCTTTAACTTATGTGGCGCATTCTGCTTAGTTCAGTCTCTTTTCCATGAGAATCCCACCTTTAAAAGATTTGTCCTCGCTGCTCCTGAAGCTCTGACAAGCATCTCTTGTGCAGAGCAACAAGATAAAATATGGGCTTATCAAACTGAATGACAAGGCTCAATTTCTGGAAAGTAAGGATGAGCCATGAACAGATTGGCACTTTGGATGAAGCATCTCCCAGACTGCTGATCTGATACTCAGACATGTGGAGGGGCCACAACAGCAGCAATCTGAAGATACAAGCTGTGTTATAGAGAGATTTCACAGGGATATTTACCTGAGGCCTCTACAGATCCATCTGAAATAAATGGACTCAGCAGGCACACACGCTGAATTCTGATTGCTGAAGAAAATGTTTGTTTGACTGTGGTGGTGAGGCCAGGTTAACAAAGTGTGCTAAAATTGGAGTCAATCAAAAATCCAAATTAAAATCTAGATGTAAAAGTTTGCCCAGATTTATGACACTAAGTCATATACTGCTGTCATTTAAAGTACTGCACTATTGTTACTAAATTAACAGTCTATTCTCTTTGGAATTTAATAATCTGAAATGTTTCCAAACATTTTAGGTCACTGAACTTAACAAATCCTGTAAATTTTTAGGACAAATCCTAACAATTCCAGAAACTGATTTTGAACTGTTGTAGAATTATCCTTCAGAAGCAATCCTAATCACCTCACAATAATAAATTGATGGTTTGCTTTTTTTCCTTTCCAACAGGTATTAGAAGGAAAACCCATCTACGTTGACTGCTTTGGCAATTTGGTGCCACTCACAAAGAGTGGGCAGCACCATATATTCAGTTTCTTTGCCTTCAAAGAAAACAGACTTCCTCTGTTTGTGAAGGTAATGTTGATGGCTCCTTTTTGGATATTTCAAGTTAACTCTTTACCATATGTTTTGTGAACAAAGGAAAACCAAACTACTTAATTTATGTCAGTTCCCAACAGCAACCTAATTTTATCCCTGTACTATTCCATTTAAAAAGCTTTTTTTTATGAGTAGGAAAATTTGTAAAATGAAAGCCAAAGTGAAAACCCTTCATTCCTCTCAAATTAAGTAATGCATTAACCCACTGTGGTCAGAAGTGCTGCTGTCACCGAACCACCATCACCACCTCTTCTGAGAGGCAGACTAGAGAGCACTGGAAACCTCTTCCACAAACTTTTCCCTCTACCCTGACATTCTGACTACAAAGGAGGAAACTATTACTGTTCTATAAATAACAGCCCTAGAGAAATGATTTATGAATGGAAACTTCCAGTGAGTGGAGAAAATCAATCCACTCCATCGTGTTATACTTGCTGTGTGCTGCTAGACAAACTTTAAACTTTCTCCTTCCTTACCAGCAATATTTGGTAAGCTTGTTTTAATTTACAACTTCATCTGTGCCACTGCCTTCCCTTGGCTTTGCAGATATTCCCCCCTGCTGAAATTTCCACCAACAACATTCAGCATATATTGAATGCATAAATACATCTGTACATACATTTACAAACAGCAGGGGGGGAGAAGTGAAAACACATTATTTTTGCCTACATGGACTTTTTCTCCCCATCTGGTCCCTCCTGCTGACTAGTTTTGAGAGACACAAGTAGCTCACACAGCAGAGCAGCAGGCTAAATGTGTGTATTTTTACTGTGCCAGGTCCGAGATAGCACTCAGGAGCCCTGCGGACGATTATCATTCATGAAAGAGCCAAAGTCTACCAGAGGCCTCGTTCATCAAGCCATATGTAATTTAAACATCACTTTACCCATTTACACAAAGGTACTGTGAAATGATACCCAGCTGCAGGCATCAGCGTTATCATACAAACAAGAAATGAGGGGGAGGGCTAAACAGGATTAAAGCTTTGTGGGCAGGGGCTTGAAAGAGGAAAAAATTCCATGCAAGGGGTTTCAGTGTCTTGGGTTTGGTACTCTTAATGCCAGTGTTTGAAGACATCATCAGGTATTTCCTGAGGACTCAGAAGAGATGAAGGGGAGTGTCCTCAGATATTAAACATTTCATTCCTTAGAAAGTGTCAGTTTACATTTATTCTCTGAAAACACAAGTTATTTTTCTATCCTGGTCAGATGAGAAGCCGTGTGCCTTTTAGGGATGTATTTGCCCAAAATGGTGATCATTTTCTTCTCAGCTTTTTTTAGAATATAGTTAATCTTTATTATAGCAATTTAGCATTATAGTATGATTTTAAAACAGAGCATCTCAGCATTTTGTGACTTTAAATGGTAATAGTTCTTGAACATTTTAAGTCTTTATATATGCTAATTTATGGGTGAAAAAGCACCTATATATTTAAAGGTTTTGTATAAATAAGGATCACTAGATGTCTAACTTTTCTGTTTGTATTTTGCTCGGTTCTGTAGCCTTTTGTGTTTAGTTTTGCTGCTTTTGGACGTAAGAAATCAACTGCAGAAATGTGCTGCGTTTTCTTCTTTTCTGTTAAATGTTGTGGGAAGTTAACTTTTTCCTACTCTCTTCTAAAAATTGCCTTTTGCCTGCTCTGTTTCCCCATTCTCTTTTTGCATGTCACTTTGGGACCAAAAGGAATCAGATTCAGATCCAGAACCAGAAGAGGTAATGTTGCTAAATCGGCGTGCTCTTGCCTGCACACGTTACTCAAACACAATTAACAGACACAACTCGGAACTGATCCTTAGCTCAGTGCTACAAGCACAGCACCGAGGGCCTTGCACAGACTCACTTTGGGAATAGACAGAGTTGATCTTCCCCCATGTTAAAGTGACCAGACTTCTCCATTGGTAACATCCAGTAGACAGGACGTTACAGGTTACTGGGCTGGGTGACTGACATCCAGTACAGAACCAGTGTTAACCCAGAAGTTAACAAGTAAAAAGTTTAGAATTTTCACCTTTAGCATAAACTAAATTGTATCAGCTCCCCCCAGAGCTCCCAGCCCTGGTCTGGCACTTACGTTACTTCAGGTCTGACCTCTACACAAAGGAGTAACATTAGAGAAGTGTCCTCACATTTTGATGATGTTCAGCTGTTGGAAACACTGTGAGAATAGCCAGCTCCCCAGAGATGATGCACATCTTTTCCATGCCCTGCACGACAGATTCAGCAGGTCTGTGGCTTGGCATGCGGTTTCCTATTATCATTACAAAAGTACTTACCACTCCTATGGTAAATATGACCTCTATTTTTCTATGGGAAACTAAAGCACAAAAAGACAAGCTCAAATGATAGCTATAAGCATTTTAAAATATTTTTTATTGACTTCATGAATTTTTATGTCAGTAGTATTAATTCCTATGCTTACATAAATCTGGACTGATGTGGAAGAACTGCAAGTGAGGGAAGCTAGAACATCCTAGGGATGCAGGGTTACCATGCAGGGCCATGTGTGCATCAGAGGAATTCGGGCTATTACGCATGTGTTGCACACACTGCAGACTGTGAGGTGTAATTATGTGAACCTGAAAGATTACCAGGCATGTACAAACATGCGCATGTGGCCAGGGATTTCCTTCTGTTCAGCGTCAGCTCGTGGAAAGGCACGGATTTCTAACATCTTGACTGAGACTGCATATTGCATTTATCTTTATAAATAACAGTTTGAGCTATTTAAACCTTTTCAGCACTCACTAAAACCTTGGGGGCTTTACCATACACAGTATCTTGTACCAGCAGTACTGCACAGCTGATTTGCATTCTTCACAGTTGTCCTACCCCTACCACAAGTTTGTATAGGAAATTAGAGCTTTAATGCTACTTGCAACTTTGCATATTTTTCCATAGCCAGATTTAAGCAGCATGTGCTGGTGTGGACAAATGCTCGCAGAACTGAAATAAACTGAAATTACAAAGCAACCTCAAAAATTTGCTTCTTGAATTTTCGTGGTCTGAGATGGTGTTTTGTTTAATTATTTTTTGACAAGGACTGTGTTTTCTTTTGAATAACAGTAAAATTGTATGGCTTTCTTTGATCTGTACCCAAATAACTCTGAAAAATCAAAAAGGGTGCCTGTGAGGGTCACCACAGCTTCCATTTAAAGGTATCAATAGCTATTAGTGGCATCCAGCCCTTGGTCATGCCTTGGGCAGTTCTGCCTTCATTGTTGCACCTGCATTTCATCATCACTGACCACAGAGGCAGAAATGTGATTGATGCTCTCAGAGTGAATGTGTCCAAGGAAACACAATGGATGAAACCTCCTGGTTGCCTTCCAGATGGACCACATGCCTTCACATAACCATATTGGACTATTTTGTGTTAGAGAGGAAGAAATAAATTGAGAGCAATGCAACCAAACACCTGGTAATGCAAAAGTTTAGGTCCTCCAGACTTGCTAAAGAGCATTTAAAGAAAATACACTGCAACATTTTGAAGCTACTGTGAAGTAAGCATTTTTCTGATACTGGAGACCCTAAATAAATTAAGCCATGCTTTTACTGTTATTTTAAATGAACTCTTGGTTCCATTTAAGTCCATGTGTCTCCATACAACTAACACTTCACCCATGGCTTCTGTGTAGCAGTTATATTTGAACTTTTAAATCTCCTGCTTTTTCCTCTTCCAGGTTGATATGACTTCAGAAAAAAGTAAGATTTTCTTCTTTTTCTTGAGACTGTTATAATGCAATTTGTATGAGAGATGGTTAAGAGTAAAGATAAGCATGAAAGAGAGCTAAGTTTTAACTGCTATTGCTAATAACATCAATAGTTAAAAAATGTAATAAAAACCAATTTAATATCTCAGCAGCTATCCAATTCAATACACTTTAACATGTAAATTAACGAGTAATACAGTTAAAAACCGTTCATCTAAGCCTTTACTTTCCTTTGACATCCCTAGTGAACCTGCTATTGCTATTTTGCTTGTATGAATGCTCATCCCTCCATTTCTTTTGTTTTCACCATTTGTTGACACACATTCTTGCCTCATATTTGAGACAGATGACAGTATCACTTTTAATGAAAACCTAATGAGGACTCCAATATATTTCATTAATCTCATGGAATACAACCATGCCAAAAAGTGATACTGTCCAAAGGAATCAGGCTGTTTAACCCTCCCTCCCTTGCCCCACCCTTTACTGTGGTGAAATATGGCTGGAAATCTGACCTGAGGGCTTGGCACAGCACAAACACCCCCTGTAAATGCACAGTCAGGCCATGACCATGACAGACTGCGGGCAAGGGGTTCGCAAACGTCTCCTTTACGGGAGAGTCAAATCAAACTAATATCTGAACACATGGAAATGTCCCTAATGAGCGCTGCTTCCAAATGCAGCCTTTTCTTGGATCTGTTCAGGAAAAGAATGACATCTGTTGTGTTTCCAATTTGGAGTGCAACGTCTCGCCTTGTCTGCAGTTAAAGTGCAACGTCTTGTATTGTCCTCCTGCCGCTTTCTCACTGCTGAGTGCCCCAGAGAACCCTAGAGAGTGTTCCTGCTCCAGCCACACACTGTCTGGATAGCACTTCCAATTTATTTCCCACTGGAGTTGTTTTGCTTCAGGCTGACTAACTCAGTTATTGGCCAGTGAAAGTCACACATTTGTTATTTATGAAAGTACATATTACAAATTTACAAAATTACTGGTTGGCATTTCAGCGTGCACCAGACAGTTCATTGTAAAGCAGCAGCACCAAAAGACCACATTTTCAGCACCACAATACCCTGCAGCAATCTGGCTCTAATTAATGTACAGCACAAGTATTTAGCATTCCTTACACCCAGGAGAACAGCGTTGCAAAATGGATCTTTTTTACAAATAAGTTAATTATGTGTTGCTTAAGGTCTCCATATTTGCATTAGTTCTTTGACTTTCACTGGGGTGCCGAAATGTGCAGTTCCACGTGACGTGCTACCTTTAAAGGAAAAATGTCCATCTGTGATTCCTAAGCTTTGTGTTCTGTTTGTAACTTGCTTCAGTTCTCCAGTGTTTTGTTCTGTTCAATATCCATTTTCTGCTAGTCCTTGCTGAAATGAAATATTACCGGCAGGCAGTTATGGCATAATGGGAATTACCGCAGCCACCGTCCTGTATATTGATTGCCAGATTAGACAAATATTTCACCACAGTATGTTTTACAGTGTTTTCATGTACCTTTAATTTATATGAATAATTTTTAGAGCTCTTGTTTTTAACCAAAGCTACATACCCAGCAGCATTTGCAACACCTTTGCTTTGCATGGAAATAACTTGCCTTACATGAATTGTACGTATGTGTCTAGTGTGACTGTCTGTGACTTTGGGTTGCCATACATTACATTTTTAAAACTCTGAAATCACTTCTAAGTTGATTCACAGTTTTTTCTTATTATCTCTCCTTTTCTTCTCTGTCTTCTCTTTCCTCAGTCAGTTCATTAGTTGTCAATGAGGATGTTCCAAGGAAAGGACCATGCCTCTTAAAACAAAAGCCTGTTTGTTTCATTGTGTAGGTGTGAAATCCCCTTAGATGAAATGCCGGTTTGCAGCTGATTCAGATCTCTACGTATTTGATCATATTTTAGATTACTGCAGAATTACTTTTCACTTTTTATTTTGGTCATTAAGAAAAAAAAACCCGTTAACCCGATGTTATTCTGACAGTTTGCTAACACTGGCTTTCTCTTAGAGGAAATTGACTTTCAATCAGTTCTAATGCTTTCCCCCTTTTTTCTTGTTTTTCTTTTTATTTGAACATTGATCTGTAACATCTGAACAATCTTGAGATGCCTCTCTTTGTGTAACTTCACTGTGTTTCTTCTGGTTTTGATTTGAAATTTTGTTGTTGTTGTTGTTTTGGGTTTTTTTTAGTGGTGTCCTGATTTGGTTTGTTCCAGCTTTGATACTGTATGTGTGGTTGTGCTCTAGCGATAAAGTGAAGCAAGTTATTTCCTGCCATTTTCCTTTTCAGTTGTTTTTTTTCCCCACCCCCCCGTTAGCTTTGCTTTGCTCTTGTACCCTCAGATCTTGTGGATCCACCATTCCCGGCCCATTTTGTTGACCTTCCTACCACTACAGCCAAAGACTGTCATTTTCAGTCCTGATTGCATTTTCCAATCTCTATTTTTGATTTCCATTTTACTTTCAATGTTTTTCATTCGCATCAAAGATGACGAGACAGAATCTACAGAAACATCTGTCCTGAAAAGCCATCTGGTTAATGAAGTCCCTGTACTAGCCAGTCCAGACCTGTTGTCTGAAGTTTCTGAGATGAAACAAGATCTGATCAAAATGACTGCCATCCTGACAACTGACCCTTCTGATAAATCAGGCTCCATTAAAGTGAAAGATCTTGAAAAGTCCGCTGAAGAAGAGCCAGGAGAACCTTTTGAAATAGTTGAAAGAGTGAAAGAGGACTTAGAAAAAGTAAATGAAATTCTGAGAGGTGGATCCTACACCAGGGAAGAACATGTTTTGCAGAAGTCCCTTTCCAGACAAGAACCCTTAGAAGAAGAATGGATCATTGTCAGTGATGAAGAAATTGAAGAGGCCAGGAGAAATGCTCCATCAGAAGTCACAGAGCCGAGCCGCCTAGAAGTCAGGGTAGGCAAAGGGACAACAAAAAAGGGGGAGCCGGACACGAAAGGAAAGGATTTAAAAACACGCGTTTCTCTTCATGAGAAACAGCCACAGGCCTTACACGAGGAGGTAGTAGAAGAGAAAGTCAAAGCTGCAGTAGTAAGCAGGGATTCTGAAAAAAAAGGAAAAGAATCTCCAAAAACTGGGAAACCAAGCTCACAGGAGCAACAGAAGGCAGCCTCAGAAATTAAAAAGCCTCTTAGGACAAAGCTAAAAGAAAAGCCAAAGCCAAAGGAAAGCAAGGTGAACAGCAGCGGAGAGAAACTGAGGCTGCCCAAGCTCACTGCAGACGAGGCGCCGGCTGGGGAGGCTGGCCTAAAGGTGACAGGTGCTCCAGAGCCTAAAGCCGTGTCCCCTGTAATCGAGGAAACTCCCATTGGCTCAATAAAAGATAAAGTGAAAGCTCTTCAGAAACGAGTGGAAGACGAGCAAAAAGTACGGTCAAAACTGCCCGTCAGAGTTCAGGCAAAAGAAGGGCCTGCCGAAAAGGCGCCTAAAAAACCAGCACAGGTCAAGAAGCCGGTAGCACACAAAGCCCAGCCACCCGTCTCACCTTCATCCAAGACAGAGAGACTCGAAGAGACCATGTCCGTTCGGGAACTGATGAAAGCCTTCCAGTCAGGGCAAGACCCGTCCAAGAATATTTCCGGACTCTTTGAGCACAAATCTGTCAAACAGAAGCAACAGGCTCCTGAGAAGGAAACTCCGCGCAAGAAAACGATTCCTTCCCAGAGTGAAACAAGGCGAGTGTCAAACCTCAAGACAGACAAACAGAAGGACAAACCGAGCACGGTGTCAAAAGCAGAGAAAGAGCCACAATCTAAGAAAGGAAAAACGCAGACTTCCACCATCGAAACTGCCAAGAAAGCTGGTGGCAAAGACCAAGTGAAAGAGCAGAGCAGCAAAAAGCCAACTGAACCTCTCCCTCCGGTAATAGTTGCTGAAAGTGCCAAAGACACGGCAGCTGGGAAGGGCAGGACTCCTGATGATCAGGGAGATCCTGACTTCCAGATCAGCCCTGACAGGAAAACCTCAACAGACTTCTCTGATGTCATTAAAGAAGAACTGGAGGATAATGACAAATACCAACAGTTCCGACACCTCTCAGTGACTGAGGAGGGAGAGCTTAACTTGGAGCAAGTACTGACCAGTCCTTTCGGTGCTGCTTTTCCCACAGAGTATGGGAAAGACGGATTCCTTCCTGCTCTTTCTCTGCAGAGTGCTGCTCTTGAGGGGAGCTCAGAGAGCCTTAAACATGAAGGTGTGGCTGACTCTCCAGGCAGCCTACTTGACGGAACCCCTCAGATCAGCTCGGAGGAAAGTTACAAGCATGAGGGTCTGGCAGAGACTCCTGAAACGAGCCCAGAAAGTCTTTCATTATCACCAAAGAAAACTGATGGGCAAATTGAAGATGCTAAAGGAGCGGCTCGAGTACACACAACAGCAGAAACATGTTCTACGAAGGAACTCTCCTCAAAGGAAGATGAAAAAGGTATTACTGAGAGGCAGCTAGATGCTGTTACCGAGACTAGTGAATCTCGTTCTGACCATGTATCAGAAGAGCATGTACCTCCAGCCTCTGAAGAAGAGGCTGATAAACTTAAAGAAAGTAGCTCAGCTTCCATTATGAAAGATATTAGCAGGGATAAAGAATCCAGAACCACTGCACATTTCACTAAGTCTTCTGAAACACATGACACTGCTTTAGAGAAAGAAAAAGATGTAGCCTGTGAACGCCGTCTTACAGTTAGAAGTCCCCAGAAATTGGAACTTTCACTTGCTAGCCATGATAGTGAAGCCTTTAGCCCAGTTGCAGATGACTCTTTGACTATAAGTCATAAAGACTCCCTGGAAGCAAGCCCAGTGCTAGAAGATAACTCATCACACAAAACACCTGACTCTTTGGAGCCCAGCCCTATGAAAGAGTCCCCCTGCCGCGATTCCCTTGAAAGCAGCCCTGTAGAACCAACAGTGAAAGCTTGTATTTTGGGGCAGGGTCCTCTTCCGTCTGTTCTTAGCAAAGCAGAAGCCTGCCCAGAGCTGGCATCGGTGCGTTCCAGGATTCTCCGTGACCCTGAGGGAAGTGCCGATGACGACAGTCTAGAGCAAACATCCCTCATGGAGAGCTCAGGGAAAAGCCCCGTTTCCCCCGAAACTCCTAGTTCGGAAGAAATTAGCTATGAAATCACACCTAAAATGGCAGACATACCCAAGTCAGCCACCATCCCTGAAGTCAACGAAGAACCGGAGGACGATTCGGAAAGTGAACCAAAGAAGAGATTTACCCCTGAAGAAGAGATGTTTAAAATGGTGACCAAAATCAAAATGTTTGATGAATTGGAACAAGAAGCAAAGCAGAAAAGAGATTATAAAAAGAGTTGTAAGCAAGATGAATCTTCTGTGGTTGCCAATTCAGAAGCCTCACGTGAGGCTGAAACATCAGAGCCAGCTGCTGCAGTAGAAAAGGACATACCCACGGTGGTGGCACCTGCTGCTGAGTCTAGAAAGAGTTCTTCCTCTTCCGAAAGCGAGCCTGAATTGACTCGGCTCAAAAAAGAAGCTGACTCAGGCCTCTTAATGGAGCCTGTGATCCGAGTGCAGCCACCCTCACCTTTACCATCTAGTATTGACTCCAGCTCTAGCCCTGACGAAGCAGGTTTCCAACCCATTGATTCCCAGCCATGCTCTGTCGGGATAGGTGAGGTTAAAGCACGAGGTGAAGGTGACAAAGAGGAGCCGCTTATCCTTGGGCGCAGCTGTAAGCCTTCCACGGGCACTTGTCCTTCCGATGGTTGTGCATCAGCAGAAAGCACAGAATCAACATGTTGTGATGGTAGAGGTGACTGTGAGACAGTCAGTCCCGACGCCCTGGTCACGCGATCTGGGTGTGCTCCCTGTCAGTCTCTCGGTGACTGTTGTCAAACACAGGTTCACGCCGAGTCTTCACTAACGATGGGGCGGTGCGATGCTGCTGCAGAGGATGTCAAAGCCACAGCCCCGTCACCACACAGCGATCTCTTTTCTGCGGGAGCTGTGTCAGAGGAGGCAGATGGTCTTTCTCGTGGGCACAGTACCACCGAGTACTTTGTTCCACGCGATGGCAAACTGGCCGAAGGTGACACCACTGACCATTCTGCTTCGGCAAGGGATTTGGGGAAAGCAGATACAAGTTGTGAGACATCTCACAGGGCTGGTCATGCTGAGGAGCCCTTACCAGAGTTTTCATCCCTAAGCGCTGACACAGTGGAACTTGACAGCTGTGCAGCAGATGTTGCTGACGGTAGTGCTCCATATATAGTGAGCCCTTATGAAAATGTGTCTTCTGGACATTTCTTCATTGACTCTGAAAGTGAGGTAGGATCTGGTAGAAGTCTGCTATCTAGGGAAACCTGTTCTGTTGCAGAAGGGAAAGATCAGACTGGTGAAACTTTACTTAGCAGAGACACGGGCAGTGAATGTTGTTCTTCAGAGGAGGTGTACATGGAAATAGCGCCCAAACCAGAGGATGGATTTCAGACAATGTCACAAGGGTCTCCGACCTCAGATTCAACAAAATTATCTGAATCTGTCCTTGAGGATATAAGAGATGAAACACAGAAATTGATGGGTCAGGTTGTCATCACTAGAACCGATGTGGATTCTGACATGTGGAGCGAAATACGTGAAGACGATGAAGCTTTTGAAGCTCGGGTGAAAGAAGAGGAACAAAAGATATTTGGGTTGATGGTAGACAGGCGATCCCAAGGCACAACCCCTGACACGACACCAGCCCGGACACCCACCGAAGAAGGGACGCCACTCAGTGAACAAAATCCTTTTCTTTTTCAGGAAGGCAAGTTGTTTGAGATGACTAGAAGTGGAGCCATTGACATGACCAAAAGGAACTACCCAGATGAAAGCTTTCAGTTCTTCCAGGTGGGGCAGGAGCCTCAGGAAGAAGTTTCTTTATGTGAAGAAGTGAAAGAAGCAGCAGAGGCGGAATCTCCAAAGCTGAAGGACTTGCCGGACCCATTTGCACCTTCAGAGTCAGAGGAGCCAGATATACAAGAACAAGACGCGTTGAAATATTCACCCCCATCACCCGAGTCTAGTGATAGATCTGAAGAAATGACGGGTGAAGGTGCCAGTGCAGGCACTGCGAAAGCAGATCTTAAATCCAGAATTCCAATTAAAATGGGTATTTCAGCTTCTTCAAAATCACCAAAGAAAGAAACCGCTGCCTCTGAAGCTGCGCCCCTCTCCAGAACGGAGACCGACACGGTCGATAGCAGTCAGGTGCCTTGCCCCATCTCTCCCGAGCAGTGTGCGGCAGAAGATGAATTAGATTTTTCCAAAGTCACTCGATTGGTTAGTTCTGAACAGGGTGCTGAGTCCCCAGACTCTTCCCCAGAGGAACAGAGATCTGTGATTGAAATCCCCACTGCTCTAATGGAGAGTGTGCCTTCTTGTGAAAGCAAATCCAAAATCCCTGTAAGAACAGCTGCTGCCACATCGCAATCCTCACAACAGGCGGAAAACGAGAGCCTTTCCCCGGACGACTTCCTGGACAGTTCGCAGTGTGAAGGGAAAGATGACCCAGCGAAACCAAAGTCTAAAATTCCCGTGAAAACCGCTTTCCAAAAAGCCGAACCACAACACTCGTACGCGGACACATCCGTCCGCAAGCCAGAGTCACCCAAAGCGCTCGACGTGACGAGCGTGGTCCCTGCAAAGCCAGACAGCCGCAGTAAATCGGAATCCGACGCCAGTAGCCCCGTGGACCCAAAGACCAAACGTTCCATCAAAGCTAGGAGTTATGCTGAGGCAGAGGCAGAGGCCAGGGAGAGGGAGAGCGAGATGAAGTTTGAGCTAGACTCAGATGAGGCAACAACAGCAAGATCGAAGGTATTTTCTTCACGGTTGCCAGTTAAAAGCAGAAGCACTACAGGCTCCCGCGGTGCTTTTAGTCCCACAAAAGAAAGTAAGGACCATTTTTTTGATCTTTATAAAAACTCCATAGAGTTTTTTGAAGAAATTAGTGACGAAGCTTCTAAATTAGTGGAAAGACTCACGCAGTCAGAGAGAGAACAAGAATTAGTTTCAGATGATGAAAGCAGTAGCGCCCTAGAAGTTTCAGTTATTGAAAATGTGCCATCCAGTGAGACTCAGCAGTCAGTTCCTGAAGACATCTTTGACATCAGACCCATTTGGGATGAGTCTGTAGAGACTCAGATTGAACGTATCCCTGACGAAAATGCCCATGACCGTGCTGAAGGTATTTGCCAACGACTGGGATTCCCTGTGCGACGCATGTCATGAATTAAACTCTTTAGTTTTTTGTTTTCTTTGGTGTGTGCGTGCGTGTGCGTTTGTGTACAGGTGTAATGCGTGTGGCACTTTCTTTTCAGCTTTTGGTGGTTAGTTGTGCTTTTTTTTTTTTTCCCCTTGTGAGCTGTGTTTGGGTTTTTTTGTTTTGTGTCTGTGTTCTTGTCTGTGAAACGATCTCAAGATTGCAAACCATAAATGCTTATGGGAAGTGTTACCTTAAGAAGCAAAAACACTTCTAGAGATATGTATGGTTTTGTCATTAAACTGATTGCTTAGGTCATGCACGTTTTGGCTTTTGACTTTCCCTGGCCCTATTACTAGCTATTAACTGCTACTAATAATAAAATGCTCGGGGCGTCAATTGAAAGCGAGATGGGCAAATTTATGCTTTTGAGTTGGTACACAAAGAGATCAGCAGGAGTTATGAAGAAGGAAGCTTTTTACGTTCCTTTTTTCTGACAGTCTGTGTCTGAAGGAAACTCTGAGTCACCAGTAACTTTAGTACACATTTTCTGGTGCTTGGTTTTCCTCTCGCCTATTTGTGTGCTAGTACTGAGTAGCCCTAATGGAAATCAGGTGCCGGAATGACACGTGCATATCACGAACCCTAAGCAATTTCCCGATTTGGAGGTGTCGCAATCCACGTGTGCATTCAGGGAAAATCAAAACTCAAATTCCACCATCCTCAAATTAGCTCTGGGGATGGGAGGAGCCGTCAGCCTCACCATTAGTGAAGTGAATGAGGACTGACGAATGACTATCTGATTTTCCCTTGCCTTCGTTGTCAGTATTTTGTCTCACTCCCCGTCCAAAGGGTCAAAGACGCTGAAATTAGCAGTATCTCACGTGCAGACCATAATCTGAAGTGATGTATGGACTGTTTGAACAAAACTTGCCCTACAACAGAACGAACGTGATCAGAAGCACTGGTCTCAATGAATTCTTCAACCCTGGCATTTACTAAGGAGGCATGGAAAACTATGGCTCTTGACTTAGCCAGTCTTCAACTGAACTTTAAAATTAAGTTTTAGAGTAAAAAAGCCTGGCCAAAGTAGACACAGTAGGTGCTTCAGTCTTAGATTTTATTTTCACATGAATGCCTGTTTTTCAGATAGCAAAACTAGGTAGTCCTGTGCTTTTTAAAAAACCAAGCTTTTTGGTTTCATTTTGGACTTAGGCATTTACAGGCCTCACTTGAATTACGCAGCTTGTCCATGTTTAGACACAGCAGTTATGAAAAGACTAGGGCTTTCCCTTCTTGGGCTCTCTCTCCTATGGAAATGGTTTTTAACTTGCAAAAGGCAACTTGTAGCTCTCTTTGACCTTTAGATCAACAGGATGATCAGGAAAGGACAGAGGAAAGACTGGCCCACATTGCAGATCATCTTGGATTCAGCTGGACAGGTAAAGTGCACATTGTCTGCGCCAGAGCAAGGAGGGGATTGGCCCACAATCCCATCATGTTTATTTTGGATGACTTTCTGATTATCTAAAGATGTTTCATAAAAATATTTCAGAAGCTTATTGTCTTTGGGATACCGAGAGTCCTTAATGTGTTAACAAGGAGCCTGTTCTAAACAGCCTTTTAAATATCGTGGATTTAACAGACTTGAGGCAGCGAAGGGTAGTGGAGACAAGTGAAAGTGGCGTGGAACAAGATGCAATGTTTTTTCAGGTTTTGGGGTTAAACGATATTTCACAGACATTTACTTTTCTTTGAATGAAATTAGACCAAGGAGTGGTAGTAGTAGTAGCAGCAGACATCTTTACAGAGGTGGGTTTCTTTTTCAGAGCTAGCAAGAGAGCTGGACTTCACAGAGGAGCAAATTCACCAGATCCGAATTGAAAATCCCAATTCGCTTCAAGACCAGAGCCATGCACTCCTCAAATACTGGCTTGAAAGAGATGGGAAACATGCAACAGGTTTGTCTCCAGTTGTTGTGTGTAACTGTCTCCAATCTGCTAGCTGAGGTGACAGGTGTGTGTTGTAATCACAAAGAAAATTTGGGGGAAATTGAGGCTACAGAAAGGATGACCAGGGATTGCACTCAATGTTGTTTCTAGTCTTTTCTGTGAAACACAGCAAATCAATAAATTTGTTAAAAGGAAAAAAACAGAGCGCTAGATTTTGTAGGCAGCCGCTTGGTGCTTTTTAGATTTTATATAGCACTGCTTCTAAATGTATCTGTAATTTATATATGATACCAGTCAGTCACCTGTATATGCCCTTCCTATGGAGAAGGGAGGGAGCGTGCTTGATTGTTAACCGAGCTGCTCTGTCGTTCCAATGGCACAGATACCAACCTGACCCAATGTCTCACGAAAATCAACCGCATGGACATCGTTCACCTGATGGAGACCAGCGGCATAGACCCCATGCAGGGCCACGGCACGCGCACCTACGCAGACACGGAGCAGTCCTTGGCATTGGACCACAGTGAAGGTAAGTGGCTCCTGACCCAGGGTGCCTCTCTAAGCATCACTCTGCTCTGAAGGGTTGGCCCAGGCTCATCTGTCAGCTCTCGTGGCAGAGCACAGGAATCCCATTGTGAAAGCACAGACAGTGTGGGCGGACGCAAGCATGGCATCACAGGGGTCACATTTCACCAGGTAGAAGATCTGCGCTTTAGCTGATTCTTCAGAAGCAAACGCTGTGGCCAGCAACGTTCTCCCAGTTTACCTTGGGGTTTGGGGTTTTTTTGCTTATACAAGTGCTTTCATGAAAGTTCAGAAGGTTGTATTAGAATTTGACCAAGATATTAAAAAGGAAAACTCCTCGGTGCTTTGACAGAACACCCCTTTGGATCCGAATATACAGGATATTGTAATTCTGTTAGGATGCTATTGCATTTCCTAAGTTTGAAAGTTCATTGGATTAGATCCAGTGGTTGCAAAATGAAGAAACACCTCCAAATTTATTTGCTACAGAATCCTCTTTTCCAGAAGTGATGCTTTTGTGTGCCTAACTCAATATTGAAACATATTAGGCAGCTGCAGAGGTCCCAGTCTTGAGGAGAATGTAGGAATAGAAGGTTGTTTGTTACAGTCAGTGTTCTCATATCACAGCCAAGTAGTTTCAGAATGTTAACCTCTCCATCCAGCTCAAATTCCATACAAGCTTTCTTTTTTCCCCCCAATTTATTCTTCAGCGTTCACCAGGTTTCCAGTGAATCTGGCACATCAGTGAGCTGCTTCTTGCACCTAGGAAGTGCACTTGCCCTCTAGGAAGTGTTTTCATCTTTTTTCATACATTTAATTTTCCCAGAAGCAGATACATAACAGATATGGAAGGGACAAGTCACTAAAATCTATCCTTAATCAGCTGGAAAAAAAATATTTTGTGAATCTTCTTCTATACTTGGAGGGGTTTGGGCACAATTACTCGAGGTAAATTTCTGGGTAAATGCTATTTTGCCTGTTACTGTCCAAATCTGGCCACAGTAGCAGCAATCCAGCCTTCCTTGAGCTACTCTTAGAGGCCAGGTCCCCTCCCACTCAAGGAGTTCAAGAGCTCCAGGTCACATATTGCGCCCGGGGATTTTCAGTGCACATGGAGCACGGGAAGGACTTGTGCTTTCTGGTCAGACTCGTAACGATATTTCTCATCTCTCTGTCTTGGCAAGGGTTTTCAGCACTGCAAGAGGAAGTGTACAGCTCGAGACACAAGCAAGAGCAGCAGAGAATATCCAAGGACAGCGAGCCAACCGAGCACCCCCCTCTGGTCTCCGAGGAAGACGTGTCTGTCAGTTATTCCCCGTTCCAGGACAGTACTCCCAGGAGCGAGGCAGACGTGTCCATGGCTGAGCTTCTGAGGCAAGCACACAAGGAACAAGTAGAAGCTGAATTCTCAGGGAAACCCCAAGATGTGCCAGGGAAACCATCTGCTTCACAACAGGAATATTTGTAAGTGCCAAAAGACCAGGATGAAGCCGTAGGGAACAGGTTGTTTTTTCTCTGTGTGATAAGAGGATTCTACAGCTGCATTTGAAACGTCTGAACATACTAGAATTTTCCTTCAATTGTGGTTTTTGCTTTTTAATCCATGTGGAGGAAGCCTTAAGGCTGAGGAGAGTCAGTTTGTCACTGTGAACAGAAAGCAATAACTGTGTCTAGTACAGTTAGAAGAGAAGAGGGTAATAATGAACAATTAATAGTAATAATTAATAGAGAAGTGGAGGGAGGGTTATGTATATTTTTCATGTTTTGGAAGACAAGTGATAACATCTTAATGAAAGGAGTCCTAAAGAACCCTTTCTTCAGATTGGGGATGGCTTTTTCAATGGAGGCAAAATTTATTCCATTTAATCATTACTTAAAAAACTCATAACTACCTGTTAAGAATTGGGCTTTTAAAAGTGTGTTTCAGATGGTCAAAGGAACTGAAATGGGGTTTTACAGAGGTGAGACACAAGTAATAACACATGATACAGTACACATTTAGAAGACCTGTTGCAAACAAAACTGAAATTCTGAGGTGGGGCTGTCAGTGAGGCTGGTATCATTTGAAATAGATCATGTTTATTTCTCTACAACTTCCCTGGTTATGTGCCCACGCTGAGACCTCTCATCAGGGTAGAGTCAGGTATTAATAAGCCAGCAAAATATCAAGAATCCCTATCCAAATAAGTGATTTTCCTGGAGGTGATTAGCTTTGTTGTGGAGATTCAGCTCCCAGCAGTCACGGGGCAGCTGAGTCCAGAAAATGGACTTTTAGGGAATTCTTCTGCTCAGGATATGCTGGGAAAGAGTGTGGGAGACAGAAAATACCATCTAGGAAAGCTTCTCTTGCAGTGTTAGGCAAAAATACCAATGCTTCCTAAGGATTTGCATCAGGAAATGAATGTCTTTGAGGAACAGAGAATACTTGTGAGACAATAGTGCCACAACTACACGAGAATAATGATGACAGGGGAATGTCACTATACTGCAGGTCTGATTTCAACTATGTGGGAAATCAGGCTAGATTTAAATAGCTGGTAAGGAACAGGCTGCAAGAGGAATTAGAAACAATATTGAATGTACATATACTTGGACTAGATGTATTTCCTTTATATATGTGTTACATAGTAACATATATAATAGGTTTAACTGACTTGGGGCAATGATTGATCACAGCATGGTTAGACCATGAAAATTCCATTACAAACAAAACCTGAACCTCTGCTAAATTTCTGTTTGCTAAAAGTTCCAGAATTACACCTGAAAGCTGTTTTTTCCACTTTGCAGCTGCACAGCTTGTGCTCAGTGTTGTAGGTGCCTCACATTCTTCTACAGCGATCCAGGCTCTCCCCCTGAAAAAAGAAACGGTAGCATGTAGAGATGTGAGGGCACAAGTGACAGCAAAGCTCTCTGAAGTACTTTACAAATACCAAGTTTTGCAGAATTGCATGGAAGGGTTGGATGTCCATTTGGAGATCTGCTCAGGAAGATGGGTGGGATTCCCAGCCAGTCTCCACTCTGTAGCTCCTGTCAAGGAGTATCAGTATTTCTTGTCTTTGCTGGACAACAGGCAACATAACAATATGAAGTGCCTAATGTTCCATTGCTGGAAACTGGGAAGCGCTGCACAGTGGTAACTCGCTTGGACCTGTAATTCACAGCATCACGACTCCAGGAACCGAGCAGTCCGCAGGAGCTGGAAAAGCAGCGAGCGGGAAATCTGCGCACTCAAGCACGGCAAAGGGAGAGACGCAGCGAGCGCCCCCGCAGCCCCCGTCCTCTGCGCAGAGAGGGGACTCCCCCATCGTCCAAGAGCCTGAGGAGCCCCAGCTCCACCAGGAAAGCCTCTCTCCAAGGAGATCTAGTCTCGTGATAGTGGAGTCCACTGAGGAGCAGATGGAGAAGTCTGGAAGGGGCTATGAAGAGGAATCTTTAGAAAAGGTAAATGAACAACTTTGCCTCAATGTAATTGACACAATAAACCAATTATTAAGTCTCGCTTTGCATCTGGCACCAAGTTGTTTCTCCTTCCCTCTGTGGTTAAAAGGGTCAAGTAAAAGCTTTTTTTCTCCTGAGGTTTTCAAAGTGGGAGCAAATCCCAGATCCCCAAGTCTAGACTGCTGATTCTGGTTCTGCACTACCCTTCTTTGTCCTTTGGCCTGTGACAGTTAGATCTGTGCCTGAGAGACAGAGAGTGTCAGTAACAAACTGAAACAGATGTAATGCAGACAAAGTAATAACAATGAACAAGTCAAGTTAGAGCAGGAAGGTGCAGCTGTAGAGGCAGAAATTGTTTCACCTTTGCATTCATTAGAAAGAAGCCCTTCTCTCTTTGCTGAGTGGCCAGAGGTATCAATCACTTCTAGAATGAAGGGTTCAGAGCTCTGCTTCTGGGATCTCAGGGAAGGGTGGAATTTTAAGTATATCAGATGATTGAAAGAGTATCTACAGCAGGGCTCAGTAGAAGACAGGCTGCCCTCAAAATAATGTACTGCTTTTTCCCTCCAGTTCTTTTCCTGAATGAAGCGACAACAGCAGCTGGTGCCACCAAAAATACCCTCTCCATCCCCCCCTTATTTATTTTTCCTGTTTTGTTTTTATACTAGAGCTATTTTCCAACTGATTCTTTTCAGCCTCTCTTTGCCCTCTGACGTGTTTGTTTAAACTTTTAATTCTTCCTTAATTTTTCCTGATCTTTCTGAGGCTACTGCTATACTGTCCTCTAGTTAAAACTGATCAGTCCTACTGTCTGTAACCTGTGCTCTGTACTTCCCCCTGTGGAGGATTACAAAGCTTTTGTATATTTTTTCTGTGAAATTAGCCTAGAAAACATATGCAAAATGTAAGAATCAGAGCTGGTGTAGGAAGGCAGAAGCTGTAGCTACTGCTAGTGCCACATACAGAGTCATGCTTCCCCTAGGAGTTAGCAGAAGAGTTAGGTGGGCTGGAGCTCAGCTCGGACGAGGACGAGATGGTCACTACCAGGGTCATTCGGCGCCGGGTGATCATTCAGGTACCGAGTGGTGAACGACTGCACGAGCCTGTGCTGCCTTAGGCCCTGAGTTGGTGTTGCACCTCAAGCTGGGATGCTCCCAAATAATGCAACTCCATTGCATAAACTGTTCCAATTCCTTAGGATTACAGTAACACAGCTAACCCCGCTCTAAATTCCATAGATGCCTCGGTAGGAGGAAGATGAAGGCTTGACAGCCCCATGAGCAACAAGGTCAACTAACATATCTTAGCCTGTGTGCTGTGGCATCACTTATCTTTGCATGCCTTTCTAAGGATTTGTTTGCATAACATGTTTTTTTTCTTAACATTGCTGATTTTTTTTTCATTCTGCAACCAATTAACTGGTTTTAAAATGGCTTATTTCAAGACCCACGTGAAGGCCTGGCTTCACCCAACTTTGTTCTTTGTCATACAGGCCGATAGTATGCCTGAAATGCCACCAGAAACAGTCACAGAAGAGCAGTACACAGATGAGCATGGCCACACAGTGGTAAAGAAGGTATTGTCAGTTCTGCCACTTGCTAACTTCTTCCTCTCCTGTAAAAGGAAGGAAGAATTATCCACAGAAATGCCAGCCTTTCTGCTGTGAAGGGGTGTGATTTGAAGAGTAGAGAGGGGAAGGAATGAGAATTTCTGCTCATGAGAGACAGCAAAGTTTGAACAATAATTTAGATTCTCAAAATCATTCTGTGTTATGGTGTATAACCTAACAGGATGTATTTTGTTAACTTTCATTTAAGTCCAAGGAAAATTCTGCATAGATCCACACGTTTTAGAGGAAAGTTGTTTATTAAAAACCCCACAAAAAAATGCACTCCACCACAATCTTACCTGACATGTTTGTTTACTTGTCCTAATGAAGGCAAAGGAAGGCTGGGTCTGAAAGGGTACGATAAACTCAGAGACTAGATCTTGAAAATCAGATCATGCTTAGAAAAGCAAATTCTGCACAGCATGGAAGTGAAAGTGAAACTTCTGTGGTCCTTTTTTTATCTGACAACTCGATCCTCTGAGATTTGGTCTGGGATTTAGCTGAGCTGGGCCAGTGGCAAACCCCATCTTCTGTCTTCTGAGAAGACATCAGTAAACTGCTCCAGCCAAAGGTTCCTTGGTCTTGTTGCACAGTGGTGAGCGTGACGATTCTCACAGATAGGTCTGTGCCTTGAACCGTGCCACGCAAATGTTTGGGTCATCCACAGAAGGATGCACACCCATCCTCCTGGGCAATTTCACATCTTGAGCCCTGTAATTCTCTTCTTGCTTTGGTCAGCCAGTGCCTCGAGAGCACCAGCTGAGTCTCTTGAGTAGGCATTGAGGAATAGAACCATCTACAAAGGTTCTTTCATGCAGGACAAAACAGCCTTTGAGTAGCAAATACTAGCTAGAGAACAAAGAGGAATATTTTACTGCTGCTTCTTTGGGGTCTAAACTCCATTCCTTCAGGTGACTCGGAAGATCATCCGGCGATGCGTTGCTCCAGATGGCACGGAAAAAGAGGAGGTGCTAATGCAGGGAACACCGCAAGCCCCCGTCACTGTGGAAGAGGGAGATGGTTATTCCAAAGTGGTGAAGCGAGTGGTGCTCAAGAGTGGCAGTGAGCACTCAGAGGTAGGGTGTGCTTTGCCTGCTGTGGCACAGAGCAGCAGCACCCCGGTAGGGCTCGTAGTCACTGCAGCTTAGCGTGCTCATCCTGCCACTCAGTCCTAGAACCCCCCCCAGTTACAGCAAGTTTACCTTGCTGGTCTGTTCTTGCTTTGAAGAAGCTAAAACATCTATGGCTTAAACAAAAACTGTTTCAGAGCCAGGGAATTAAAAATTAAAACAACCTGGGAAGGTAAGTGCCATACCTCACTTGTCTGGCCCTACAGGTGTTTGGATCAGCACAACTGAGTTTTGAGGGAGGGCCAGAAGCTGGCCCTGGATGTGCTTTCAGCAGTGCTGGGCCAAAAGCAAGGGTAGCAAGCATTTATTGGAATTGGGAAAAACATCACTGATACCTTTGCTTGCCAGAATTACTCATCAGAGTTCATTCTTTAGGAGTAAAGTGACAAGAGTCTTAATTGTTTTATTTTTAATTTTTTCCCCCTTTTTATATTTTTTTATCCTTTTTTATTTTCTTTCCTTTTTTCTTTTTTTGTATTTTCCTTTTTTCTATTTTAATTTTTTCCTTTTTCCATTTTTTCTATTTTCCTTTTACTTTTTTCCTTTTTTCTAATTCCTTTTTTATTTTCCCTTTTTCTTTTTTGGTTTTTTCTTTTTTCCCTTTTCCCGCTCTCCTTTTTTCTTTTTTTCCCCCTTTTTTTCTGTTTTCCTTTTGTCTTCTTTCTTTTTTTTCCTTTTTTCCTCTTTTTTCCTCTTCTTCCTTTTTTCCTTTTTTTTCTCTTTTCTCTTATTTTTCTCTTTTCTATTTTGCTTTTTCTTTTTATCCTCTTTTTCTTCTTTCCTTTTTCCTTTTTTCTTTTTTCCTATTTTTCTTTTTACTCTTGTTCTTTTTTCTCTTTTTTCTTTTTTCATTATTTTCCCTTTTTTTATTATCCTTTTTTCTTTTTTCTCTTTTTCCTTTTTCCCACTTATTTCCTTCTTCTTTTTCTCCTTTTTCCTTTTTTTTGTTTTTTCTTTTTCTCCTTTTTTTAACTTTTTTCTTTTTTTCTTAATTTTCCTTTTTTCCCCCCTTTTATTTCTTTTCCCCCTTATTTTTCCTTTTTTTTTTTTTTGGGTTCTTTCTTTTTGTTTCCAGTAAGCTGATCCTGACAGATCTGCACTTTACCCTGTGGAGCCCATAGACACAGAAATTGATTTGGCCAGTGCCCATCCCGAGGTGTGGAATTCACCTCCAGCTTACCTGTGCTCTCTAACCTTGCAGGTGACCCTGTCTGAACCCGCCGTTCTCTCTAGTGCCTCCAAATTCCAGTCCGAACCAGTGGAGGGCCGGAAAGTCAGCAAGGTCATAAAGACCACCGTAGTGCATGGAGAGAGGATGGAGAAACACCTGGGGGATGCCAGCCTGGCTTCTGATCTTCCATCAGCCAAAGAGGACTTTGAAGAGGTAAAAATCACCTCGGTCCATTACAGCCTTACAGCAGGCATCGCCACGGGCCCAGGGACAAAGCTTGTGCTCCTGAGAGGTTTTATTGGTGGCCCAGCAGCCTCAGGCTGAGTGCAACTCTGCTCTTAGACTCAGCCATGTTACAAAACAATCCATATGTAAATGTGTCGTGAAAGCTGACATGCAGAATTAGCTAAGAAACTTGCTAAGACTAAAGAAAAACATCATGGAGGCTTTGTGTGAAGTTCTCACAAGTCTTGGGTGTGAGTACAGTTAAAGTTCATTCCTGCGCTACCGCTTGTGGAGGTGATTGTAGGAGTGGCTACGGTTAAGCCCCCACCCTGGGTAAAGGGGTGTGTTCCTCCCCTGAATCCAGTCTCTTGTTTCCATGTCTTAGAGGCTGAAATAAATACATAAAAATAGATCAATAGATAGATAAAAGCTGTGTGGCAGTAGGTGACGTGGGTTTGGGTTTTGTCACCAGGAATCCAGATGATTCCAGAGCAGCCTGGTCCCCCTTTTCTCACAGAGGCCAAACAAGGGGCAAGAACTGTCTGGTAAAGGCTCAAAGAGACAGCTTGGGAAGGAACGCTCCCAGCTATGGCCTCAGTAAATCCAGAAGTCTGGAGCCACTGCTGCCACAGGCTTTGGTACAATCATTACTGAAATGAAACTGCCCCATAGCAGAAACTGTGTGTGATGTGTCTTCAGGAGAGGGCCACAGTTGATGCTTTCAGGTACCTGTTCAGCATCTTCTCAGCACTGGGCTGTTTGAATACAAAGGACTAAGGTAGGAAGAGCTCCAGGTATTTTGGGTATGTTGTAATATGAAGTCTGTGTTGTCATTGGAGGCTTTGAGCTATACAGGTCACCACATGGCAGTGCAAGTCCCTGCTTTGGTGGAGAAAGAAATCAAGAAAGATGATGGATCAGTCATTAAAAGGTTTGGCTTGGCAAGTTGAAGTGTTATTGCAGACAAATTAACAGTCACAGGAGTGGATTGCAGTGAGAGCCTGCAAAGCTTTATTTGCAGTGGTACTAAAGCAGTGACTAACCTGGCAATGGCATGAAGAGCACGGAAATAAAAGATTTTGCACACAGCCTTGGTACAGGAGTTAATAAAAAGGCTTGTCTTCATTTGCAGGCCCCCAGGGCCAGGTATGGGAACGTGCCCACCTGCACATGGGGCAAATACAGGTTTATCAGTTTAGCAAAGTAGCACAGGGATGGATGGATGGATGGATGGATGGATGGATGGATGGATGGATGGATGGATGGATGGATCATTCTGATGCCTTTCTCTCTTGTCCTAGAAATAAGAGGCAGACACAGGGTGGTAAACAGGGGTGGCTTTATATAAGGCCCCTCAGGTGGGAAACGCTGAGGATGCACACCCTGCATGATGCATGCACAATCTTCATCAGTTTTGCAAATCAGCATATCTGACAAGAGGCCCCAGTTAAAAGCACACCAGTGAAGTAATGACTCCAGCTCTAACACCTTCCAAATCCCCCCCTTGGATGAGGATTCGGCTCTGTTGCTAAAAATATGTCCTAAAGAGCTGATTTCAATCTTGGTTTCAAGGAATACTAAGATAGCATAGGGGTCCTGGAATTTGATTTGTCTTTCTGCCTAGGAAAATGCTGAAGCTCAGTTACAATAATAGGCTACAAATATATGTGCAAAGAATGCAGAGAGTATATAAAAGAAAAGGGGTAGAGATCCGTAGGAGTTGGCTGTTGCACGTACTTACACATTGCAGTGCCTTCTCTCCAGCATGTGTAACCCTACCTTGGAAAAGCCTAAAAATCCTCTCAGACCTCCAGAACTGTGGCCTTTCTAAGTCAGGTCTCTCCTCTTTTTGGTTCCAGGACAATACTAAGTAAAGCCAGCACACAGAAGAGGACCGTGATGAAGGACCGCTATGGAAAACACGTTCACATAGAAGAGCTGGAAGACACCCCAGAAGCGCTCCCCAGGGATGACCTCCAGCATGACCTCCAGCAGCTTCTTAGGCACTTCTGCCAAGAGGACTGGACACAGGAGGCCAAGTGAGAAGCTGCCTCCCCTGCACAGCGCCACGTGACCCCCCTCCCGTACGCAGCCGTCACCGTCCCCGGGTAGCAGAGTCGCCACTGCCGCTCCTACCTGTGCAGCTGCAGTGAATTCATCTCTCCCCATCCCAAGTTTCATTTTGTGCTGTTCTGATTTTTCACCCTGTAAGCTAATTTGTGACCAAAGATAGCATCCTTCAGGCAGGATGGTTTATCCGCCACGCTGGCACCCTGTCGGCGTCGCCACTTGTCCCTGTCCCTTCGCTCTGGCGCTCGCTTACTGACACGGCCCTTGCCAAGCAGACTTCATCGACAGGCCTCTTCCACTGACTGTGTACATGCACCGTACGAAGGACTTGACGTGTAAACTGTAAATAGCAGAGTATTTGAACTCACGAGACCGCAGAACACTCGCTGCCCGTCGGTGTCGTGGGTTACGGGGTGCAGTGACCCTGCGGAACGGCACCACCCGGATTGCAAACGCTGACCGACCCGGGAGGAAGCGCTGCAGAGCTACCGAGTACCACGACTCACTGTTTAGAGATCCGGTCTAGGCAAAGGCTGCGAGAGGCAGGCGAAAGGCAGCTGTTCACGTGAATCACAGCTGACTGTGGCCATCAGTAGTGCAGACACCTTCAGACAGCCACCGAAACATTTCCAAAAGAAAAAGAAAGGAAAATTTCCCCACTAGGTACCCAAGTTGCTAGCAGCTCTACCTGTGGTATTAGAGCCTATAGATCCGGACCTGTGGCGGGGCGTATTAAACAATCCAAACTCCGGTAGCTTCCCCTTCCCATCACCGCTTAGCCGACCTCACCGACCGACTGGGGGTGCTTCCTGCTGGCCACTGCACTGTAGATAACTACGGGACAAAGACTTAACCCACTATACAAGGAGAATAATTAATTCACCGTGTTTTATCGAGATTGCCTCTTAGCCGATACACGCATGCGGCATTTGAAGGTCAAAACCAAACCCTCCTAGAAACATGTCAGCTTCTTGGCCCTCTTAGCACTGAGCGAGCAGTTTTTATCTTCTGATCAAGTGTTTTTTAAAGAACAAGTGCTCACAATCCTTTGCAGCCGGTTTCTGTTCATATTTTGTTATGTAACTATATATTATATATATATATTTCTAAACCGACCCTCTGGAAACCACATTGGCATGTCTGCACTTTTATTTTCCAAAAGGGAACATAGGGATCTGAAGTTTTGAGTGTTCTATACCTTAATATTTAATGGAGGGAGCTCTGTAGGGTTTTAGCATAACACGCATACACACAAACACACCAACTTAATGCTTTTAAACAGCTCTTTCATTTTTTTAATAGTAGGCTCAACACCAGAGTAAAACCAACCCTCTGCTCTAGGAGCAATCCTTTGTCCAAGCTTATCTGGCCTTCTACAATTATAGGGTTCTTTGGGCTTTTTTTAACGACTCACTCAGTGCTCAGAACAAGGGCACTTCCTCATTAAGGTAATGATGCCAAAAGCATGGAAACATCTCTGGAGTTCTGGCTTCCTGTGGGCAGAACCACCCGAGGTGCCGTGCTGACACTTTTTGGGCAGGCAAGAAAGGAAAGTGAAAGAAAAAAAAAGTGTTTTGGCAGCCAAACCGAACGAGACCCGTGGCGAAACATCTCACAGCGCATCGTGGCTTCCTGACTGTCCGAGACAGCACAGGAGGGTCTTCAAGGATGGGGCTCTCAAGAAATGCATTTCTGTTGTGTTATTTGCGGTGCAGATGATGTTCTGTGTAACAGCATAATGGTTATTCACCTCTTATTTTGATTTTTTGCTGTGTTATCAGAGAACTTGAATACTGTGAGAAGAAGTGAATTTTAAGTTGACGAATCAGCATCTTGTTCCCATGGTGATAACACTAATTGAATATATCTATGAGGGCATGTATTAGTTAAAAATTAAAAACATACAACACTAACAATACATAGCTGCAATGTGTACAATGGCTGATTTAACTAAATAAAAATGTACAAGTGTTAAATGTAGCAACGGTGGCTCGCTGGCTTTTACTGTCACAGCTCCTCTCCCTCCTCCTTTTCCAATGACAGACAACCGTGTATGAACAAGTCCAACAATCAAACAAATCCAAGTCAAACCCACACAGAGCAAGCCAAAAAACCCACATGCCCCTCCAGCACACAGCTGTCCCGCTGGCCTGAGGACAAGTGGGGAAAAACAGACAGGGATAACTAATGGGGAATTACAGAGATGAGTGTGCCCGGGACAGCATGGCAGTGTCAGGGAACAGAGGTAGGCTAGCACTGGCTTTTATTTGTTTTTAAATCCCAGCCCAACCAGTTTCACCCAACAATGTCAGTACTTCCAAAGAGAAACGCTATTTTGCTGAAAGACACTGGTCATTTCTCATTAATACCTAAAGTAAACACCTTGCCTTGAGTCACGTTCTAAGTTAGTCATGCTTTCCCCCTTGAGAAGCAAAAAGCTTTATTTTTTTTATTTCTGCCTACAAATTATATGAACCAGAACTAGCTAAGCTTTTTTCTACTCTGAACACAACACAGCTCACCAATGAGTTTTACTGACATTTTGTTACGTCCTGCCTCTCTTCCCAGCAAACCCTGGAAGATGCCAGTGGGCCTCTGTGACCAGCGGCAGAGAGCTGTTTATTAAATTCCACCATCCCTGACAACCTTACCGGTAGGAACCACCCAAGGGTGGTCGCTGTCTCCTTCCACTGATGACTTTGTTTTCACTTAACAGTCCATGAAACTGGACTACAAGTAGTGGAGCATCCTGTGGGCGCTTTCAAGAAGATTCACAATGTGGAATTCAATGAGCTGGAAAATACTGACAGACCAAATTCTCTGCTGGCAGGTCATAAGTGGATTTTGTAGCTATAAGCCATTTACTCCACACACTACAGCCTATAACTTCAGGCCTTTGACAGTGGGAAACTCCCAAATCCAGTACATTATGACATTGCCTACTGTTCCCTCCTGCCTGCCTCAGTTTATCTCCAAATGATCATTCTCTTTCCTACACCTTACCTAAATTTTATCCCCAAAGCTTTACCTACATGTGCACTATTGATCACCTCCGTTTACCTCACAATGTTCGTTGTCTGCACTATAGACTGCCTCAGATTTCCTCCAAAATTTTTCCCTGTCTGTCCACTACTTGTTGACTCATTTTTACCTCAAAACTTTCATTTGACGCAGCGAACAATTCCGATTTTATGGCCACGAGGAACGTTTCTCCCACAGGCAAACACCTTGTCTCCCTCCATCTCCAGTTAGGGAAACACCAAACGAGCGCTTGGCTCTGACCTGAAAGACGGGAAAAGAGAAGTTTTAGTGGGATTTGGGGCACGGAGTTCCCGCTCCCCTCACACGATCCCGGCGTTCGGGGACGGGAGAGGCTCGCGCGCCCCGCCCCGAGCCCTCCGCGCGCCCCTGCGGGCGGGGGCGGGAGCGAGGCTCGCCCCCCTCTGCCCAATCAGCGCTGCGATCGCCTCACGGCACCCACCAATCACGAGCCGGCCAAGGGTATATAAGATCCGTTACCTGAGGCCGGAGATCTGAATTGCCTGGTTTGGGGCTGCTGCTTCCTGCATCAGTGAGGTAAAATTATAGTTTATTAGCAGTTAATACAGTTAATTTGCAGTCATCTATTTATGATGTGTGGAAATTGGAGTGATGTTTCAGTGTGGGAGATGCTGGTGGGGCGGGTACTCAGTGACCCCGGGTAAAGCCATGGCAAGGATGAGGATCTCTTGATCTCTGAGCTTGCCTTGGCATCCCACAGCCTCTTTCCGTGCACATTATGAGGCGAATGTTTTCTAAATCCGTTGTTTACTGATATTTTTAATGTTGAATTAATGCATTTTGCTAATTTTGTGCCTTTTAAGCCTTAGGTGGCTTTTCCCGTGGGGCTGGTGGAGTGCAGAGGGTTGCTGTTGGTGCTGGGAGAGGCAATTGCCTTGCAAAGCTTTTCTCTAAAACACATCTATATGAAATCTTTGAGTTTCTGCAATAAGAACTGGACTTACGCTCCCAGTAGAGAACTGGGGTGTGTTGGGCAGGGACTGGGAAGTGCACAGGGTTTTTTTCTGCAATAATTCCCCCAACCATTGGTTTCTCTCTGTTTGCAGCAGTAATCTCATTATCTAGAGCTGCATCACTGATGATATCCAAGCTGTTCTTTAGGACTGAGGGCACAAAAGGGAGCAGAACCTGGGTTCAGGCATGTTGAAGCAATGCCAGGAGAACATAAACCTCTCAGAAAACAGCATAATGTAATGTATTATATATGTATTTATTTCAGTCAGGTGCCTGCCACTGACTATGCAGCTATACTTAGTGAGATGACACATAGGTGATGCACTGGGTTAATGTTAATTGTTGCCAGGTGGTTTCCATTAGGTTCAGGGGCAGTGGATTCTGTACTGAAAAGCTGGAGCCCTGGACATTGTCTAGTGAGTGCCCTGACGCCCCTGATCTGATGCTGTGCTGTCACCAAGTCAGCTCATTCTCGTTTAAACTCTCTTGGAAAGCACTGGAAGTACAAATTGGTGTACTGAACACATGTGGGAAGTTTTGCGGTCCCACGGGAAAGCTTTAGGGGTGTGCAGCTTCTGAATGACACAGATATTTCAGGTTCCCACAGAAACCTGATGGGCCGTGGTTCTGGGGCAGGAGTGTCAGGAATTTGATGTATTCAGTGCCACCTTGAGAATTACTTTCTTTGAAGCTCCCAATATGAGTCTAAATTAGGGATCATTCCCCACTTGTGACCCCCAGAGGAGGACAAATGATATAGTTGAGGGGCTTTTTCCCCTCTGCTCTCTGCACTCCCTCGCTTTTCGCTGACACAAACGGAGCTTTTAAATCCCAGGAGCACAGGGTCTGCAGTGTTTTACAGTAACGGAGAGAGACATGACGGATTATCCTGTTCAGGGATGCCCACAAGGGACAGGTCAGCTAGGACAGCCCCTCCTGCCTTGTCTTTTCCTCCCTGGGAAGAGGAAAACCCACTTGGCTTTCCCATGCAGGGCTGCCTGAGGCTGTGAATTGCAATCCCCAGAGCATCCTCAGGCTCCAGATTGTCATGGGATGAGTGGCAGCTTTAGGCAAGCCCTGCCTTAGCCTCAGATTTTTGTCAACACTTATAATGTAAGGAATCACTCTGGCTCACAAGTTCTAAGGATGGCAGATCAAGTCTGTTCAGACAATGACTTATTTATTAAGCAGAGAGGCAATAACAGGCAAATTAAAATTTGTAATGGGAAGATATAACCTTAAATCCAGAGTGTTCATGGTAGCTGGGGACAGCCCAAATGAGCCACTTCACTTGTGTCATTTACCAGTCTGTGTAGGTCAGGGTGTTCCCCACTCCCTGAGTCTCATAGGACAGAGGAGATGCAAATCAGGATCAGAGGAAAGTTCTGGGAGTTAATTTCCAGTTGCAGTGGTTGGAGGAGTTTGACAGATGGGTCAGTGACTCCCTTCACTTTCATTCGTGCTTTAGTCCAGCATCCTTCAGTGAGGCTCAGCATTTGCCAGGAGCATCCAGCTGAGGGATCCAGGAGGATGCAGCTCTTGTTTTCAAGGAAGTAAGAGGAGGGGGTGCAGGATCTGGAAGGGGTTGTTTTCCAGGCAGGGAAAGAGAGGTATCAGGGGGAGTTTTAGCTCTCAGCAGCTGTGTCAGTGCTGGATGGACTCGGGGCTGGTGAGAGCACAGCGTGGCACCCTGGGGCTATGAACACTTCAAACGAGCCAAGAAATGAACAGCAGAAGACTGGATAAAACAGACAATGGAGTTTCAACAAGAACCAGGGAACTGGGATTTGACTTTGGGCGTTGCCACATCAGTGCCACATCTCTAGGCACGAAATTGGAACTTGAACGTGCCCAGAGTGCACTGTGGGTTCAAGGAACTGCTGAGTTGCATGATGAGTTGCAGCAGCCACTTGCCTCTGTGTAGAACCAGCTGTAACACTGGCAGCTACTTGTGAGCTGAGAAAAGAACATCAGGAGCCTGGAAACAACTCCCAGAAATTTGTTTAAAAAAGTGGGATTGGCTTTTCCCCAAGTGTCTGAAAAACTCTTTTGGCTTTATTTTATAAATTGAGAACTGAAGTGCTTGTCAAGGTGTTGGTATTTGCTTTAATGCATTTTTGGTGAGGTTTTGGTTCAGTGCTGTTATTGGGGCTGCTGCTGGCTGAACAGGAGCTCCTGATTCCCCTGTAAGGACACGGCTTGGTTCACTGCTTCTCACAGCTTGTAGAGTAGATGGAATTCCAGTGGGACCTCCTAGATGGCTTGTGGTGCTCCCTAAAGGAGCATTTCTGCCTGCTGTGACGGTTCTGGTCCCGTATGGGCTGGTGTGAGAAGCTGAGGGTTTGCAGCAACAGGTTTGGAATGATGTTCCTGCAGCACAGACATCCCTCCCTGGCAGGTTATGGGGTTTGAGGCTTTGGATAACAGTAACAAAGCACTGACAGGGTCTTCTTAGTTGTGCAGGGAGCAAAATACTTCACTGGAAATCCAGTCCGGGGATGTTGTGGCTTCAGAAAGAGCTCTGTGACCCTTTCCATGCCCTGTGCTGCACAGGAGGTCCTGGCACTCAAGAAGATCCATTGCTTGTTCTGAGGGGGCAGTGAACTGCTGTAACGTGCAATGAACAGAGGAAGTTGGATGTGAAGATTTGGGTCAATCTGGAAAGTTCCTTGTGCCTTAAGAATCATGGCAAGTGTAGCACTAAAAACTCCAGATTAGGAATAACCCAAAGATGAACCAGTTCTCAACAAACTCAGCTTTCAAAGTTATTTTTCAAGATAAAACAAGATTCAAGTGAGCTTGGTGGGAAAGCCCCTGTGAAGCAAATAACCATGAAAATACCTGTGAGCAAGAAACATGAAGGAATTCCTGCTGCTCCTGATGTCCTGCTCTTTTCAGGTAGTTTTTGTATGGAGTTGAAAGGCAGTTTTCTTGCCTCTGGTGAGCTGCAGCCACATCCCTATGGA